TTTTACTTTACGTTACGTTACGTACTATATATATATATATATATATATATATATATATATATATATATATATATATATATATATATATATCATTTTCCTTGTATATAGTCTACTAATCTTAGATTAAATCTTCATTCTTGAATTACAATACTAATAAATTTGTTAACTCTTAAGTACGTGTCCACGCAAGTTTTGAATTTCAACCCAATAAACGAAAAGTCTAGCTAGCCTTATAACTTACATTTTGACTCTCACCCATATACTATGACTTGTATCAAACAAAACATACCAAAATATAATGAAACCAATAACACACTATGGAAAATAAATCTAGTTCAGTAACGCTCGATTTACAGAGATGATAAGTTTATATTGGCTAAACTATAATGTAAGTTTGAATATTTTTTTTTTTTTTTTTTTTGACAGCAATGTAAGTTTGATTAAAATGGCAATTTTGATGATAAAAAAATTAATGTGGATTATTTTGAAAAATATGGATGTACGTACATACATTATTGACGTGGAACGTATGCGATTTTTTCTTATACGAAGATTATTTTTTCTCTCAAATTAATAAAATAAATTGAATTTGCATAGGTTTTTCTACTCATACATGCACATTCAAACCAAATTCTGCTAAAATAAGACTAGTCTCTTTTTTGTGTGGGCTGACCATTCTTATATTATTATTTATATATTTATTTTTGCAAACAACCATCTATTGTGTCATTTGCGATGGCTGTTAGTATTAATGTATTATGAGCCTATATTTATATCGTAAGAAGAAAACAAAATCCATTTGTCCTTTATATATACAACTAGTCGGTTGTCCGCGCTACGCGCGAAAGTTTATTATGTTGTTTATGAGTAATTGGTTCGTATTTTATTTCCTACTTATTTTTTTCACTATACCATACTTTACTTTTTTAAAACTTAAATTATGTTTGTATAGAAAAAATATTGAGTTTTAGCTTCATTAGTCGTTGAGAAATTAAGTGTGTATAGTATAAGTCGAAGTGTGGGCGTAAATGGAAGTGCGGTTGTGAATCATTGAGAAACGTGTGCTATTAGGGTTTTTACCAAATATATATCTAGATATTAATATTTTGGGCCCTTTTATATGTTGGCATGAAATTTGAACATGATTTGTGGGTTTCGGGCGGATTGTTGTATTTTTAATTGTTTACATTATCTCTTTATATATTGTCATAATTTATTATTTTTTGTTTTACGTATTCCTTTTTTGGATTTGTCGTACTTTATATCTCGTAATGATCATTTATATACTATTATATATTTTTCTGATTTTATGTTTTATATATTTTATGTTTTTTCATATGGAACAATTTTTAAATTTAACATATTCGTATAATTTACTTTATCTTTAGTTTATTTCATTTAATAATGTTTTATTTTAATTTTCAATTTTATGAAATATAGTGAATTTTTTATTTTGTTTATGAGTTTCACATATGTGTTGTATTGGAACAAATAGTTAAATTCATATTGGAAACTTTTAAAGAAATATTATTTTTATTTTTACCTTTTTATATGTTTATAAAAATACGAATTCATGTTTCGGTCCGACCTATGTCACTTATGTTAGAAAATTATTTGAGACATAAATTAGATAGATTTATATTCTCAAAATTTCTTACTTTTTGTTTTATTCCCGTTGAATCCCATTATATTTAGGTTTACATTGTGTAAATATAATCATATATATATATTATAAACATTCACTAAAAACTATAATCTACTATTTATATATTTGTTAGTATAATCGATAATTAGTAATTTTTTTTAACTCTTAATCAATTATCTTTTTTAGTTTTATAATGTATAATATAAAAAAGACCTTTCATATTCATTTTGGAAAAACTTATTTACATAGGTTTAAATATTAAAATTAAATGATAAAATGGTATAATTAATTTTTAAAATTAAATAACAAAATGAAGTGGATGATGATGTGGCTTAAGGAGAAAAGAGAAAAAGTTAACTTTATATATATAGATTACTCAAGTGCGTAATTGGTTGCCAAAAGAAAAGGAAGTCAAGAGCGTAATAACATATCTAAAACATAATATTTTTTTTCTGGACAAACAAACATAACATAGTATTATATCTAATCCATGCATTAGAGAATCATCCCAATCAGATACTATTTAATACTAATGTTTAGGTATTTACACTTAACATAATTGTAGTTAATTATCATGTGTACCGAGTAAACGAACAACTTTTAGTCTTGACGATCCAGAACGTGGAGAATCTTCAAGTCCGACATAAAAGCACAAAAAAATAAGCTAAGTGCCCAAGTCACAAGTACACTTAATCAACTTGGTCGATGGTCAATTATTCAGTATCAGAATTTTCGTAAGTAAATATTAAACAAGAGTTTCAAAAAATTAATATTCACGCAAATTTATTTTAATACAGTTATTTGGTTGATAACCGAGTCAAGTTGGTTTTATATTTAAAATTACTTAACTATAAAGATGAGTAAAATCCAATAACGATGATGAGCATTGTATATATATAGAAGTATAGATATATATTAGATAGAGTACTTATGTTATGTATACTATACTATAGTCATTACTCATTACAAATAAGATATATGATAAATATGGAAAAGAGGAGGAAGTAACAAAGAAAATGAGGAGTTTGAACTCAAATAGTGGAGAGAAAGTTAGGAATATGGTTCGAGAAAAATATAAAAAAGGGAGAGAGTGAATACAATGTATCAGTTTTTAATTGTTTGGTAGGAATCAACTGTGTCTGCGGATTTTGATACTCTTATAATTACTTCTTCTTGTAGTCTTTGTTACATGCGTATAAGGTCATCATCAATGCAAGGTTCTTGCACTTAAGATTTACACATGAGAGTACCTTATATAAGATCCTTTCATGTGTAAATTTTAAGTGCAAGAACCTTGCATTGATGATGATCTAAGTATATATAATTCATCTTTTTGGTGTGGTCCTAATGAGAGAGTATCTTACATCTACTTGTCAATCAAAAGAGAGAACAAAAAAGGCGATTTACGTAACATATATGTCAAAGATAAACAAACTTGTATCATATGTCTTAAGTATGTTTATTGTTTACCATTTCAAGGCTTTCGCATTTAAATTAGTAAATATGATTAAGTCTTTAATATAACACTTTTTTTGCAAGGCCAATTATACATATTACATATATTATTTCAATTTATCAGCTTTGTCCAAATTTATTTATATTACTAAAATTTCACGCGGGTGTCCTTGTCTGTGTTGTTGCATAAACAAACATATGGAATCTACAGAGCGTTGCTAATAGTACAATTAGCAACACTTCAACAGTACAATTAACATTGGTGGTTGTATTAGAACACATATAGAGCCCTAACCTTTTAAAACTCTCTCTATATATATCTAGAGTGCAAACAAATAATTCCTTTAATTATATATATAGACGAGTTAATTAAGATACTAATTAACAACTCAAAAGTTGATAAGTACATTCTCGTAAAAGTTTGTTTGCAAGTAGCTAGAACATATATGTCATAATTGAAAACGGATCAATTGCATGGTGAAGATGTTTTTTCTTTTAACATATGGATCATCCGATCAAGATTTAATCAAGATATATAGCTAACAACAAAATTTCATCTTTGGAAAACCAAACGTTCAATATTCTCTTGAACTTTTCATATCCGTGAAATTTTCGTAGCACTTGATATAGCACTTGTACTATGAAATATTAAACTATATATACATACATGAATGTGTGACTATTTCTCTTGTTGACCTAATAGGAATGTGTGACTATTTCTCTTGTTGACCTAATAGATAAAATAAAGACGTAGAGAAAGTTTGTATACGTATTTTAAAAAGTTTTAAAGTAGTTGTGACTTGGTTATCAGAGTCTAGATTGAACCCAAGGTTGCTTTAGTTTGGTGTGTTTGGTAGGCACCTTGGATTAAAGCTATATGAGTATAAAGTTAGTAGCATGCTACAGCATTTAATTAGCATATTCTCAAGTGCCATCGAATTCCCAGAGTGAATATAATTTTGATTAACTTGAAAGAACAGGATCATCCATCTACTCTTACAAGTAGTAAAAGAGAGTTGAGAATATCGAACAATAAAGCCTGTAAGAAATTGCCAAGCTTACTTAAAAAAGGATAAAACATTCCCAAATTGTGAAGAAGAAGAAGCATAATAATAAAGCTAAGCATTGTTTACGGGTCACATTCTCACATATCTACAGCTACAGAGACTCGAACACCGAAAATATTACCACAAGTACAGTTTCATTTACAGTATATCGAACGTATCATAATCATTTCATTGTTACTATTATTACTCATCAAACTAAATGATAGGCTTAATTGTTGAAATGATAATGGGCCTTGAGAGATAAAACTTGAGGCCCATATCAAACTCAGTAAAATCATAGAGATATCAGATATACAAGTTAATAAATGTGCATTTCATTGAACTTGTTGAATGTTTGGTTAGAGCTTTCATAAAAAATGAATGGGGCAATCCCGGTGGCTGAAAGACTGATGTCTAGAGGAATCAAAACGGATCTGAGATGTCAAATCTGTGGAGTGGAAGGTGAATCGATTAACCACGTCCTCTTTGGCTGTTCTCTAGCAAGACAGGTTTGGGCCCTTTCTGACATTCCCTCACCAGAAAATGGATTCCATCCTAGTTCCCTTTATCAGAACCTGGATTATGCTCTGAACATTGCAAAGAATGCTGTGGGTGAAGGTAATGTAAGAAGATCTGTCCCTTGGACCCTATGGCTATTATGGAAAAATCGGAACTCTCTAGTTTTTGAAGGAATGACTTTCATGATAAAGGAGATGGTTAGGAAGATTAGGGAGGATACTGATCTTTGGTTTTTAGCCCAACAAGTTGAACAAGAGGAAGTAAGTGGTGTGGTTGCAAAGTCCACAATCTATAAGAATTCTTGGCGACCTCCAGATAAGCCATGGCTCAAATGTAACATTGCCTCCTTGTGGGATAAAGAGAAGAAAAGAGGAGGAGCTGCTTGGGTTCTCAGAAATTCTGAAGGTACAGTTCTTCTCCACAGTAGAAGAAGCTTTAGTTTCATGGACTCAAAAAATGATGCAGAGATTTGCTGTTGGCGTTGGGCGATTGAGAGTATGAGAAGCCTCAAAGTTATAAGAGTCATCTTTGCAGTGGAAGCAAAGGACTTAGTGGATGCGGTTTCTAGACCTCATGCATGGCCAGCCTTCAAGTATCAATCGGAAGTTATTTTAGGTGATCTAACTCAGATTCCTTTTTGGAGATTACTTAAAGAAAATAGAAATGCTAACAAAGGAGCTTTCCTTATTGCTCAAAGTGTGATAAGAGAGGATCGTAGCCAATCATACGTAGCATCAAGCTACCCTTCATGGCTTCATGAGGTGTTCACCGAAGAGATGTACATTACATAAGTGTAATGTTTTTGTTTACTCTCTGTTGATGATTGTTTAGGATCCTTTTCCTCTTTAGGCTTTGTACTTTTGTAAAAACGTTGATGTGTTTTATGAATTATTTAGATGAAAAAAAAAAAAAAAAAAGCTTTCATAAAAAATAAAATAAAAAGAACGTGGCTCAAAGATTCCAATATTACAAATCAAAATGAGACATAAGTATTATAATCAAATATAATGTATCATACATAAAGAACAATTTGTAGTTTGTTCATGACAAACCCAAACTCAGCTACCTCTGCTCGTTCTCCTCCAGCCATACTTCTTCTTTGGCGCAATCTTTGTCCCAATCCTAAGATCTTCTTTTTCATCGCCTGAAGAAACCTTGCTCAAAATCTTTATGTAAAGCTAATCTAAATCCGGAATCATAACACTACGAAAAATATGGGAAGCTCTTGTACACACTGCATCAAAACATGGCGAAAAAAACTCAGTCTCTTTGCAATCAAGCGTATTACCGGCCCCTCTATAATGATTCAAGAAAAGTATAATAGATTCAGTTCCAAGTTGTGGAACAAATAGTGGAATGATTTATCTAATAATACGTTAGGTAAGGAGCAAACTATTCCAAAAAAAAAATCTAAGATTGCTTCAGCGATGGGCCAAGATAGCATTAAAGAAGGAGAGAAAAATGAACGGAAGAGAAGAAACTAAGATATACCTTACAGCAAGTTACACAGATAACGTTGGAGTACACAGCATTGGACTTTTCGCCTTTCATTTGTAAGGAGCAAAAATGATGCTAGAGTTGTGGCCACCAAACCCGAAAGAATTTGACAATGCTGCTTTAATATCCAGTCTTTCCTTCTTAAGACCCACCAGCAGCTTTGTATCCTGATTCAATTTGGTAATGAAGTTGCGGTATTAAATGATCATTCCAGCGATGTCAAACTAAAACTTGTCAACATACCACTGCTTTGTCTGGATTCTCCAGGTTGATATTTGGATGAACCCATCCTGTCTTTATTGCCTGTAGGGATCAAAGGTCGCATAACATTATTGTTTTTTCCACTCAGCTTGTTAATTCATCCTAGGTAATTTAATTGTTTTAGTCAGCATTCCCCTTTTGTTAGAAACACTAATGTATCTAGACTTGAAATCATTACCTGAATGGTTGCAACAGCCTCCACGGCTCCAGAAGCTCCCAGCAAGTGTCCGATCATAGATTTTGTCGAGTTTATTCTTAGCTGTCAAATTGTCAGAGGTCATGTAAGAAAACACAGACATAAGTCTATCTACTAGATAGGAAATGCTGTCTCCTCGGATAAATAAAACAGGTTAACGAGAGAAACAAACACACCTCAGGATTTTGGCCAAAACAGTGAGCAAGGGCTTGGTACTCCTTAAGGTCTCCAGCTGGTGTAGATGTAGCATGAGCATTTATGTAATTTATGTCTTCCTTTGAAATCCCGGCATGAGCTAATGCTTTCTCAATACAGAGAATGACACCAGAACCTGCAGATATTAGAAAATTATTTCAGTACAAAAATAAAGGTTGCAAAAGATTAAAAACCATTGGGAAGTAAAGCCTAGAATCATGCTCTCGAGCAACCAACAATGATATTTTCACATGTAAATCCCTAGATCTTGTTTTTTTTTCATCTTTAGTTAATAATTCTAGTGCTATAACTTTATAGACAAAGAAAAGAAAACAAAAGAAGAAAAATACGGTAGATTAGTGAATACAGTTAGTTAGTACACAGAAGTGATCTACCATCAGGACGTGGTTCGGTTATATGATATGCATCAGAAGTGAAACTACCACCAAGGAACTCCGCGTAGATAGTTGCTCCTCTTTTCTGCAAATGCATAATTTTAGTTAGCCTTAGAATGACTCAATTAAAAACTTTGAAAACATTTCATTCATGACAAGTAAGAAAAGAGTTGTGACCATAAAAATATACAAAGGGGGTAATACAGAGGTAATTAAACTGTTTTTTAAAAAAGATGGCCAAAAAGTATGGTGCAAGAACATAAAACTCTTGAAATGCAAGATTCATATGGGTCACCAGCAATGATAGAAGAGCCTAGTTTTCTGTATGCATATTAGAAATGAGAGACAAACCTTGGCATGCTCAAGTTCTTCTAAAAGCAGAACTCCAGCTCCCTCTCCCATGACGAAACCATCCCGATTCTGTTTAGCAATCAAGATCAGATTTAAAAGAAAAAAAGACGAAAATCCTGAAACAATATCTTTCAGTATTCTACACAAGGATGAGATGCATTGGACATACATGTCCACAAAAATTCTTAAGGGACAAGACAAGGAGAATTAACACCCACAGTTGCTTGTATTAGTTTACAATGGACCATTTAATGCAATCCCTTCAAACATATGCTTTAATCAGAAGGCATGTGGTGAATCACCATGCGGTGCATGCCTATATGGGGTAGGCTAGGTTCCCACATTTGAAGATTGACCATCTTTAGTAATCAAGATATAAATGGAACAGTAAGAGAAAACTCGGGAGACAGTATATAAAAAAGAAGTCACTACGAAAAAAGAGTGGAAAATTACACTATCCCAAGGACGTGAAGCTTTGGTGGGATCATCATTCTTCTCTGAAAGTGCCCGACAGGCAACAAAACCTCCCAACCCTGCATTGGTACACATGATTTTAAGATTTGTGTGGCACAAAGTTGGGGAACAAACGAAAGCATATAATTATAAAGGAAAAAGTGTGCACCTATAGGTATAATAACTGAATCAGAGCCACCACAGAGCATTACATCCTATAAGTTTAAGGGAAAAGAAAGTCAAATGTCAAACACAAGTAGAGTTACCTTAAGTCTACCATACTATCAAATTTCCTCGTTGTTCGAGGATACTTACAGCTTCACCTCTAATAATGTGGTTTGCTGCACTGAGAATACAGAAATTGCCAGTGGCACAAGCAGTTGAAATAGAGTAGTTTGGACCCATCCATCCCTAATGTATCATAACAAAGGTCAATACGTACGTGCAGCCATTGGTATAACAACATAATATCCAAAATTGATCAGACCAGATCTATGGCAAGCATAGCAGAACCCATGTTTGTGGTCGCAAAAGGTACACAGAAAGGATTCATCTTCCTGTAAGAGATTTTCAAAGCTTCAAGGGCATCATAAAAGACCTGTATTCCACAAATACAGTGCCAAATTCAACATATAGAAACAGATTTATAAACAACATTTTCTGAAAACCATGAAGAACAATCTTCAACCAGCAGAGACTCTGAAACAACAACCCTCTCTCCAAAAAAACTATTTTCATCTTTCATTAATGTTCAAAACAAAGAAACAAGGAGGGTACCTTCATGCCTCCCATTGCTGAGCCAATCAAAACACCACATTTGGATTTGTCTAACTCTGCCATTACATCCTCAGTTACCCCACCATCAGCCAAGGCTTTCTTTCCAGCGGTTAGAAGATAGAGCATGAATTTGTCCATCCTTTTCGAGAGTTTTGGAGCAACCAATCCTTCTGTCGAAAATGTTTTAATCTCCCCAGCGATTCTCTTGGTAAAGGCAGTACAAAGAAGATATACAATTAAAGACAAGCCTAGGAAAAAAGAGAGAAAAAAAAGAAAAAAAAAACTAGACAACTTGTAAAAAGAGCTCCAGATAAAAAGCTTACAGTAGGAAATGCAGAACAGTCAAAATTCTCAATTTGGCTAATACCACTGATGCCTTGTAGCAAGTTGTCATAGAAGGTATGTGGGTCATGACCTAATGGTGTTTCAACTCCCATTCCTGTCACAACAACGCGGCGTGACTCCAAAGGAGGCTTCTTGTTAATTATTGCTTCCTTCTCCATCTCTAGAGTGACTTGCCCTGATAAGCCAACAACAACACCAACACTAAACTAGCTTAGCTTCAACACTCTATTCTCACGTATAAGATGAACCCAAGATTGGAAATGGAAACAAATAGACAAGTGATTGAATTTGGTATACCAGAGGTAGATGCTTGATTCAATCTCCTCTGCTTTCGATTGAAGTAAATGTTATTGGATTCGAGGAAGAGGGAAGACAAGGCATTGCTGTTACTGTAACTCACGAGACCGGCGGATCCATGTGAAGAAGAAGAAGAAGAAAAGGCGGAGCATTTCGTAAGCAGTGTCCTCCTCCGGCGGCTAGTCCTACAAGTGTTGTCGGATAGAGCGAGTCGGTCTCCGCCGCTGGACATGCAAGCCGCCGCCACTAGCCAATCGGATAATGGAGATGCGTAACATGAAGACGCACCACCCGCCATGGCCAGCGGAGCGATTAAGGAACACGAGAAAATGTGTGATTGTAAAGGCTGAGATGAGAATCTAGCAAAGGAGAAAGATGGATTCTAGAGGTATGATGAGTCACGGATCTCTCTCTCTCTCTCTCCTCTCTCTCCCTCACACAGTCACTTACTCACAAGTGTTTGGATGCGTTAAATCGTGCGTGGAGGGAGACGACAAGTCGTTTCTGAGAACTACTGAGAAGCCGAGAGAGAGAAAGAGCAACAACAAAAACTAAAAAATGTTATTAGTACCAAAGTAAGATATACTATAAACGAACGACCAGAATAATTTATCCTTTTTTTAATTTTTTTTTTTTTTTCCAATAACATTAACATCATTCAAAAAATGTAAAATTTCTATCAAATTATTAAATTATTTCGTACATTTTTATACGTCTTAGAATAAAATTACGTAGGTATATAAAAACAAATAATCAAATCCAACAAAAAAAAAAAGAAATCCGATATATAGTCTCACCTCGGTTTAATCGAAAGAAGAGACAAGTAAAGTCTATTTTAAATTCAGTATACTGCTGTGCTGTCCACTGATAGGTTAAATAGCAAACGAGCAACTTTTGTTTGCTGTTCACATATGTAGTTCTAAACGAATTCTCATTATAAAACTTATTACAAATGGAAGTATAGGGAATTAAAAAAAACAACATTGTAAGCAGCTGATTGTAAGATCCAATGACGATGAGCTAGTGGTTCCTTGTTTAATTGCATTGGTTAGAAAGGAATAATAAGAGAAACATTCGATCAGTTAAGAGTTGTGTCATGTGTGGTTAGAAACGTAAGTTTAAGTTGATGGACACACACACCGGTCTTGTACTCTTGTTAATGAACTGAGAGTACGTTTGTTTCATATATTACATATGTATGGGCCGCCTGTAAAACCCAATAAAACAAAAAAGTTTCACCTTTCTGCGAAATATATATTGGGCCTAATAAAGCCCATAGAAAGTATCATTATCCGTAGTCACCGTAACTTCCGCGAGTAAGTCTAAAGTAAGCAAACCATGACGTACCAAATTTATCGCATTATTATTGTTTAATCACATTGACATATACATTAGTGACATACATCATTTATAATATTCATTTAATGTGTACATTGTGTTTGTACGTGTATTAAAACCACATTAAAAATGAAATACTACAATACTATATGGTAACATGATTGAACTTTTACTTTTTTGAAGAAATTAAATTTTGCCTTTTCAGTTTCTTTTGCTCCAATACTACTTCCTTTCCAATTTAAAGTTTCTCTTTTTAGTTTTTATAATATAAAATTTCTTAAATCGGGTTAGCTCTTAATATATATACGTCACTTTTCTATATAAAATACTAAAATAGAACCACGCCTCACCAACTTTTTTCCTAATGGTTTCTTCAACTTTCTTTTACCTTTTGATAATCGAATATGTAATAAAATCATATTTCTTATTTTATCTTTCCATATATTATTTTCCTTTTCCTAGTTTTTTTTGCAGAATTATTTGGCAATCGATAAATTTACGAATCAGGAACCAAAGAAAAAAGAGTTAGATAAATTTCGATGATTAGAACTGAGGTAGGCAAGACTTTTTGATTCACTGGTCTTTTCACTGAAGCATTTTATATAACATATTTGATAAATAAACTACAAAACGTTTTGTATGCAAAAAATTTAGTTTAAGTATTTAGAACTGTAGAACCTGAACATCTGGATAAATAATGCGTTACGACTTTGTAGCTGATGATGATGTGTATGGTTTATTAAGGCTTTCAAGCAATAACTAAATATTAAATATCTAGATATTTGCATAAAAATGGAAAAATTGATATAAAACAGAAATTTGACTTTTATATTGCGTTTTATTACTTATCTTTTCCATCTCTAATTTTGATTCCGGACCAGCGTTGGAAACGTTTTGTTTAATTTCCTGCAATAAGAAGACGACGAGCTCAACGACCAAAACTTCCGACGCGGAGACTTTTTTTTTTTTAATTAGTATCCTCCTCTCTGCGTTTTCGTGTTCCAAAATCCTCGATTCAAAAACTTCGTCTTCTTTCTTATTCGTGATCCTGATGAAATAAAAATACGATTTTTAATTTATTTATTTTTGGTTTGTGAGGAGAGAGTGCACCAAATAATTTGACTTTGAAATTAGCGTAGGATTCAAGCACATTCTGGGTTTTATTCGTGTAGTGGTAGACATTGATTTTGTCAAAGTTACGTTCTTCTCTCCTCTATATCATTTTTATATATAAAAAAGTTGAAATTCCTCTTTTTTTTTTTCTTTTTTTTTCTTCCTTTTCTCTTTAGTCTTTTCTTTTCTTCTACCCCATGTTGTAGATTCTTAGATTCTCCCCCAATTTTTGAAGAAAGGAGAAGTAAAGAGTCCATTTTTGGGATTCCTTTGCTGTTGCAGTTTCTTTGATTAGATCATTTCGTATACCACTAACTAGAAGCGGAGAGTCCTCAAATTTTGGTTATTTTTTTTTGAGGGTCGGTTTCTTATCTGATCCAGGTTTTTCTCAAGGTAAGAAGCAATGATTCAGACGATCTTTGTAGCTGTAATTACTTGTTAATTCCATGTTTCGATTCTGATTTCGTGGGTTTTTGTATTTCAAATTCGTTTGGAGCTTTCATAGTTGCAGGTTTTAGGGTTTTAATCATTGCTGGTAGATTCATAATATTGTTGTTCTGTGGCTTTTGATGTTTGGATATTAACTTAATGAAGCAACTTTGTTTTGGGTTTTAGTTTTGCTGAATCAGAGATTCTACTATTTTGCAGGTGAAAAGAACTTGGCTGCATTGCCTATGAGCAGATAGCTGTTAAGCAAAGAATGGGCTGGTTTAACAAGATCTTCAAAGGCTCTAACCAAAGGCTCCGGGTGGGGAATGACCACTATTATGGGAATTATCCGAATGCTTCACATGATGAGCCTAGTGCAGATACGGATGCTGATCATGATGAATCTCATACACAGGAACCATCCACATCTGAGGTTAGTATCATTATTGTTTACTTGTGTTTTAAAAATTTTGTTGGCTTGGAGATCTTGAAGTAGTGGAAAAACACACATTTGAATGGTTTATCGGTTTGTACTGTTATTTCAGCTTTTCTGCTTTTTCTTTACTAGGATACATCGAATGACCAGGAAAATGAAGACATAGACCGTGCAATTGCATTGTCTCTTTTAGAAGAAAATCAAGAACAAACTAGTGTGACAGGTGAGTCCATTTTCCGGGGATTGTGCAGCCAAACGAAAATCTGAAGACATAACTTTTGTTATCTGATTCGGTTTGCTAAAATTCTCAAAGAAAAAATGGGCACAGGGAAATACTCGACGGTGGATGAAGATGAGCAACTTGCCATAGCCTTACAAGAAAGTATGGTAGTTGGGAATTCACCGCGTTACAAAAATGGAAGTACATTTGATAATGGGAATGCATATGGGACTGGAGATTTATTTGGGAATGGACATATGTATGGAGGAGGAAACGTATATGCAAATGGAGATATTTATTATCCAAGACCTGTTACTTTTCAAATGGATTTCAGGTACTACGATAGCCAAACATCGTAAGCTGGCTTAATTTGGCCGATGTATTAGTTTCTGTCCAGCCAAATAACTTATCAACAACTTGTCTGCATAGGATTTGTGCTGGCTGTAACATGGAGATTGGCCATGGAAGATTTCTTAATTGCCTTAATGCACTATGGCATCCAGAGTGTTTTCGATGTTATGGCTGCAGTCAGCCAATTTCTGAGTACGAGGTAAAACCAAGCCCTTCCAAAATTCTCTTCATTTGTTTTCCTGTTTTACTTAACCTTCAGATTCTATTTGTAACATGTTTCCCTTTTTTTCTGTTAGTTTTCAACATCAGGGAACTACCCTTTTCACAAGGGTTGTTACAGGGAGAGATATCATCCAAAATGTGATGTCTGCAGCCACTTTGTATGTTATCTCTTGCCTTTTCTATTATAGTCCATATATATATTGTGCTTTTTTCCTGGATCTTGCACTTATCATCTGTTGCTTACTTTTTTCCGATTGTAAAATTTTTGAACAGATTCCAACAAATCCTGCTGGTCTTATTGAATATAGGGCACATCCATTTTGGGTTCAAAAGTATTGCCCTTCTCACGAACACGATGCCACCCCAAGATGTTGCAGTTGTGAAAGAATGGAGGTGGATTCTCTTCTCCCCTAAAATGTCCCATATATACATCTTCTACTCAAAGTCAAAACATTTTGTGGCTGGAAATTGACAACTTAGCTTTATTTTGTAGCCACGGAATACGAGATATGTTGAACTTAATGATGGACGGAAACTTTGCCTCGAGTGTTTGGACTCAGCGGTCATGGACACCATTCAATGCCAACCTCTGTACTTGCAAATACAAGAATTCTACGAAGGACTTAACATGAAGGTAGAGCAAGAAGTTCCACTCCTCTTGGTTGAGAGGCAAGCACTTAATGAAGCCAGAGAAGGTGAAAAGAATGTGAGTAAAGAAAACACTTCTCCAGTCTAAGCTATTGTAGTTATCATCGGCATCTGCTTTTTCTATAGTATTTGACTTTTTTAATGTGTTTCTTAGGGTCACTATCACATGCCAGAAACAAGAGGACTCTGCCTTTCGGAAGAACAAACTGTTAGCACTGTAAGAAAGCGATCAAAGCATGGGACGGGAAATTGGGCTGGGAATATGATTACGGAGCCTTACAAGTTAACTCGGCAATGCGAAGTTACTGCCATTCTCATCTTATTCGGGCTCCCTAGGTAAGAGACTCTTTTTGGTTCCACTGAATAGATCTTATGTCACGGTCCATACATTAACAGTTTTACTGAATTTTGTTCAGGTTACTCACTGGCTCGATTTTAGCTCACGAAATGATGCATGCATGGATGCGGCTTAAAGGTGAGTCTCGTACTCCAACTTCTTAGTTTACTGCTTCTTTCTCTTGTTTCGCATTGCTGAATTTTGTGTTTGCACAACTACATTTGTGGTCTTAAAAAGGATTCCGAACGCTGAGCCAAGATGTTGAAGAAGGTATATGTCAAGTGATGGCTCATAAGTGGTTAGAAGCTGAGTTAGCTGCTGGTTCAAGTAACAGCAATGCTGCATCATCATCCTCATCTTCTTCTTCTCGAGGAGTGAAGAAAGGACCGAGATCACAGTACGAAAGGAAGCTGGGTGAGTTTTTCAAGCACCAGATAGAGTCTGATGCTTCTCCGGTTTATGGAGACGGTTTCAGGGCTGGACGGTTAGCGGTTCAGAAGTACGGCTTGCGAAAAACACTTGAGCATATACAGATGACCGGTAGATTCCCGGTTTAAGAACCCAAAATGGACAAAGTCTTTGCTTGTGATTGGGTTTTTATTGATAGGATCCTTGGTAGATTATTGTTATATGCTCTTATTCTTTTGGTGGAAAAATGAACTCTCAACCATATTCTTATGTAATCGATGATTCTTTTGTATTTCATCCATCAGAATCAAATTCAGGGTTTTCTTTGTAACTATGCTCTCAAATTCATAATAACCGAACCAAACAAAACCCGAACCAATTTCCTACAAAACATATTGAATCGAAACCAGATAAACCGAACCAAAAACCAATTTAAAGGTTTCTGCTTTACACTCTCACTCTCGGTCGCCGATGTACCGTCGTCAATCGTCGACAAACTGTACACTAATAGGCTAAACCTTAGAGACACATTCCAAAGAGCGGAACTTTGAGGTCCCAAGTTTAATGGGCTCCAAGGTTAGTCAACCGATAACGAATTTTTCCTAATGCTCCGAAGGTCTCCGGCACGCGTTGTTGCCTTTCAGTTGCTTCCACTTATCTATACTCGTAGATTCTCTGAAGCCTCGAGAAACTTTCGCCGCGAGCTTCGAGGAGGAAACGGGCCACTTCGACCCGAATTGCTCGAGCGGGTCTCGCGCCTGCTCGTGCTTGGCAGGTACGATGCTTTACATGATCTCTCTGTCGATTTCTCAGATAAATTTCTCAACTCCCTCCTCCGTAGATTAAGGCTTAACCCAGAGGCATGTCTCGAGCTTTTCAATTTGGCTTCAAAACAGCAAAAGTTCCGGCCTGATTACAAGGCTTATTGTAAAATGGTTCACATATTGTCCAGAGCTAGACTGTACGATCAGACGAAATCGTATATATGTGAATTGGTGGCTCTGAATCACTCGGGCTTCGTTGTCTGGGCCGAGCTCGTTCGAGTTTTCAAGGAGTTTTCGTTCTCTCCTACAGTCTTTGACATGATACTGAAAGTTTATGCAGAGAAGGGTATGACTAAGAACGCGTTACATGTGTTTGACAACATGGGAAGCTATGGACGAGTCCCTAGTTTGCTGTCTTGTAATAGCCTGCTGAGCAATTTGGTCAAGAAAGGGGAAAATTTTGTGGCTCTACACGTTTATGATCAGATGATTAGATTTGGGGTTTCTCCGGATGTGTTTACTTGCAGTATTGTTGTTAATGCTTACTGTAGAAGTAGGAAAGTGAATAAAGCCATGGAATTTGCAAAACAAATGGAGATTTCACTGGGTTTGGAGCTGAATGTGGTTACTTACAATAGTTTGATGAATGGGTATGCTATGATCGGAGATGTTGAGGGAGTGACAAGAGTGTTACGGTTGATGACTGAGAGAGGGGTTTCTAGAAACGTTGTCACGTATACTTTGTTGATTAAGTGTTATTGTAAAAAGGGTTTGATGGAAGAAGCAGAACAGGTGTTTGAATTGGTTAAGGAGAATAAACTTGTTGCGGATCAGCATATGTACGGTGTGTTGATAGATGGATATTGTCGCAGTGGTAAAATACTTGAGGCTGTTAGGGTTCATGATGATATGATGGAGATGGGAGTAAGAACAAATACAACCATTTGTAACTCCTTGATCAATGGGTATTGCAAATCTGGTCAATTAGTTGAAGCGGAACAAATATTTACGCGGATGAACAACTGGAGCTTGAAGCCAGATCATCATACGTACAATACCCTTGTGGACGGATATTGCAGGACTGGTCATGTTGACGAGGCTTTAAAGCTTTGTGATCGAATGTGCGAAAAAGAAGTTGTACCAACAGTTATGACTTACAATATTCTTCTTAAAGGTTATAGTCGGGTTGGTGCTTTTCATGATGTTCTGAGCCTTTGGAAGATGATGCTAAAAAGAGGTGTACTCGTTGATGAGATTAGTTGTAGCACTCTACTCGAAGCATTGTTCAAGCTTGGCGATTTTGATGAAGCTATGAAGCTGTGGGAGAATGTCTTAGCAAGGGGTCTATTGACAGATACGGTAACCTTAAACGTAATGATCAATGGACTATGTAAAATGGAGAAGATCAATGAAGCCAAAGAGATTCTAGATAATGAGAATATTTTCAGATGTAAGCCAGATGTGCAAACATATCAAGCGTTGAGCCATGGGTATTATAAAGTTGGAAACTTGAAAGAAGCTTTTGGGGTTAAAGATTCTATGGAAAGGAAAGGAATCTTCCCCACCATAGAAATGTATAACACTCTGATATCTGGTGCTTTCAAGTATAGACACTTGAATAAAGTAGCAGATCTTGTGATTGAGCTACGTGCCAGAGGATTAACTCCTACTGTTGCTACATATGGGGTTCTTATCACTGGCTGGTGCAATATTGGAGTGATGGATAAAGCCTACACTACGTGCTTCGAGATGATAGAGAAAGGAATTGCCTTAAATGTAAATATTTGCAGCAAGATTGCAAACAGTTTGTTTCGGCTTGATAAGATCGACGAGGCTTGTTTGCTATTGCAGAAGATTGTGGATTTTGATCTGCTTCTTCCCGGTTACCAGAGCTTGAAACAGTTTCTTGAGCCCAATGCTATTACATGTCTTAAAACACAAAAACTCGCCGATTCTCTCGAGGATAGTACTCCTAAGAAGCTCTTAGTTCCCAATAATATAGTTTACAATGTTGCTCTCTCGGGCCTCTGTAAAGCTGGTAAACTCAAGGATGCTCGAAAACTCTTCTCAGATTTACTATCGAGTAGTGGGTTTATTCCAGACGTATACACGTATACGATACTAATTCATGTATGTGCTAGTGATGGTGATATAAATGAAGCCTTTAACCTGAGGGATGAGATGTTTCTAAAAGGTATTATTCCGAACATTGTTACATACAATGCTTTGATAAAAGGCTTGTGCAAGTCGGGGAATGTAGATCGTGCTCGGAGGCTTTTACGTAAGCTTCCACAGAAGGGGATAACTCCTAATGCTATTACCTATAACACATTGATTGATGGACTGATTAAAAGTGGTGATGTTGCTGAAGCTATGCGTTTAAAAGAAAAAATGATTGAGAAAGGCTTGATTAGAAGATCCTCTAAACAAGAGGATGTTGAAACATCAAAAGAGGCTTTTGATCCGGTAATCAAATCAGGGATTGCAGGAGTGATGGAAAGGAATTCGTATGAGCTTTATGATGTTAGGATAGTTTCTGAAGCAGTAATATGATGACGAATAAAAAATACTTAACTCTTCTAAAACTCTTCGAAACATCACTTCAGAGTCAATGATGTTGCTATGAGTGATGGGTAACAGGAATGGAGGCTTCTAAGAATCTCCACCATTGATGTGAAAATGATTGTATTATACTTTCAGGAAAACAGTGTATTGTCTCAAGATCGTTTGAACCTTCTGCCAAAAACCCCATCATTTGGATATAAATATATCAGCCTTTTTCTTCTGATCCTTGAGGTTTTAAGAGATAAGACATCATATTCATGGAGCCTGATGTTTCGAGCGGTCTAAGGTACGCAGGAGTTACACTTGTTCAAGAATCTTTTAGTTGAATCATGTTCTTTACTTTGACAAGCTTTAGTTTTAAGGATATGAAACAAAAACCGAGAATGTTTATTGTCTTTTTCAGTTTTAAGATAGAGAGGCCAAAAGATCGATATCAGTCACACTGGTGGTCTTTGATAAGCTGATCAACTGATCAGACCAGTAAAGCTCTCCACTTCATGGTTCATCTTGTTTCTTCCAAGCCAGATAAGACCCTGTGATCATATATCTATGTACCAATCATATAATGCTCAATGTAATAAATGCGATTGATGAATAAGTAAGTTTGCTTCAGATCAACTCAAAACTAGTGATTAAATTGACGAGCCACCTCTCTTGCTTTATTAGAACGTGAACAACTTACAAAACCTACCTATGTACCAACCTTTGATTGTGCTTTTTTATCTGCCGAGAACCGGAGAGCTTTATTCCGGTCCGGTTTGATTTGATTTTGTAGTCTATGGGACACGGTGGGGGCATAGTGAATAGACTCTCAATACCATTGGCACATGTTTTGCGCAGAAAGCTCTGAAGTCACTCCACTCATCAGTCAGCTTGATATTTATCATCCAAACCAGAAAGTATTGCAACTAAACTTATCAAAGCTAGCAAGTAGTATATTATTACTTTTGAGTGTAAAAAGGTTTGTTAAATAGTAACTCATTTCTAGTAAAAAGGAGCTGAAAGATAAAGAGAGGGGAAAAGAAAATGTACAGTAAAAATATTTCAAACAAAAGGTAAAGAGAGAAAAAAAAAAAAAAAAACACAGAAGAAGAAGATGAAAGGTGGGTGGACTCAAAGGTCAAAGTGTACATTAATGTATGATGGGACTTTGCTCGTGCTTTTTCTCTCGCTCAGACCACCGACACTCTGTCTTCAATTATTTCCTAAAACTTAACAACTATTATTTTTAATTTCCCTAGACTTTCTCTTGTGTTAATAAACTAGAGATCAGCATTATGGATTTATGGATCTACTACTTATATAACATATACGAGCACAAGCATGAGGACGTCGCGGGTGAGTGACTACAATTTCTTGGTTTACTTTGCTTTTCCTTCCGCTAAGCATATGTGTTCTCCAAAACGTTACGATTCATTTTCAACAAGTGCACATGTCTTTTTCTCAAGATATTTTACGTTACTACCATTTGCTACCTTGCTAGTATCCCACTATCCTAATTCCTATCCATAGTACTCTCTTGGGAATATATGCGTGGAAAGGTGCTTATTTACTATGGTTTGGTTTTCGTTTTTTTTTTTGGGTTGGGTTTGGTATGTTCGTATAAAATCACACAAAAATTGAAGATAGCGAAACTTTAGACACGTGATGTTGTTTTGTAAAGACGACGGGACGATGGATGGGAAATTCGAAAATGAGGCAACACATGTGCTCATCAACCTACGAACCGTCTACACATAGCTACAATCCGACAATGGAGTCATCAAGATGTACAATTATAGATTCTTTACGGCTGGCAAAACTAAATTCGGTTTCTAAAGTTCCATTTGTTCCATTCCCTTCTTTACTCATTCGAACATTACCCCCATGATATTAACAACGGACAAAAAGTTATTCATCTAGCTAGCGATTACATTTTTTTAATAACGTACATGCATGTATATATGTATGAACATTAAACCCAAAAAAATGCAAACGCAGTGATTTGCCACTTTCTGAATGCGCAATAACTTTTATTTCATCATTATGGGGAAACAATTGACCAAATAGACCACTCGTTCAAAAAAGTTCATTGATAAAATGACATTTTTTAAGAAGAAGTTAAAAGCTTTCATCCCCTTTTTCATTCTTTTGGTCACTCACTCACTTGGTATTACTTTTTAATATTATTCTCTTCTATACTCCCAAACAAACCAAAACCGATGAAAAAAAACAAAAAAAAAACATCGAACAAAAAGCAGAAAGCAAAATGTTTTTTTTTTTGTTCTTTTGGGTTATATATGATTTACGAATCGATGTACATGAAAAACAAAAAATCACCTCCCTGTATATATTTATATATATGATTATGTATACGTATATGTACCGGTATATTAAAAAGGAAAACAAAAGAAGAAGAGTAAAGGGAGAGTGGTCAAGAATCCAGAGCGAAGGGCGTTTGAAGTAGATCGTAAGGAGCCCAAAGCGCGTCTAACGGACAAGGCCGGCCTGCGTCGAGCCTAGCCCATGGCTTACCTTTGCCACTCCAATGCAACAAACTCACCGGACCAGGATGCAGATCTCTACACAGCCCCCTGAAATTATCACCTCCTAAACCATGCTGGTTCCACCGATGATTTACCGGTTTAATCAGACCGCCAAAAACCAATAAAAACGGTGGTAACGAACCGAGCTCGTAAATCCTCATTCGCTTTTGCATCGCCATCCACTCTTCGATGCGTGACGTGTACGCGCCCTCACGCCACCGCGAGAGATCGATCACCATCACTCCGGTGTTGAAGTAGCAGGCTTTACGGTCGGCGAAGGTCAGGGACAGAGTCGGATTCGACCAGAAGGTTGATGTGAAGTAGGAAGTGAAATTGGCGTTGCAGTACTCCGGCGCGGCGAGGACTGAATCGCGGCCGAGATCCGTGGCTGCGAGTTTAGCGATGTCGTCGACGAGGATTAGATCGGAGTCCAGGTAGACGACGCGGCGGACGCAGGGAGGGAGGAGATCGGCGAGGTAGCTTCTTGCGTAGTTCAAAGGACAGTCAAGTGCGGAGCGGATGGAGGAGGAGATGAGGCGGGAGACGGAGGAGACGTTGAAGACGTAGACGGCGAAATCGAGGTAAGGGAATGAGGAGGAGATGGTGGAGCGTAAGGAAGAGGCGTCGGCGGAAGCGGAGGCGACGAAGTGGAAGACAATGTTTTCAGGGCAAGAGGAGTGTTGGAGGACGGAGAGCACGGCGGCGACTGATCCGCGAATGTAGGCGGCGTCGAGTGTCATGGCCACGTGGACGGCTCGGCGGGAGCAGAAGATCGGTTTGGCGGACGCCACGTCATCGTCGTCGATCGAGGGGCAATCAGCGGAATTGTAAAACTGAGGGGCTTCTTTGAATTTTTGGAGAACCGGAGTGGCGGAAATGGGAATGATGATGAGGAGTGGTAGCGAGACAAGAATGAGAAGAAGAAGAAGATGTTGTTGTTGGGACATGGTTTCTCTTCTCAGACAACGAACTCTCTTATTGTAATGGAAGGTTTTGTTTCTCTTCAAACTGAGAGAGAACACAAGCAAGAGAAGAGCTGTCTCTCAGACTTTTTATCATGTGTGTGTCTCTACTCTCTACTCTATGTAATATGTATGTAAGAGAGAGAGAGAGAGAGAGAGAAATCATATTAAAATATATTTAAAAAGGGTTTTGCTTAGATTTTGGGTTTCTCTCATAAAAAAAATTATATATTGATTAGATTCCAAGCCCTTTTCATCATTTTAAAAATTTTATTAATGTGAATATGACTTAAAAATACAAAAAACTATTACTGAATTTTATAATTTTGTCGACTTAAATTATATATTTTCTAAGAAAATATGGAATGAAGAAGTGTGGGAATTTATTGCATCCACATGATTACCGAAAATCAGTGAAGATCCACGTTATAGGCTATATAATGTAACATTATTAATTGGTAATTTAATTATTTTTTTTTTATTAAAATGAGATTTGAGTAGTCTTTGTAAATTTTTTGGGTAATTTTCTTACTACAAAATGCACAAAATTAGAAACGACATGGAAGTTGATATATGAAACTGATAAGTACTTATCAAAAAACAAATTTATACACGTAAGATCGTTATATTTGGCTTTGCATACAATACAAAACAAACTGTTTTTTTTGGAATATATCTCTTGAGGAATTATAAGAAAAATTATGTGGCTACTGCTTAGTAAGATTTCGCGATTGCAAAAGAAAACGTGAAATGAATGTTTTGGAGAATAAGTTTTGACGAGCTGTGCAGACAGTACAACAAGAATGATACAATACATGACTTGGCCTATAATTCTTATGGTTGAGATGTTTATGTTTAGCGTTCAAGAAGCTTTTATAAGTTTAACATTCTTTATTCACTTTTGCTCTTAAGTTTTTTTTTTTTGGTTTTAGGTTTTTCTTTGAAGTTTCTATTATGGTCCTTTGTCACTTTCCATGACTACGGAAATTGTAGGTGAAATGAAATTAAAACTTAATGATATATTGGTGATCCATTTTGAAATTTCTTTTATAACGCCAATTTGCATTTTTTTATATATTTCTGCCACTGCTTTTCTTATTTTTTTTGGTTGGTTTATTGGTTAAAAGACTTTTTATTTATTTTAAAATGGGTCGTCTTTTAATTTCAATGATTGAATTTTCTTTATTTTTTTGGGATCATGGAGAATGGGCACATGGTCAGGAAGTGGGTTTCCCTATTTTATTTTCCTTAGATATTTCAAATTTTCTAATAATTATAATGTGAAATTTTGAAACTAAATTTGGACGAATTTAAAATATTTTTACCTATCATGTGTATTAAAAACACGTTTTAATTCAAAATGAATCTTTGGTTTTTGACCAACGTTAGTTTGTTTATCATGAACTACCATCGATCGTTTGAATAAAAAAAAAGAGAGAGAGCGATAGAGATTCGTTAAAGTTGCAATAACAACTTATTTGAAGAATAAAACAATAATCATTTCATCAACTACAAGTTTTGATTTTCGGTAGCTCGTTGTTTTGTTAAACAGTTAAACATATGGTTGAACATTTGCAGTGAAAACCATGATGATGATACATAAACAAATAAACTATTCTAAATTGTTCTATATAACAAGAAAAAAAGAACTTAAAAAAGCATCATAAAAAGATAAACGTAGAAAAGCAAGACGCGTGGGCCAAACGTGAAAATGGAATAATATATCTCAAATCCTAATGGTACGACTTTTCTTTCATCACCAAATGTGAATTCGCGACTACTTTAGAGTTTTGGGTTAATATTGCTAGAGAGACTCTTTTTATTAGAGTTTAATTGTTTAAACTTTATAGTACATATTTAATTTCTCCTTTTCTTGCATCCCTCTTTTTTGCACTTTTTCCTTGTAGTTTTCATTTTATTATTACATATACAAGTTCCTTTCATTATTATGTAAAACACCCGCGATTAAGACAACTCCCTGTAATACACCATATAAAGAGACTCCAGTATATATGTATATGTAGATACGAAAATGTTCGTATATGCATATCGTCATCATCGACATGGTAAACGTTAACATGCGTAGAAAGAAAAGGTTGAACGATCACAGTCGATAATAACAATACAAACAAATTGAACGTAGTTTTCTAAATTTATCTAAACTCAAGCTAATCCTAGAATTTTACTACCGCTAAATAATAGAACAGTAGATAACAACTAATTTAACGTTTTCACTTACATATGTCTCTATCTATAGACTCTATACCAATCAAATCTCACCTTGCACAATGATTTTTCATAGAGTAAAAGTTATAAATCAATGTGAAATTAAAATAGTTACGAGAGGAATAATTAATTAAGAAGCCAACTTGATCTGTTGGGCCATCGTTTTTTCTTGAAAACCCCTTCACTTATTTCCGAAGGGAATTGGGTGCTAAAACTCAAAGCATTGTGAGAGATGCTGAGCTTACCTTCTTCTATATTTTACCTTTCATATAGTATTTTAAAGCAAAACTAGTTTCATTTTATAGTGTTATGGTTCTCACAAAACGATTACTCTATCTAGCAACAAACATAACTCATTTTATTTCGCTGTTTGAAATCATGAAACGATGGTTACTTCTTCAAACTACGGTTTTTTCTTTCTTTCTTGTGGATGTATATAATACAACACTACCGTCCGAGGCGTGTGATATTAGTTAAAAGTTATAAGGCTAATACATAAAGCTGTGCCAACAAACGTAAAAGCATCCCTGACTACAATAGATATTGAGTTGCTGTCTTGAATCAAACTACATATAATGCGTTCTCTATTAAATCATCAGGTTATGTGATCGATGAGGACCGACCAGACGATGATACATTCAATAAATATATATAGAAACGAACGTAATGCATGTATACTAATAAATAAGCATGTGTCATGCATGTGTGCATGAAGGGAGAGCTTTTAATTAATACATGTTCATGTATGTATGCGATATAAATGTATAACTATAACTTTAGAAGTACATATGAAGAAGATATTGCATATGTGATATGTGTCTCTGACAAGAAAAATTAAAAGTTACATGGGTCTCAGTGTCTCAAAGGTTTAGATTTCGAATAAGCATTTATGCCTTATGGTATACACATTCACTTCCATAGATTCCAAAAAAGCCATAGCTTTAGTCTTCTTCTGAAATAGTTATCCTGTTTCCTAATAATTATGAAAAATTTGGATGCACTATCGGTTTTCGGTATTAGAAAAAAAAAAAAAAAAGGGGGGTAGAGATACAACTGAGACCAAATTGAAATAAGTATTTTTTGAATTCCAAAGGCAGATATAATTCTTCTCGTAGCTAGCTAATATTCTTACAGGTTATAAGTAGTAGGGGAGGGAGCATCTTATGTCTTGTCTTCAATTCCACTGGAGCTATGAACAGTAGAGAATGGTCTATTTCCTGCAAAAGCTTAGCCGAAAGTGCAAGGAGACAAAGTAAACTTAAAGACAATCTCCCTTAACGAACAGCCAAACATTGTGCAGGCAATGAGACAATAATGCAGCTTGATCTATCACTGGATACTTTGTAGCCTGATTAGTGACCTTTCAATACAAATAAGAGGCTCCAAAACGTAACAAAAAAAAATCCAGAAGCCAACCACACACATGGTGATGACTGATGAGTAATGATCGATTCAACACTTATGAGAATTAAACTAAAAGAACACAAGTATTGAAACTCGCAAGTCAAATCTCTAAGTAAAGAGAATCCAACAACAGGTATTATTATATGAACAATTTGCTAAGTAGCAGATTACAAGCCAGATCAGAAATCAAAGCATATTTTCTCAGGTTTTATGCAATCAGGTCTAGAATTTTTTTAAAATGAGAAGAGTTACAGCTAGCTAATCGTTTTCTGCACTAGCTGAAGATGAAGGAAAACACAACGAAAGCGAAAACAACGAGGAGAATGATCTTCAACTGATTATCTTGTTGTCCTTGTCGACCTGTGTGCCGTTGATAACTATGCATATGAGAGTGTCCACCATGGAATGGATTTGAGAACCCGTGAGGGAAGCTGCCAGAAGCAGCAGCTCCATACATGGCTGCATCAGGGAATCCATGGAAATGGAGGTTGAACAACGAAGGAATCAAACCGCCAAACGCTGCAGACAAAGTAACATTCCCAAACCGCGCACTCGCCATGGGAGCAGCAAAACCTCCCATGAACCCTCCAAACCCATGATGATGATGATGATGAGCAAAACCATGGTTGGGATCAGGAGGCTGTGCAGTCTCGGGTCTCTGTCCAGAAGGACGGTTTGGCACCTCGAGCCCCGGAATAGACTTGGACCGAGGGTCAGCAGACGATTTACCTCTACCATACAAAGGAACCAATCTGTCCTCTTCGATGACAGCTTTGCAAACAGGACATTCCTTAGACTGAGAATGGAGATGGAGCCACTTGTACAAACAAGGCCAACAGAACAAGTGACCACAGAGAGTAACAATAGGATCTTGAGCCAAGTCTAAGCAGATGTTACATTCAAAGTTACCAGAGTCATTGCCGCTTGTGTTATTGCCGCTAGAACAAGAAGGGGCATCAGACATGATTGATTCACCAAAAACTCTCTGATTTTTTAAATGTCCTCCTACACAAGGTTTATCACAAGGTTTAGCAGCATATAATAAATCAACTGAAATCAAACACCAATAAGAAAGATAATAAACAGAGTAAGATTTTACTTTGAACTAATCAAACAAATCTCATGGACCAAAACAATCATAAACCTCTAGATCTCCCCCGTTAAACCACTTAAATTAAATCACCGGTCATACTATATATTCCGGCGATCAGATAACCAGATGATCTCTTAATCGGACCAAATTATTAACACAACAGACACTAAAATCGAAAAGCGAGACAAGACACCAAATAAAATTGAAACAATCCAAGACGAAGCAATTGATGATCGTAAATATACAAATATACCGTTGGATCGGCCGATGAAGGGATCTAAGGAACGATCGCTAAAACCGCAAGGAACACTGGTCGCTTAAGGGCTAAGGTTTTTGTTGGCCGGAGAAAGACAAGTTTCATCGACGAAACATTCATCTTTTGATTGTTTAATAATATTATTTATTTATATATTTTCTTACCTGTTTCTTTATTTTTACCCGCGGATATGACGTGTCCCTTGGAATGGTCCAAGAATCCGCGTGGGCACATGTATGTACACGTGACGGAGGACTAGTGGATGGACTATGTGAAGTCAACTCTATATTACTGGCCGTTCGATTAGGTTAGATATCAATCTTATGGACGTAGTAGATTAATAATAGGGAACAAGATTAAAAGACAACGTAATTGAGGCGGCTTAAGGTTAAATGTCAATGTGTCATAGTGTTGGTTTTACCCTCACTATTTTGCTGATTGCTGCAAAGTGCAAACACACCAAAACAAAGGTTGATTTGGATGCAATGTGCAGAATAGAAATGTCTCGACTTCATGGCTAAATCAAATATATTTAGAGCTAATCCTTCAGTAGTATGGATTGATTCAATGGAATTATGACAAAAATGGAGTTACGTTGCTTGAGTAATTAAGAAACAGGTCACTGACATAAGACATGTTTTGAATTTGGTCGGTAAAGCAAGTGTTACATGCATGACAAACCTTACCTTGGTCGGTCTCAAGACGAAGTTAACATTGTTTTTTCAAGATGACAACACGTGAGAGACAAAACACTCATTAATGTAGCACACCTATATAATATCTATCTTTTTTCGGGTTACAGTCTTCTTCTTCTTTACATGGTTTTGTTTGTTCCTTAAAAACCTTGTCTGAGCAGCTGTAGGTGATGCGAGATGATCATCTTTAAATAGAAAAATCTGTGAGAAACCTAAAACCAAACAAGCATTATAGTTTCATTTCCCTTTTTATGTTACTTTTAAGTGTTAACCGCTGAACCTGTTTTCTCTGCTTTGCTCTTAAGCTTCTTTTTCTAACTTAATTCGTGTAATTTTGTAATAAGATGCATATGAGGTTGATCGTAAAGCTACAAATGAAAATAAAATAAAATTATGTAATATTGAAGCTAGCATCTACTGAGTCAGAGCAACTCCATTGGCATTGCTTAATGATAAGCTTAAGACATTGCCTATATTTATTACATTATATTTAATGCAAAATCAAACATTTTTCGTAAGCTTTGTAGTCTAAATTAACACTTTAAGTAGAGACTAAGGGCTACTTATGAATTTATTTTTTAAAATTAATGCAAAATAATAAGTAAGCATTCTCCATTGGTGCTAACCATTGGAGATGGTCTTAGTTTGTATATTTCTAATTAGAGGGTTAATTACGTAATAAAACACTTTACATGTACGTAGGTCTTTATAGCTTTCCACCCGTTTTGCAAAGCAACTAGAGCTACTTGACTTACACTTTTTGATGATAAAACTTTTGCTTATAATTTGAACATTTTTTTCGATATAACTTTGAAAAATCAAAAGATGATTAACATTTTTAACCCATGATGGAACGCGTATAGTGTGATGCATTGGGAATTATATTTTCTAGTCAAAAGAAAAAGAAGTTGAACAATCTACGTATCAATCTGTTTTTTTCTTCCTTATAACTCGTAAAAATCTACTAGTTTTTAGAGACTTAACTATCATTACTCCGATATACAAATCCGAATTATTTGTTTCTATTAAGGTTATTATTATCAATAAAAGTATCCAAAAGGATACTGTTAAACAGCAAGGACATGCCAATATACGTATCTAACTTGAATACTTGTAGATTTTCTTACCCAAAAGAAACAAAACACAAAAAACATAAAACTAAACGAAGCTAGATACTCAATAGCTAGCATACAACACAAACTTAGGTGTATCATTTTTAACTTTAACGTACATTTCTTCTTCTGACAACAGACTTTTACTTTCATTATTTGTTTTCTAACCTTAAAATTTTTGCTCATTAATGTTGTCTTTTTCTTTCTTTTTGGGTCAGACTCGTTAATATTACGTTATAAACTACCTTTTATTCACATAAAAAAAAAAAAAAACAAGAAACATATACATGTGTCACCTTATGATTGAAAAATCGTCTCCAACAAAGGATTATAAATAGCATCGTTAATTTCATCAACTCATCATCACAGCTTCAATACTGATCAGACTAATCAACACAAATGGCGATTTCCTCCAGAGTACACCTTCTCTTCTTTCCATTCATCATCGCCACATGTATAATACATATAAACACTCTCTTCACTATTAATTCTTCTCATCTGCTAAGTGTATACTTAGCACAATTTCTACTTACTAAATTAATTACTCACTCTCATTACATATTTAATTTTGTGATAATTTTAATAGTCTTAATTAACTTATTGTTGCAAGGTGCAATTTCCATCGTCTCCGGCACCGTTTTCACCATAACAAACGGCTGCAGCTACACCGTCTGGCCGGAAATTCTCACCTCAAGCGGCCCACAAATCGGCGACGGCGGCTTTGCCTTACCTACAGGATCTTCCACCACTTTTACCGCTTCTCCGGGCTGATCCGGTCGTTTCTGGGGTAGGACGGGGTGTAACTTCGACTCTTCCGGCTCCGGGAAATGCGTTACAGGAGACTGCGGCGGAAAACTAAAATGCGGCGGCGCGGGAGGATCTCCACCGGCTACACTGGCGGAGTTCACAATAGGATCCACCGGACGAAAACTAAACGCCGTTCTTCAAGATTTTTACGACGTGAGCCTCGTGGACGGATACAACGTTCAGATGAAAGTCACAGCGCAAGGCGGCTCAGGGAATTGTCAAACCGCGGGATGCGTTTCGGACGTGAACGCGATTTGTCCGAACGAGCTACGCGTTACGGGCGAGGGGGGTGTTGTGGCGTGCAAGAGTGCTTGCGAGGCTTTTAACAAACCGGAGTATTGTTGCACCGGAGCTTTTAATAAACCGGAGACTTGTCCACCGACGAGTTACTCGAAGATATTCAAAGGAGCTTGTCCTACAGCGTATAGCTATGCATACGATGATGCTTCCAGCACTTTTACTTGTACTAATGCTAATTACTTGATCAGTTTCTGTCCTTAATTTTGCATTATTAACAATTTGTATGTAATGCCTTCATTTTTTATCAACAACAATAAGAGAAAGAATTAATCAATTTTTTTTTTGGTAGAAAGAATTAATCATTTTAATCTCTTTACAAATACTCACAAACTCAAAGACGACGTTTCTAAAACAAATATGAAATAGGCCGGCATAACCTTTTTTATTTACGAGAAGACAGAACTAATAATTAACCAAAGATTATATATTTATGAAAAAGATGACCGTCCTTTTTGATGTTTAAAAAAAAACCCTACATATATATATATCAAAGGTTCTTTGAGTAAAGTCATTTTTTTCTTTTGGAGCAGATATACATAAAGGCTACATTTTCATTTATCGACAGTAAAGAAGAAGAGGAAGATGTTGCAAGAAGAGGCAGATGTTTATAAATTGTGGTTGAAAAAGATTCATTTTATTTTATTTATTCCAACACTGTTTTACTCACTCTTGTGAATATGACTAAAATGAAACTAAATGGTGTTGTCATCTGCTATAGTTCTGATGCCAGTAAAACAGATGCACTTTTGTAAAACACAACTAATCTCTTTTAACTTTCAGTAAAAGAAAAATGAGGTCCCAGGTCTCAGCTCATATATTCAGTATCACTTGCGGAGTTGCGGTTGACAACAAAGCTTTAAATACATTACAAACCGGATTCGAACTTCCCTTTTGTATCTAATTGTTTTTATTACATCTTCCTCTGATGTATCTTCAAAGTTATATCATTTCACTTTGAGTTGAGGTTAAAGAAAATGACCAGAAAAATAAAGTGAGAGAAGTCTATTTACATTCTAACATACCAATCTTTCATGATCGTATCAGAATAGATAGTTACCAATTGGGAGCTTTAGAGAGTCATTTTTTGGTTTCTTGATGGTACTTACATGGCTAAACAACAGAAGCAACAAGAAACAACATCTACCCTTTAGCCAAACATCTCTAGAAGAACTAAAACTTACCAAGCCACAAATGGTTAAACAAGTCGATGTACCATACATACAAGATTTGTTAAAAAAAAGTCAGGGCTCTTCTTAGCTGATGCAGTTAAGATCAGTGTTTCTGGTTTCTTTTGATTGCAACTTGCAAGCCTTCTTCATTCTCTTTGCAGCTTGGACAAACCCAACAATAACCTGAAGCTCATCCATTTGCTGTTATCATATCACCACAGTTTTTACACCATTTTATATATCGATCATCAGAACAAAATCAAGACAAATCCATAAACACAATGAAGGCTAAGAAGGATTCTAGTATACCTGAGACATGAAGTGCCTCTGAACAATGTCAATTAGTTGCTCTTTTGATGGATTAGGAATTGCATCCACCTACACAGAGTTTATTAAGAAGCAAGCACATTAGAAAGTAGAGTTCAAGATTGAGTAAACAAAACTTAGTTTCTTCTTGAAATCAACTTACAAGGTTAAAATGTTGCCAATATTTCAGTAAAGCAGGCATTTCCAGTTTGCTAAGATCGACCTTCTGCATCAGTAAACATACGATCAGTCATATTACATTCCATGGTAAAAGAAATACATCTCAACATTTTGAATGCATACCATGTTTTCAGGAGGAGTAAAACCCGAACTTTTTGATTGTGAGTCAGATGATAGAGACCTGCTCATTGCCTTGTGAGATGACCGCGATCTCTGCCCTCTTTGCTTAGACTTATGAGGCTTCAGTGTGTCTTCAGATGCTGGAAAAGAAACAACTTGTCATAGAAACAAGACTGAGATTATCAGTTATAAACAATATGCCATTTAGTTAACTCCATTGGAGACCATATAAAGTTGAGAGATCTCTGTCCAAGTTGTTTGAAAATTCTTGAAGAGATCAAAGAACCAAACTTACTCATATCGGAGCCGTTCCTTTGAGTGCTTTCGAAATCAAGGTCATCGTCTTCTTCGTTTCCAGTTGGAGGTTCAAGGACACTAAGCGCATTCCTCTGCAACTTCACTTCTATTCCATTTGTCAGAACCTAAAACACAAACAACCATCCTGGTTAAATACTTTAGTCCATAAAACAAGTACTGACATATTGATTTAAATAAAGAAGCTCCAGAAGAACAAGAGAATATGAAGAAATGCTTCAAAAAAGAAAAAAGAAAAAGAGATTTATTATATTTATTTACTCTTTCCATAGGAACTATGGGAGACAAGAACTGGTGGAATGTGATATCATTAATAGTAAAATATATTCGTGAGTAGACTGAAGAAAATCGTAAAACTATTTGGATTATTCTTTAAAGTTTAAAGCCAGAATATGGTGAAGTTACTCCTTTTGGTCCACACACACAGAGACACTCTATCAAAAAGATCTTGCAGAGCAAAAATTATAATTATAAAAACTAGTAGCCAACCAAAGCAAAAAGATTTGATAAAGAAAGAGAAAAAAATCGACAGAAGTGACACTGCTTGGGGACGAAAATGACTCAACAAATAAAGAAAGATCAAGAAAAAAACACTAAAACAAATGATTATCATATTAATCAAAGCCAAAACAATTTTTTAAAAAGAGCCAGCTTGAATCCATAAGGGAAAAAATTGTCAAGAAACATGATGGAGAATTAGATAACAAGTGCATATTTGTTATGATGATTTTTCCGAACAGGCGCGAAAATAAAAGTAGACTTTTTTTTTAATTGCTGCCTAACTTAAAACTCAAAAATCCCTTGTCCATCTTCCTATAGATGATTCCTGAAATTGAGCCTGAATCTCAGCAAGAATCATCAAAGATACTAAAAGATGTTTCAGTAACTTTATTTGGTGCAAACAAACTGTTACTAGAAAGAAATAAAATTAGTAAAGGAAAAAAAAATCAATGAAGGGTTCATGAATAACCTAACTAGCTTAAGAAGTCCAAAATGCAAAGTTAAACAGTGTGAAATCCAGCAGTAATGGTGAGTTGAATGCTTAACATGCATGCAAGAAGATCAATAGCCTGAATTTCGAAACATTTACAGATTTAAACTTTGGTAATGACCAAAAGATTTGATTTTTATCACACTCTTGATCCTTGGTTTGATGAGGTTAAATGCAAATTATGAGAATTAATTAGTGAACCTGTATAGCTAGTAAATCAAAGCCCATTGATGATCTATCATTTAAAGAAGACATTACCCAGAACAACACTAAAATCATTTTTTTAGCAAATCAAGAAGAAGAAGAAAAAAAAAAAACCCAAATTCGAAATTCAAAATTCGAAAAACACCAATTTTATATTCACCGATCCAATAGAAGAGAGGAACACTAATAAAGATGAAGTAGATGGAAAGAAGATACTAAAAAAAGAAAACGGAAAAGGAAACAACAAAGATCACATTTTTACCAGAAAAGGAAAGAAATTTACCAGCCAATGCCAACCACCGAGACCGACAGCTTTTTTGACAACACCTTGAAGACCAACAAGCACCGATTTCGTACGGTTGTTTCCGGTGACCACCACTTTCGTATGACGTGGCAGTACTGATAACTCCTCTTCGCTACTGCAATCGCCGTAAAAGCTCTGAATCTGCGGGAATCCTCCATTGACGACCCCTGAGCTATCTACAGCTTCCAGCATTCTTCTTCTTCTCTATCTTAATCCTATATAGAAACTCAGATCAGCAGACCCACCTCGACTTTTCAGCTCATAACCCTGATACGAAATCGAAGATCATGCATTGCTAAGTGATAGAGAGAGAGAGAGAGAGGGAGGGAAGGATCAGATGATTGAGCGGGAAAAAACTGGAGAGAAGAGATCGATGTAAAAGAATTTTAGGGTTTGTCCCACAAGAAGAAGCAAAGAGAGATGAGAGATGAGAGATGAGAGAGAGAAGAAGCAGAGTAAAAAAAGAAAGAGAAGGAGAAGAAGAAGGAGCTAGGAGGGAAAGAGAAGGCTTGATAGAGACCAGTTTCCACCACGTTAACCATTTGTCACTCGCCACGTAAGCATTGTACTGAAACTATATGCGTTACGAAAAAAAGAAACAGAACCCGGTTTTGTTTTTCTTTTGGATTTAACCGGAGGGGTACTTTTTGTAATTTAAGAACACGCGATTGACCTGAATGGTTGACTGGTGTTTAATAAAGACAGGGTTGTATGGGACCCGTTTCTTCATTAAATGACGGTTCTACCCTTCTTCACGTCATCTTTTTTTTTTTTCCAATCGTTTTGAAAATTTTGGAACTTCTTTTGTCCTTATCTTATAATTTTCTTTTCTTACATAATTATTGCTTCCTCCATTACTAGATTTTTTTTCCTTTCTTTTCTATCAAAAAACGAAAAAGAGTTTTACTTTTTCTGAAAACCCGGTTCTGTTTAAAACACAGTAACTAGTACTGCTTAGTAAGTGAAATTAATGTATCGAACACAGTTAAATAAGAATTGAACAATAATTTAAACTCATATAATGACTAAAATAAACAAATTGAATATGGTTAGTTGATGCGATTATTGTGTATATACAACAAAAATTTAAATACTACCTGGAAACAGGAGTAATTAAATGTCTTTTAATGAGAACACTTCTTCTTTAATGAAAACACTACTATTAACACACATCGAATATTCAAGTCAAAAGAGCTCAAGGGACGCAACAATACAAAACCATCTAATAGTAATATAGTAAGACTAGAGACAATAGATAATTAGATTAGTAGTATAGAAAAAATAGTTATCCCTCGTTTCTTGTATAGATTGATCTTTTAGATTACTAGTAGATGAAAAATAGTACATGATGAAAATATTACAGGTTAGGATCAAATTATGTTGTGTAGAACTTTTAATAAGAAGAAGGAAGGGGTCATTGTCATTGACACAGTTTACAAAGGCACCCCACAAATAAAACCGTCCCCATATTTGGGGAAACTATCAAAGCGACCCCTCACCAAACCCCTGCTTCAATTATTCAGCTCCTTTTAATGCTTACCATTTCCCTCCCCTCCATTAAAACCAAACTCTTTTCATACGTTTGCTCTTTATTGTTTTTAAACCTTAAGCTACAAATGTGAATCTATAATAAATGGGTTTTGCCTGTATGATTTTAATGATCAACATCCGTTGGTGGTTTACCGGATACTTCACAAGTGTTTGAATTTTGGAACTAGATTTTTGGGGTTGCTTGTTACATTTTTAAATTAGGGGGCTAATTGTGTTCAATTATGCAAGTTCGAGGGTTTAATGAGAATATATTCTTATACGTCCGGCGTTTTTGTTTGAAGCCGGAGAGACTAGAGAAGAGTGTTTTGAGCCGTCGTTAATGGCGAAAACTGATAAGCTAGCTCAACAATTCCTTGATTCGGGAATCTACGAATCCGACGACTCCGATTGGTTCTTCTTAGACCCAGTTCGTCTTATTAATCGTTCATACACTAAATTTAAGGTTTCGCGTTCTGCTTACTACACTCGTTTCTTCAATTCGAAGCATCTCAACCTACAACCCAGAGACCCTAATCCGAAAAAGCGAAAACGGAAGCAGAAAAACCCTAGCTTTCAGCTTCCTAGTGCAGGAGAGCAAGCTTCGGATCGTCGCCATCAAGATGCGAGGCTCTTCTTATCGAAATCCCATGAATCGTTTCTAAGAGAAACAGAGCTGTTGAGTTTAACGAAAGGTCTGAGTGATGATTCTAGTTTGTTAACTAAGTGTTGTGACGATGGACTCTCTTTTGTTGAGCTTGGAGGAGTGTGGCAAGCTCCTTTGTATGAGATCACACTCAATTTCAATCTACATTGTGATGATAAAGGTTTTTGTATCTTTCTAGTTCACTTGCTGAATCTTATTAGAATCCCATCAATTTGATGGTGTGATTGATCTTATTAGGTTGCTCAATTGACAAGTGCAATGAAAAGAGAGTGTTTCAAGTGTTCAATAACCTAGTAGTGAACGAGAGCGGAGAAGAAGTTGAAGCTGAGTTTTCCAACCGGAGATATATAATGCCTACAAAGAGTTCCTTCTACATGGTTGGTGATATTTCCTGGCATTGTTTTGAATTCTATATAAAGGATGAAATTTTTTAGTTGATGTGAGGAATGGTTCTTCTGATTTTACATTTCTTTTTCCCATGTTGCCTTGAAGTCTGATTTACTGCACATCCGAAACCTCGTTCCTGGTAACTATTGTGCTATATTCCTGAATAGAGATTTTGCTAAAAGTTGAGCTTTAGAGTATTCTGCCATTGTTTGCTTGGTCCTTAGTCATTTGTTCAAAGATCAGTTATGATCATATCGGTAGGAGATTGTGCATAGCGATGTATTTAATCTTTTTGGGTCATACTTGCAGCTAAACCTGCAGAAGGCTTCAATCTTATAGTTATTGATCCACCATGGGAAAATGCAAGTGCTCATCAGAAATCAAAGTTTGTTTCTGACTTAAAGTATGCCTTTGAATAAGCAACTTTTGTATCAAAAATTGTCCTGATCCATGTTTCTTGGTTCTTTGTTTTAGGTATCCTACTTTACCAAACCGATACTTCTTATCCCTCCCGATCAAGCAGCTTGCTCATGCTGAAGGAGCTGTCGTCGCTTTATGGGTGACCAATAGAGAGAAATTACTTAACTTTGTTGAGAAAGAGCTATTCCCTGCTTGGGGAATCAAGTATGTTGCTACAATGTATTGGTTAAAGGTGAGACCATCTTTGACCTCTCACAAGCCCCATCTTGGTTTCTGAGTTGCATACATGACTTTGAATTCACACGCTGGCTATGTAAATGTTTTAGGTGAAACCAGATGGTACATTGATTTGCGATCTGGACCTGGTCCATCATAAACCTTATGAGTATCTTCTACTAGGCTACCGCTATACCAAAGTAAATCAGCTCTTTTCTTTGTTAGTTGAATTATTTGTTTAAGGAATTTCTGTTTAAACAGCCATGTGTAATGTATATGTCTTATAGCTTGCAGGATCAGAACATAGGTCAAATTTTACACTCTTGGATAAGAACCAGGTAATCATAAGCATCCCTGGAGAATTTTCGAGGAAACCCCCAATTGGAGGTAAACTTATTCAATTCTTCAAGAGCTTTGTTTTGCGATTGGCTTCATAAAATTCAACAGCACAAAGCATTTTTTTCAAATTCTTTCTGTACAGCTCCCTGATTCTTTTTTTATTTATTTATTGCGACTTTCTCTAGAGATACTCATGAAACACGTCCCCGGGTCTCAACCTGCTCGATGCCTTGAGCTATTTGCTAGGGAAATGGCTGCCGGATGGACCTCTTGGGGAAACGAACCACTTCACTTTCAGGACTCAAAATACTTCTTGAAAGATAATGAGTGTATCAACAGGTTGTAGCCAAATTTCATGTTCGTTTCTCCATGGTTCATTTTGAAACAGAGGACAGTGAGGAGAACCCTTGGTTAGTATTAGAGGTGCGGTATTGAGAAAACGACATCGCTTGAAGAAACAAACGTTAAAGTCAGTCAGACGAAAGAAGCTTGAAGTTGAAACAACTAGTGTTAGATTATTGTCTCAGAAGTCAGTAACTGTACTGTCAATTTAGTAACTTTTTTCTTTTTCTTTTCCTGTGATCATCACAGATTCACAGATGCTTCAGAGGAAAATAAAATTATATATTATCAGTAGTTTCAGTACAAGCAGCAGATCACATACTATATACTGAATAAGTGAATATTGATATCATCATCCTTACATTATACATAGATTTTTGTTATCTTGTCAATAAAATAAAATAAAAGGGCAAAAGCGTGTTAAATAAATTGAATAAGTGACTACTCGTTGTTGTTGGAAGATCATATCTGCTTCGATGGGTCTACGTGTGGGGCAAATCCACTATCCAGTTTTCCTATTGTGTTCAATGAACTATGCGATTTTTTCATATTAAAATAAAATAAAAACATGATCAATGAAGGTGAAAGGCCCCAACAATAATTGCGAATATAGCTGATTGTTAAATCGCATTCAAATGAAATAAGTAATACAGTACTATATATTATGCTTTACAAATCACCAAAACAAATTAGCCATACAATATCCAAACATATAGCTTTCCATTTGACTGGAATAATGATAAAGTATTCTGAACAATGTTATATGGAAACTCAATAGGTTTCACTAGTCTCTTTTTTTCTTCTTCTTACATTTTACGAGTTACGACCATCTTTAGTAATTTCAGTGTTGCTAAGTTTACGAAAAGTGAAGGAGTTTTGGTAGCTAGTCTAATGTATCCATCCCAACACACAGATTCTCTTTGGGACTTCTAAACAAGTTTGGTCGTACTCCATAGAGGAATGTCGCCATAGATTCATTCATGAGCAAGCAATAGAGTTAGCTTAAGCACTATGCCCATACCATAAAATATTTAGTTAGTTAACATTTAACGATCCGTTTGACGTATGTTTTTGTAAGGTTATAAAACAAGAATAATTTGGCTAAAATACAAAACAAAGTTAAGAAATACGAAACTAGCTAGCTAACAAAAGGATAGACACAAAATAAGAAATAGTCAGGACAAAAGTAACCACTCATTTTCTTCTATTCATACTATAGTGAAATGACTCTTATCTTTATATACTTATTTCAAATATACTATACTATAGTGACACATTAGTTATTAAAATAACAAAAAAAATCATTTAAATGGTTTATTGAGGCTCAAAACAATTTGTATTCTATTTTAACATGGCGAAACCCCTTAAGAAAAAAAAAACCAATCAGATGGTGTGTTTTTCCGGTCATACTCCAAAGACCCACTTCCTATTTACACACATCCCCACATGTCGTCGTCTCTCTTTGTATAAATCTGCTCATTCTTCTTACACAAACAAGACTGAGATAACCCAACCAAAACAAAAAACATAAACATAACGTACTCCTTCTCAACTGATTCGTTACGCAATTCTACACTGTAAGTTACAATACACCACACTTATCCTCACCCATTCGTCAAATCCCACTTGACACGTGTCTGTTTTAAGTCATATCAACGGTGATTTGTTTAATTATGAACCTGCGCGTACTCGAACATTCGTTCACACCATATCATCCTCTTCTTTTTGCTTTTCTTTGCTTATTTTTTTTAATTTAATTTTAATATAACGAAGAAAAAAGATTCTTCTATAATTCCAGCGAAGAAGAAAAAAGCGTATTCCTCGTGAGCACTAACTTCTCACTCTTCTTCTCCATCTTCTTCTTCTTCAGCTGATTCATCATCCGTACCCACCGGTGTTTTGAGGATTTGTTGGGAAGGAAAGATGACGTCCGACGGAGCGACGTCGACGTCAGCAGCAGCAGCGGCGGCGATGGCGACGAGGAGGAAACCGTCGTGGAGAGAGAGGGAGAACAATCGGAGGAGAGAGCGGCGGAGAAGAGCTGTCGCGGCTAAGATTTACACCGGTCTTAGAGCTCAAGGCAACTACAATCTTCCAAAACATTGTGACAACAATGAGGTGCTCAAGGCTCTCTGTTCTGAAGCTGGTTGGGTCGTTGAAGAAGACGGCACTACTTATCGTAAGGTCAGATATTAATCGCTTTTGGTTTAGATCTGAGCTTATCTGTGTTTGTTTCTCATGTTTTCTCTCTTGAATCTGATGTTGTTTTGGATTAGTTCTTGGATTTAAATTGTTTTTTTTTTTTTCGTTTGTCTAGGCTATGAGCTGAGGGGAAACTCAGTTTTATTCTAAAATTGGATCTAGATTCCTTCTGATTTGACTTGGAGAATGTGAATTTTAGAACCGAATTAAAACTTTCTTTAAAACATTTGCTTTCTCTGGGTTACTATATTTAGATTTCTCTTCTTTAGCTTTTGTTAGAGTATCTGAAAATCTTAGCCATTACTTTTGTTTGCAGTTTTTGTTACATAAACATTAGTGGAAAGGATTCATTTGATCCAAATTCTTTACACTACTGTTGTTTTTTTTTTTTATTCTTTGATTGTGACATTGAGTTGTTTTTGCTTTTGTTCTTTGATCAACACAGGGACACAAGCCTCTTCCTGGTGACATGGCTGGATCATCCTCTAGAGCCACTCCTTACTCTTCTCATAACCAAAGCCCTCTTTCTTCCACTTTCGATAGCCCCATCCTTTCTTACCAAGTCAGTCCATCGTCTTCTTCGTTCCCGAGTCCTTCTCGTGTTGGTGACCCCCACAACATCTCCACAATCTTCCCTTTCCTAAGGAATGGTGGAATTCCTTCTTCGCTTCCTCCGCTAAGAATCTCAAACAGTTGTCCAGTCACTCCACCCGTCTCATCCCCAACTTCGAGAAACCCCAAACCATTGCCTACTTGGGAATCTTTTACCAAACAATCCATGTCCATGGCTGCTAAACAGTCCATGACATCTTTGAACTACCCGTTTTACGCGGTTTCTGCACCTGCCAGTCCCACCCATCATCGCCAGTTCCATGCCCCAGCTACTATACCTGAATGCGATGAATCTGACTCTTCCACTGTTGATTCTGGCCATTGGATAAGCTTTCAGAAGTTCTCACAACAGCCATTCCATGGCGCCTCTGTAGTGCCAGCCTCTCCTACCTTCAATCTTGTCAAACCTGCTCCTCAGCAGCTATCACCAAACACTGCAGCAACTCAAGAGATTGGTCAAAGCTCGGATTTCAAATTTGAGAACAGCCAAGTTAAGCCATGGGAAGGGGAGAGGATCCATGATGTCGCTATGGAGGATCTAGAGCTCACGCTTGGTAATGGTAAAAGCTCGTAGTTGAAATGAAGAACAGAGGAACCCGTTATGGCATGTTGGAAGGAAGGATTGGAGTCTTTAGTGTGTTGCTCATTCAGTTCATGGTTTTGGTACTTGTACTAGAATCGTTTATTCATAGAACCAGTGAGTTTGTTTCAAAACGCATTATTTGTAGATAGAATGTTTAAGATGTATGTTTCTATTATCATTCCTTTTAGGTCTTGGAAAACTTTACAAATATTACTTTTTTAAGTGGCTTGAGCTATATATATATCATTCAGACCTCAACTTTATGGGACGATGAAACAGAGAAAATAAGAAAGACTAAAAGCAAAGACTTTGCGAAGTAACAAGATCATAGAGGTAAAAAAAGACTTTAACTGTAAGATACACAAAAATTCATAATACAAAAAAAGGAAAGCAGAAGGCATGAAGTAGTAAACATGGGAACAATTAAGGTAAAATAGATTAGAATCACAAATGTCAAGAAACTGGGGAAGCTTTTAGCCTAGCTGCTTTTCAGGTGAATCATTCAGAACCATCTGGGAAGCTATCAAGAGCGTCTTCCTTACCATTTACGTAGAACTCAACCACGGCTCGCATTCTATTGAGCTTATCTGGATGGTAATTTACATGAACAATCACCGGTTTCACCTTCTTCTTCAGTTCATGATTCTTTCTTACAGTCTTGAAAAGGACCTTACTGTTCATAAACTCATACATATCCATGACTCTCTTGGATGCGTGTAGAGCAATATACTCAGGATGTGAAGGATAAAACAGTTCCTCATTAAAAACCGCTTGGTCCCATACTTTTGCCTTGGCGAGTCTATCTGCCACACGATCAAGCAGCTCGATTGCTGGAATCGTAGGCCTTAGATAGAAAAAACCAGAATTGAATACCCATATCCTCATCGTGTGAGCATACCGAGCCCATCCCATGGATGGTTCATCAAACACATCGTTGAATCCATAAGCCGTGTGATTATCATGGCCGTCGCTCATTGACTCCACATCAGAGTCTCTGTATAAATGACTAAATGGGTTCTGCAAGAAGACAATGTCCACATCCGAGAGAAGAACACCATAACCGAGTTGCAAGAACTCTCTCAACACACGGAACTTCAACCCAGAGACGGCATGGTTGCCTCCGGTTTTCCCAACAGTGTCCACGTCCTTGTCTGGATCTCTCTTGTAATACGCAACATCGTTTTCTTTACAGAAATTCTCAATGTAATCGTCCAATGCAACAACCAGGTAGTTGGTTATACCCACTCTCTTAATGCTAGCAATCTGAACCTCCAACATTGCTTTCACATTTGCGTTCGCAAGAGCCACGATCACCTCTTTATCAACAGCAATCTCCTCTAAAATCTTTGCCAATCTTGGGTTTATAGATTCATCCGGAAGGATAGTTGGATTAGTTCTCAGACTCTTGACAGTTCCAAAAGGACCCGCCTTGATCTGTGTTCCCAACGCTAGAACCTGTTTTCGTGCACTGTCTGATCCTTGCTCAGCTAACTGTAGCTTTTGTGTTAACTCTCTGACTTGCTTCTTTAATTCTGCATTCTTCTCTGAGAGAGATACAAAGTCTGATTTTAGCATTTTCACTCGTTCAGGCGATTCACAAGCTGATGATCCAACCTAAACCAAAAAGAAAGCACCAAGAAGTGATGAAATTTCACCAAGTTAACTACGAACCTCAATTATCTATAAACAACTCAGCTTAATTCCAAAATCAGATGCAATATCCATTAATCAACCAAACCAGCTTAAAAATTATCTCCAACTAACATATCACCAAGAAGAATTTCAATGTTTAGACACTAACCCCTTAATACCTATAATGGCTGAGTCAAATCATTCTAAGTATGTAACTCGATCACAGAACCCAACAAAAATTGAAACTTTACAGATATTAGGGTGTAAGGGTAAGATGCAGTACCTGGTTGCTTGATTTAGAAAGGCGTTCATTAACTGCTAACGACGAGTTGGAGTTGAAGAAGCCATTTGGGAACAGGACGGCGCATACGCAACCGATAAAGATACCGATAAGGATGGCGATCGCAATTCGAGATCCACGGAGCTGTTGGCTTCTATCTCTACGACCCGCCATGGCCGTTGAATTTTCTCTTCCTTATACCAGCGAGAACAAAAGAGAAGACCCAGGAGCTCAAGATGAGAAAAAGACTCCTCCTTTGATCACCTAAACGAAACAACTTTTGAACAATGTGGTGGATCAGAGTAAAACCCTAGAAATGTACTGTTTTCTACGGTGGTCTCAGGGTCAGACCTTCCGGCTTTTGAAGTTGTTGAGAAATGGAGAGCTTGTGTTTGGCATTGTCTGCGAAGACGACGATGATGAATCAAAAGCTTGTTTGTAATGTTCCTCTACTTCACACGATGTAGATTCGTTTCTGGTATTCTCCAGTTGAAGATGAAATTCAACCCTTGGATGAGATGACTATTCTGCTGACTCATCTGACGGTCAACATAACAGATTATAAATCGAGTTTAAGGAGAAAATTTAAAAATAAAGGCTAACAAACTCACATCTATTATTTATCCACTTGCTAGCACGATCATTCATGAGCTACATGATAGACCAAAAACACATCTTGACTATTGACTAATATGATTGAGATTAAGTTGTTAAGCTGTCAAATTTAAGATCGCATCTTTATTTAAATTCATTGATCAAGAAACTTTGCAAATTCTTTGACCAGAGTTACATTGAAGAGACTTGCCAATTAAAAACGAACGGTGAATAAAAAAAAACCTTTAAGAGCTTATAAACTTACAAAGATTACATTTTCCCTTTGAAGTAATTGGTGGTTACGTGCCAGAATTTGCAAGTAATCCAAAGATTTTTAACTTTCGTTGTCCAAAACTTTGTTGTTACCAAACAAATGGTCTCTTCTATTACCAAACCCGTTTGAATCAAGACCCGAGCCGCCACGATAATTGTTATGATCCTGTGCGGTTGTTCTATAGTTTCCATCCACCGGAGCTCTCGAACTCGGGTCGTTATCTCCAACTGACCGGTATGACGAACCACCAGCGTACCTTCTCCGTAGATCCATGAGGTCGTCGTTTCTTCTTGAAGGCTCGGTGAAACCCGGCTCTTTCGTTGAGCTGTTTTGTCCCGCGGTTGGAGTAAAAGGATCATCTGGTCCCCATGCGGTGAGCGATTCTTTCTTCTTGGCAAAGAAATGCCAAGCTCCAAATAGAAACAATATAAAGAAGAACACCGGACTGCTCCAAAGCATTGTATTGAAGTCTCCTTTGAGAGTTGGAAGCTTCGACTTATAAACCGCGAAATATCCATTTTCTAAACCGATCACAAGAAGATTTTCTCGGTCGCTAGCTATCAAAGGCCTCGTCTTTACTATTGCGGTTCTTGAAGATGATTCGCGATGGCTCAAGAACGCGGATCTGATCTCTTCTAAGCCCGCGGAGAACAAAAGCCGAGGGCCAGCAGTACGAACATAATGCTGAGTCGATACATTGAAAGCGAAAACCTTTTCTTCGTTGATAACGAGAAGATAGCCTTTGATTGATTGTAAAGCTACTGGCTCCTCCATTTGAAACTTCTTCTTGGATCTAACCCTACATTTGAAGTTCATTATATCTCCATGAAGCAATACATGAATGATTTCACCATCAGATGTGAATCCGTAAGCTTTAGACCGTTCCGAGGCATCAAAAACATAAGTTCTCGCAAGCGAATGGTTCAGTCCTTCGCACTCGGTTTCTCTTATCTTCATGGTCCTTAAGTCCAACGAACCAGCACCAGACTCAGTGAGAAACAACAATCTCTGTTTCAAGAACACAAGCGGTCTACTCGATGGCATCACCGACCCATAAACTGTCCTGTTCTCAGTCAAAACCGTGAGCTTCCCGCTTAAATCCGTCGCCAATATATACCTAACCCGACCCACATGATGCACTTCCAATAGAGTCACAGGATCAGCCGAATCATCTATATCAAATTTCCCAACATTTTCCATCGAAACAGAATTCGAGTTCCAGTCTTCCCCATTCGATCCCTCGTGAATCCGATGCAACAAAACCGCACCGTTCTGATGGCCCGTAACCACGAAACTCGAGTTCCTAAAAATCGATAGATAAGAAACCATAGCTGTAACGGGAGAATCAACAGTGGTGAAAAACTCAATCAAAACATCACCATTTCTCAAGAAAACATAAACCCTTCCTCTAGAATCACCAATTGCAAAGTACTTGCTCGAACCTTCGAAGTCCCTAAACGGTAACACATTGATACAAGTCGCATCGGAATTGAGTTTCACAGCTGATGTAAACTGAAACCTCTCCGACCAAAACGGACTATATTTCGTAACTGAAAACGCCTTAGCTCTTCCTCCTCCTCCTCTCTCCTTCTCTTCTCCGATGTCATCATCAAGTGATCTAGTGATCTCGTTCTTCTCCTTTAGTGGAGTCTCAGATAACTTGGCATCTAGATTAGCGACTAATTCCGTAAGATTCTTAACGAGTTCCTCTAGATTATGCAATAGCACAGATTCTCGATTGGATTCGCTAACCGAGACAGCTACATCGGTGGAACCATCTTCGATAACCAGAGACTCGGTGGCATACGACGGCGATATAGAAAGCAAAGTGAAGGAGATTAAAAGCGAGAAGCAGAAAAAGAAGGACTTGCCGTTTCGGAGATCCGCCATCAAAATAATTGAAAAGGGTTCAAGCAGAAAGCTTTCTTCTTCTTTTCTTTTTCTTTCTGTCTGAATCAGTAATGAGTAACCGCCATTTATGCGGATCTGTAGGAGATGAAGATTTTAGGATCTGGATAAAAAAAAGTCTAAAACAGAGATTTTGTTTGGGTGATGTAAGATAACTAACAAAGTGTCAAAATTTGATCTTTGTGTCCGGAATTGGCTCCGGTCGTCTTCAGTCACGGTGAAGCTTAGGTTAGGACAAAAGTAAGTAAGAAGAGATCAGATATGTCTTAAGATATTTTTAGGACTACCTTTATGATGTTATTTTCAGATTTTAATTTTAATTTTATTAATTTGATTTTTTTAAGGGTTTTAATTACTATTTTATTTCCATTAATATATTGCTAATGTCTCGTTTGTTGTTAGTTTTGTAAATAATGAAGAAACTTGAAACTTTGTTTTTAGCTTTCAACCGGAATGACAACTTAGATAAATATGATCTAACTTAACAGATTGATTACATATAGATTTATAATTATATATGATATCATAGAGTACTAATTATAAGAAGTATTATATTTTAATGTGAGATATTGAGAACATAAAATTGAACAAAATGTTCACATATTTTAATAAGACGTTGGAACTTAAGATATGCTCTGCCTATAAATCAGGTGGATCAAAGATGATGAAATACCTTTTTTAAAAAAAATTCCGCCGACTACTTTAGATGGCCAAAACCATAGAAAAATAATACACATGCTGATCAAAGACAAGATCCATAGATCCTCCACGTGAAGTTTCTTGGCCACAGTGAAGCAAAGCTCTCGATTATTCAAAACACATTGTCCCAATGCTTATATATTGACAAAGTCTACCATGAGATCCCCAAATCTTCGTCTTTTTCTTTTCTTACTATATAACCTATATATAGAAGACAACCCCAAAATTAAAACAAAAACAAAAGTTCTGTCTAGAGGCCAAACAAAAAGTAATTATTAATGTCTGTTGTGATAAATTCCCAAACAAAAAACAAACGAGAAATGTGAAATGAAGAGAAAGAGAATTGTCTGAATAGCCGAGGAGACTGCCTGACGACTACACCAAATCTAAGACTATCGATATATCGAGTCTTTGATATGTATGGTTTCAAACGCAGGCAAGTCATCCTTGGCTACCACACAAGTTCTCATTCTTCATATCACCATTTTCTCTATTTATGATGAGGTTGTTGCTGAGTAGACCCTTTCTACTGTGTGTATATATAGGCATGGCCGTATAAAGATGGAGTGGACACAATATGTTTGCTTCGACATGTGTGCTTGGCCTTGGAATATGTTCTTAAAGATTTGGGAATGGGATGGTCTTAGTATCAAACAATTGGTGAACCGTATTAATATTCGTTTAGTTAATATTATGTGTGTTGCTATTGTTAGTTAGAAGAATGTTGATATAATTTATTTTGTTAGACTAATCACAAAAAATAGAAAAAGAGGAAAGCATGCCAAACGATATGCTTTGAAATCTAACCATCTCTATCGGGCCAGTACCCCCTTTTCTTCCTAGTTGACTACTAGCTAGTCTTGGGACCATAGAGGAAAGAACATTTGTAAAAGTCATGATGCCCTATGAATTTGTGTAGTAAACAGGGAATATATAGAGCTTTTTTTTGTTTATATGAATATAGAAATTCACTTGAATTATTTTTATATGACTCATATCTATTCAGAGATAGCTAGAGAGAATGTACTATCCCGTTCACGAGAATGTTGGGAACGAAAGCTGTTGGCCATATATAGAATAATATGTTTAGCAACACTGTGTGGTATAGAGACTTTATATAGTCACTACGAATGTTGCAGTTCTCTAGTTGTGTTAGTGATTACGGCACTGATGATTGAGATTATCGATCGATTATTTTATATACACATACCTCAATCAATGTAGACGTAAAGTTATTTGGTGAGTGAAAAATCTAGATTTGTCCCATGAGATCCAATTACAAAAGAATGAAATAATCTTAAATTATTAAACAAAACCCAAAAAGGCCGATGATATACAACACTTGATAGTTTATAGTATTAGTCGAATATTCGTGCTCATTCCAGACCTAAACTTTTTTTACATATGAACGATTCGTTATGGGTTAGTTTTTGTTTGATTTCCACCCACATGCATGCATATATAAAAAATAACAATATTCGCACATTTTGGATATGTTCGGTCATACATGTTGGGCTCTTCAGACTCCCATATCTACCCACACCATATTTGATAGCCAAACGATATATATCCAAACCAGAAATAATCTAAATTAGAAACCCAAAGGGCAAGAAAAGTAGGATAGACATGAAGATTATAGATTTATTCAGTAGCCAAGGATGATCATGACTTGCCTGCATTCTCTTCATACGCAATGTATATTAATCCAGTCTCTCTCGGATAGACTCATGAGTTTGATTTTACACCACGTTTGCATACCGTTAGGCCAGCTTCCTTGGCTATTCAGATCATACATATCTTTCTCATCATGCCCTACCTCTTTTATGACGTTTGCGTTTTATGTATCAACTAGGTTCGGACCCGCGCTACAGCGCGGGGGAAATAATTACATATATATAACTTTTATCGGATTAGAATATGATACATTTTAATTTTGTTAGAGTGCAGTAAATATATGATTACGGTAAATCATATATTTGTATAATAAGATTAAATAAAATAATAAAGGAAAAAGCGAGTAAATAATCATATACTGAGTTTTGATACAATTAAAAACACGGTGAAAATTTAACAGCTAGAAATAATATTTGTCGATAAATTATTCATTTTGACCATTTTTGTAGTAAAAGTAGGAATATACATAAAAATTACATACTTACAATATATTTTTTGAAAGCCAACCTTGTAACAGAATTCATTTCGTAAAAAACATTATTCGTAACTCGTTTTATCATTATAATTGTGATTTTAACAAACTACCCGTGAATTATCTAAAATTTACATAGTTTGATATATAATATATTTTATCAATAAAAATTATGTCTCCAAAATTACATTTATGTCTTCAAAAAAATATTTCGATATTTTAAATTCTAAAAGTTTTATATATTTGAACCTTTTATTTATAATATTTTGAAACTATTTGAAATATTAAATATGCTCATGTAACAATGGTTTTAATATTGGTCATACTTATAATGATTTTAAACCGTTGTCCAAAATATTTAACCGAGGGTAGTTGAGTATTATATGTCCATTTTGAAAAATTCAAATTGCAGCATATGCAAAAAAAAAGTTATATTTTTATTAAATATTTATATTATATAGTATAATATCATAAATTAAAATTAATATCAAATAAAAGTGAAAGAAAAATAATATTTTTTAAATAGATTGTATTAAATTAGTTAGAGAAATATTAGTAAATCTTATAATTAGTTATGGAAATAATACAATCCTAAAATTATATTTGGAAAGTATCCAGTGTATGTATTCAAACCCATTAATCTATCCAATTTTAAAAGATCCAATTACAAATTTTGGGTAATTTTTTGAAATTGATCCGACCCGGAAACACTTTTTGTACTTCTCTTTTACTAATATAGGGATATTTACTTGTGTGTATCAAAGTTATTGGCATTTTCATAAGATAAGACATCAAATAATAGCTGTACCATTATTGGAAACATCACATAAGTTAACGAGCTCCACTTAGATGGGCTGAACATATTCTGAGTTTTAAAAGCCCATTAGGTCATTATAATAGAAAGTAAGTAAGCCCGTCATAAACTAAACCCTAGCCGGCACTTCCCTTAGCTATATAAACTCTTTAAACGATCCAGGCACTGAAACCTCATCGATACCTTCGCTCTCATAGTTGTTTCTTCAATATTTTTCGAAAGTAACATATTTTTATGTTTTTCTTGGTAGAGTTTAAGAAATTAGCGGTTCATAGATTGGCAAATGATGAGTAGAATCTTATCCTACACACAGATGTATCAGTGTTGACTACCAATCTCTGCTTATTATCTGATGCCATAGTCTATAACCTTGTTCTTTGAAGCTTTTTATAATTCGTTTTCAAATTTGTTCCCATCTTTAATTATAAATCTAGATAGTATTTTTTTTTTTTTTTCTGATGATTTTCTAAACTTGAGAGTTCTATCATCAAATTAGAACAGTATTAAGAAGAAGATACAATGATGAGATATTAGCAGACGGGCGGTCTGAAATTGATGTCGTGTTGATTGTCTGCCTTTAGCTTACACATAAGCAATCTCTGAGTTTCTGATTCATCACCGAACACATGTTTTGGACTCTCATCATAAGAATTAACCACACGTTTTATAAGCTTCTGAGCTCATTCATATATATGTAACCACTTATCTCTAAAATTGACACTTAAGTTTAGAATCTTTCTTTAAAAAACAATAATGAAAGCTGCAATGAATTGGTTGAAATGTTTTTGAGTGACGACCGAAGAATGAAGAAAGGCGAAAACCAAAACAGTCAGATAATAATTCTGACAACTCATACAGTGCTTAAATAATCTTGTAATCAAATTAACTAGGTTCTTGGTTTCCAATTCACATATTACATATATGTGAGAAATTGAAATCTGCATTGGACAAATCGAGCGATAAACTTAATCTGTTTGGACACGAAGACTTGTATATCCACCGTCTGTATAATCCACACACTTGAAACAGTTAAAAAATGATCGTAGTAGACATAGTTATCAAGAGAGAACGCGTAACTAAAGTCAACACGAAGTCAACTCCATTGGTGGCTTTAAGCCAATCCCACTTGGTATTTAAGTACAAATATCGACTACCAAACCTTTTTTGTATCCATTTATCCACTCTCCTCAAAAAGTCTCTCTTTCACATTGATCTCGTGTTCCTTTATCATCATCAGCTGCCATAAACAAACAGAGTTTCTCATTTCGGACATCAGCTAAAAAAAATGAAGTTTGAAGGATCGCAAACACTCTTACCCGTGAGGAAACCTGTAAATGGAGGTTGTCTCACTCTCAGCCGCGATCGCAAACGTGCTGGTTATAAGCTTTGGGTTCTAGTCGCAGTTCTACTCTTGGCCTTTGGTTCTATGTTAACCGGTTCCGTCTCTCTTAAAGGAATCGGTTTGTTCCACTCTGTTGACGGCGTTAACGCCTTCTCCGCCGGCGACGATCTCGACGTATTGGTACTACACCAGACTATCATGAATTTTCTTTTAATTGCAATTGTTGATTTGAATTTTGGGAATTTATATGAAATTTTTTATAACAGGAAATTGAGGAGAGAGAGAAAGTGGTGAGGCAGATGTGGGATGTGTACGGTCGCTCCGGTGGCGTTAGGGTTCCTCGGTTCTGGCGAGAGGCTTTCGAGGCGGCGTATGAGTTTCTGATCAGTGACTCCGCCGCCGTTCGAAACGGTGCCGTTTCTGATATCGCGAAGTTGTCTCTTGTTCGTTTTGTTAAGTCAGAGTCTACTCCGGCCCGGCCCAAACGTCTTTGAGTTGTGAAGATGAATTAAAAAGCCCATGAGAATCACACGACAAAACAAATTTCTTGTATATAGGATTTAAATATTAATTACTGAAAAATGTAAACTTAATAATCGATGATTGTCGAACTGTGAGAAAAATATCAAATGTAAAAATGCATAAACAGCGTTTTCGTTCAAACATCGTTGAGAAAAATAGTAACCAAAAATTGCATATTTTATAGCTATTTAATTCCAATAAATTGCATATTTTATAGCTATTTAATTTTGGATTGTTAAAGTAAATAGTTAAAGAAATATGAGCTCAATATGGTTAAAGTTAAATATAAGAGGATCTAATAGCCAAATTATAAGAAAGTTTGACGCGTGGCTCTCTAGTATTGGTATATGATATCTGCCAAGTTATATAACGCGCGAACGTATTAACCACCTTTTCTTAATGTGTTTGATCTGGACCGTCGATTACTTTGCACTTAAACAAATAACAACCGTAGGATCTCCCGAAATTTTAAACCGGTTCGGATTCTGGGTTTTGCTCCCCCTCTATATATGAAAAGGGTTCGAAATTTTCTCATGGATCGTTCCTGTATCCTTTTTTTCTTCTTTGAGTGCCGATGATTTATTTTCTTACGCTGAGATGCTTATTTGTGGATGCAAACCAAGGAGAAAGAATGTTTGTATGATCATCAAACTCAGAAAAAGGTTGTAGGTTGTTGTTCAACATGCACAGAGAGATCGCTTCAACATTTCAAAGGCTTAAAGGCAACAAAAAAATCAGTGTTGGAGATAATGTAGACAATATTTTGAAAGGAAAAAAACAAGAGTAGATATTAGTGTGTAAGTATGCAATTATTTACAGGAAAGTAAATATAAACAAACCTACACTTAAGGTTGCTTGTTCACTAATTCACGCAAAAAAGTGGGAAATATGATTGTTTCCACATGAAAGAACCCACGAGAAGAGATTTACAATGATTGGAATTGAAGATAAACAGAGTATTTTCGAATTATAGATGCAGGTGTAACAAAACAAACATCTCAAGCACAATTAATAACATTCGCCATTACCTTACCTATTTTAGTCACCATGTGGGACGAGAAAGTAATGGTTCAACTTCTAACGAGAGAGACGAAGTGACAATACTAGACGCTGGAGCAGTAACACCAATAGTCCACATATCAGCTGTATTAATTCCTTCTTCCGCTTCATCAACATCATTGTCATTTTCAAGCTGCACCAGTGAATCCTCTGGAGATGAATAGATTTTCTCTAACTCAGTAAACACTTGTCTCATATTTGGACGCTTCTTTCCCTTTGAATTCAGACATCTCATCGCTAGATTTGCCACTGCCATTACCTGTTCTGTTTTGCAACCATCTGTGATTCGAGCATCCATAATATCAAAGAACCTGTTCTCTTTCATGGCAACTCTGAAATGCTCCGCCAAGCCTCTTATTTCTCGAGAATTCTCAAGTGCTATCACAGGCTTTTCCCCAGTAAGAAGCTCAACAAGGATGACCCCGAAGCTATAAACATCACTCTTATCGGTATATTGGCTTGATCCGTAGTACTCTGGATCCACATATCCTACTGTTCCTGAAATAATTGTTGTCCAGTGAGTATGATCTACGGTTACTGATCTTGAAGTACCAAAATCAGACACCTTGGCTCGATACTTCTCGTCTAATAGTATGTTTGTTGACTTTATATCTCTGTGATAAATTGGAGAAGATGCAGCAGAATGCAAATACGAAAGAGCTCCTGCAATATCCACGGAAATGCGCAAACGCACAGCCCAACTCACTGTGTAATCGTCAGACTCTTCATGGATATGCTGGAAAAGGTTACCATTGACAACAAACTCGTAAACCAGGACTGGAACTTCTGTTTCAAGACAACATCCCAAAAGCTTGACGACATGTCTATGGTTGATCTGAGAGAGAATGACCACCTCATTGATGAACTCCTCTAGTTTGTCTTCGTCTACAACAGTGGATTTCTTGACAGCAACAGTTTTACCATCTACAAGCATTCCCTTGTATACAGTGCCTTGACCACCTTGTCCAAGTATCCTATTTTCGCTAAAGTTTTCAGTGGCCTTTTCAAGTTCCGTGGAGCTGAATATTCTCGTCTTCTCCACGTTACCTTCTCTTGTATGTAGTTGTTGTTGCAACAATAGTCCCCCATTACGTTCAAAGAACTTTTTTTTCCTCTTATTCATCCTTCTCTTTTCAAGAAACTTTCTCAGCCACCAAATTCCACCTACTAGAACTATGATCCCCAAACCTGCTCCTACTCCTGAAAACCATACAAAAGTGGTATGTTGATCATCATGTGTTTTTTTAATTTGCGAGACTATCTTCATTTTAAGGACCTACCTATCATTATTGCTCCAGTCTTATCCCCCACGCAGTTAAAAGTTCCAGGTAGATTAACGCAAGTATCACTTTCTCTACAGTGCCAGCGACTTCCATCGGGATTGCGTATTAGGCAGTCATTAATATCTGGATAATGGATATGAATTATCAAGATTGTAATCAGTTGACGGTGTTTTGTATATATGTATTACATTGAAGTTGCCAAACGTTATAAGATTTGTTGCAGTCCTCACACAAAAAGAGAGAACTTTAGTAACAATTTTACTGACCTTTGCACCCGCCAAAGATGTATGGATTCCCTGTGTAACCACTTGAGCATCCACAGTTTGCATAGTTGGTCTCGTTAATGGTGATGTTGCTGCATCTGCAGCTTTTTATGAGTTGCATACTATATGTAAGATTATCATACTCTTTTGTATTAATGCAGCTCAAGGAGTTTAGAAATTTAAGATTTTTCGTCTGAATGACCCATCCTAATCGCACTATAGCAAACCCTTTAGCAAAAAACCTTTCTGGTCCGGTTGCATTTGATAACGTGTAGACTTCATCTGTTAAGAAAGCTACCCTGCATTTTCGGCTTGTCATGTTCCCATGATCGAAGCTCTCTATTTTGACACCGATCACCTGATGAGCTTCATAACTCGGTAGACTCGAACTACAGCATCCGTTGCCATCACAGCTTCTTTCTTCTTCCCTTTTGTTTTTTGTGCAAACTGGAATGTAAGTGTAAGGCAACGCATCGCTATTACATCCAGTTTTGTCGAAATAAGGGATGTTTTTGTTAGGAGACTTCTCTTTGATTGTAGTGCAATTCAACTCGCATCCCACCTTGGTCGGTCCAATGTTAGTCAACGATGCCTTGCTGTTGCAACCAACGGCGACGAGGCTGTTTTCAAACCCGAAGAAAAAAGGGCTACCCGTCAAATTCAAAGCCGATCCATATCCTTTTCCATCCGTGGAGCATCCAACGGAGGTTATCGGGCTTTTCACACGAATATATCCGAATGATCCAGAGTTATAGTCACCATATTCTTTTTCTGGAAGAGAGATGTTCACAACTTCCATGCCCATCCTGAAAAGAAACGGAGAAGTAGCGTTCTTGCATACGATTTTGTACCATTCGTTGAGATAACAACCTTTTTCAATCCCAAAGGGGTATGGGATCTTAATATTTCCACATTCGGTTTGACATGACTTAGTTGAAAGAGAGACAACTTTTGAATCAAAGATGGACATAACTATAAGTAGAAGGGAGAGAAGAATTGAGAAGGAATTTTTAATACAGCACCTCATTATGATGTTTCTCTTGCTGAACTGAATATGTTCCTTACAACATCAGAGTTTCAAAACAACTTGGGAAAATAGCATAGGAAATTAAGTTGTCTGAAACAGAGAATATATCAGCCAGCGGCAGATTTCTTATAGCTCAAGGTCAATAGTCAACCCCAAATTTTGTTCTTAATAAAGTAAAAGTTGCAAGCAACCTGTAATTGTCGTTCTAAATTTCATTTTCGTCCTTCCCAAAAAATTAATATATCTCTTAACTCTTGATTCATTTTTATATCGTTTTCTTCTTAAGATGAATTGAACTTATTTATGTTTGGTTTGTGGGGGAAACGAAAACATTATAATACTCAATACAAAAATATCCGTTGATGTATGCATATCATTTGACTTCTACACTAATTAGTAATTACCTAGTTTGTTGAATTTTTGATTCAATTATGAAATAATTTTGGGCTACATAAAAATTCTTAGCTGGACATAACTAAGTATCTGCTTCGAATAACATATAAAAGGATTGAGTTAAGTATTCAAAAGCACTGTAAGCCAAAAAAATCAGTATATTAGACATTGTAGACCCATCTATGTAGTATCTTCTTACAAAGCTAGTTCGCCAAAAGAAAAAAAAATTAATCGATGGGGAAAGAAGAGGATCCAAAAAAAAAATCAAGACATGTTATGTATTATAAGTTTTTCATCAGGGATTGTAATTAATGTGTTTAACACAAAACACAATGTTCAAGAAAACTGGGAGGCATTGAGAAGACAGAGGATTGCATCAGGCAAAAGCTATATCTTAGAACAGTGAAAGAACGAATGTTAATCATGGCAAATGACAACTTGAAAGATATACCCTGACGATCAAGTGCAGAAGAGGAGGGTGTCTTTCTGAGGCTCTGCAGTTTCATTCTCAGGAACTGAATCCAAATGCCATTCTTTTACTCTGTTTCTTTTTGAAACCAAGTTGCAGAGTCTTGGTTAAGATGATGCGTGTTCCTGAGAAGCAACCAATAACATCGACCTCAATAGGACGCGATAACTCTTGACCATTATATGCTCTTCTCCTAAGGAAACAAGACCATTTATGCAGTAACATAAATACAGAACGTAACCATTTATAGTTAAAACATAAATATACTCGGGAGCTTCTAGCTAATTTATAAGAAAATAAGACACGTGGCAGTCTAACATTGATGATTATTGTATAGTTATCACGCGCGAACCTATTTACCCGCCTTTTCTTATTTTATTTCATCTGGACCGTCGATTCTCTTGCGCTCAAACAAATAGCAACCGTAGGATCTATCCAAAATTCTGTATATATACATAAACAGGGTGTTCAAAGTTTTTCAGGTAAGTCGCTTCTGTATCCTTTATTTTTTATTTTTGTTATTTCTTTCTATGATTTTGTTTCTAGTTTCTTCATAATCTCTCTAGGGTTTTGCTCGTTTTGTTAACATCTGTTCATATTCTCGTTGATCCCTGGTGATCAAACCCTAGTTTTTGATCTCTTGCGTCTATTTGCGATCGATCGAGTTCTCCGGCATCCATCGAGGTACGTTGTTATTATCTACGCATATACATATATCATCAATTACTATATCTGAAACTTTCGGGTCTTTTGTTTACATATCTTGTAGAATTGGGATTTACTGGTTTGTGTTTGGTCCGTATGAAGGCTCTAACTCTGTTTTTTTTAAGGTTATTCTCGTAGAGTATATGAACGCGTACAGGGAGAAAACATGTCTTGATCAGTTCTCGTTGATCCAATCATCGACACTCGTCGATACTTATCAACCCTCGTTGATACCAATCATCGACCCTCGTCGATGTAATAATCAACCCTCGTTGATCCAATCATCGACCCTCGTCGATACTTATCAACCCTCGTTGATACTAATCATCAATTCTCGTTGATGTATATAATCAACCCTTGTTGATACAATCATCAACTCTCGTTGATCTATGTTATCGATTCTCGTTGATAATCTAATCAACCTTGGTTGATAAATAATCAGAAGTCTGTGTCATATGAAAAGAGGAAAGATCTTGGTCATGTTATTTTCATGTAAGTTTGGTGTGAGATTCTTTTGTTGTTTTCTTTGATAATCTTTTTGAGTCTCCTTATATCTAACAGATGATCTTTTTGGTACGGTTTGTTTGGCTTGTCTTATCCTGATTCGGATCGGGTGACGTGACGTTGATTCTTAGAACTGAGATTTGAGTATCCAGGCCTTGTCTTGTCGTCGAGGTATATGCTGTTCTTGTCTGTGCCTAGTGTTTCTCAACCTTATTCTTACAGTCTGCTAACTCAATTCTGTTTCGTGTGTTTTTGTTAATATATGCGTTGGAAGAAAACAACATCTGATCAACTCTTGTTGATGTAATCATATCATCCCTCGATGATTCACAATCAACTCTCGTTGATCTGATCCAGTCAACTCTAGTTGGTTTGATCCCTTCATCATCTATTGATGATCCTTCCATCAACTCTTGTTGATCCAAGTATCAACTCTCGTTGATCTAAGTATCATCTCTGGATGATCCTCCCATCAACCCTCGTTGATCTAAGTATTAACCCTCGTTGATCTAAGAATCATCTCTGGATGATCCTTCCATCATCTCTTGATGATCCTCCCATCAACACTCGTTGATCCATCATCTCTTGATGATCCTCCCATCAACACTCGTTGATCCTTCTATCATCTCTTGATGATCCTCCCATCAACACTCGTTGATCCTTCTATCATCTCTTGATGATCCTCCCATCAACACTCGTTGATCCTTTCATCATCTCTTGATGATCCTCCCATCAACACTCGTTGATCCAAGTATCATCTCTTGATGATCCTCCCATCAACCCTCGTTGATCCAAGTATCAACCCTCGTTGATAAAGAAAACAACAGATTTAACCGTTTCAGAGGTGTCTGTTTGGGATTTCAAATTGATAAGAAACAGATGTACAAGTGGGGAATAAGGAGGAGATGTATCTGACCATTGGCAGGTCAAAATCTTAAATAAAAAGATAACAATTTTTGGTTCGTGGAGGGATGGGAGATGGCACGGGATTGGTTCAGATTTTTTCTTGGCCCGGCTCTTCTTCCCTCCAGACTCTGTGTCTTGTTTCTCTCTGATTCTTGCTGTTTCCTAGGCTTCTTGCATACCACAAAGAGGATCAATTTGGAAGTATCAACTTGTGCTTACTTTAATATGCGTCTTGCATATGAGCCATTAGTGCAAACCAAGAATAGAGTCACAGACTTTAATATGCTTCTTGCATGTGCATCATCTAAGAGAATCACAAACCAGACATTGAGATTTTACTGACGAAACAAAGGTACTGATTATGTTTCATCAACCAGTGAGAGGTTGAATGTAAGACCTGAAGAGTTGTAAAGAGTTTGGTCCCTGTATCTTGTAATGATAATTCTTTAATGGATTAGTCTTTTGTTTGTGATATGAAGATCTTTGTGGATGGGATCTGTCCTAATTGCTTTTGCATAATATTTTGGAATACACACGAGTTATTAGGAAAGGTAATCTACCAGCTCAAAAGTGGAAGATCAGCAAAGTCTTTTATGTCTTATCAAGAGCAGCAAAGTCGAGATATATAATTTGTTTTGTATCGTGTATTCTTGTGGGTAATGAGTGAGTCTGGCACTCAATAATCAATCAGTACAACGTGTATTCATGGCTAAGAATCAGTAAAAATTCTTACTCTGTTTCTTACCAACTACGTGATTGAAACTACTTGTGCAGGATCATGATGGTTGTGCAGATTTAGGTGTTTCCACATGGTGTAAGTTGTGGTAGAGGCTGTAGCCATATTGTAGGCTGTGCAACATGTAAGAAGACTAAAATGATTTGAGTTACTGTTTAGTCGCATAGAAGCCAAAAACAAAAACAAGTATTCTATCAAAGAATCAGTTCTCTTTCATAGCAGCTCTACAAGGATCCGTTTAAGCCAGAAACGTAACTCTTATTGGCATAAATCAAAGAAGAATGAATAATGTAAGTCAAATATGTTGAAAAGGCGCTGAAGCCAAAAAATTCAGTGAAGCAGAAATTTTAGACCCGTCTAGTTACAGAGCTAGTTTGCAAATTCTGAATACAAAAAAAGAAAAAACTACACTCTCACTCTTTATTTACAGCAAAACACATACCAACATATCCACACCCAGAGTGTTTGTTTCACATCACACCCAAATACATAAGGTAAATAAAAGAGAATTCTTTCAAAATTTCAAGGTAAAAAAAAGGTGCAAATGTATATTTTACTAAACTAGAGAAGCCTCCTCCTGAAGTTTCTGGTAGTTGATTGATAAGTACGAACTAGAAGACCGACACCAATCCCAAGACCAACACAGACACCTAGTCCAATCCCAACGCCAACCCTTACACCTGCATTAAACCATGACATCTCTCCATCTATGCCCTCACTTCTCCAATACATGTCCCCCTCGTATTCCTCTTTGTAGTTTGAGTACTCTGTTGCCTACAGACAAAAGGAATGATACTTACTATACAAAGAATGATACTTTTTAAAATGGCCCATCCCCAAAGAATGCAACAGAATTTAAAATCACAACATTACAACAAAGCAAACATTGGGGGATTGTAAGTGACAAACATATGTGGGTCATAGAAGTAGCAGACAAAAGGATAAGAGCTTAAAGATAAAGGAGGTAAGATTTCTATTTATCTCTTCAGTCCTAAACTGTGTCTAGGCCACATGGGCAGATACATCAGATGGAGACTGGTCCACTTCAATTTATACTGATTTCCATCTTCATAAAACTACCAACAAACATGATGGGGAAAAGAAGAGGATCCAAAAACCATCACAACATGAGTTTTCATCAGGAATGGTAATTAATGTTTCGAAAGCAAAACAAAATATTCAAGAAAACTGGGAGGCATTGAGTTGGCAAGAAAGAGTATTGTATCAAGCATATGCTATATCTCAGAACAATGAAAGAACGAATTTTAAACATGGCAAATGACAACTTGAAAAAGTTACCTGAAGATCAAGTGCAGAGGAGGTGGTGTCTTTCTGAGGCTCTGCAGATTCATACTCAGGAATTGAATCCAATGCCATTCTTCTACTCTGCTTCTTTCTGAAGCCAAGTTGCAGAGTCTTGGTTAAGATGATGGGTGTTCCTGAGAAGCAACCAGTAACATAGACTTCGATAGTTGGCAATTGAGACGATAACTCTTGACCGTTTATGCTCTTTTCCTTAAGGAAACCAGACCCTGCAGTGATCTTAGCCTCACAATTCATCTTCCATCGATTCTTTGATTCCCCAGTGAATCCATTACAATCTGACATCTCAAGTGTTCCAGACAAGACTAGCTCATTCTTGTCATATACCTCAAACTGTATGCTACCCGTTAACCTGATATTGTTTGTGCTAACATAAGTAGCCTCTTCAGATTTCTTGTCTACTCGATCTCTCCTGAGCTGTGAAGAACCTCCATCCGAGTACATTCCCATTCTAACACCATTAATCTCCAGAACCGTATCTGGATCCAAAGGAATGTGATTGATGGTGAGGACTTCAGGGGTTGAATCTTCCACCATGAAATTGCTTATCCGGACATAGAACACTCTTAAATCCAACCAGGGTGATGAGCTTCTTGTGCTGTGCTGGTTGAAGTTATGATATCTAGATATTTGATAGGCTTCACCATTGTCAAGTGTCTCACAAGGCTCCTCCATGACCAGAGGAAGAGAATCAACAAGAGTTTACAACCCAACGTTAATTCTCACTCAAAATCAAATCTGAAATCACATGTATATGCTCAATTCCAATGAAAAAATCCCCAAAAGAAGAGACCTGGTTTTGAGGAACAGAAAAGCCTTATTATAAGGACATGAAACGAGGAATACTTAGACGAGAATATAGAATCATTCTGTCCCAAAAGGGAAGATTCCCATTGAACACAACAACAGAAGCAACAACACAAACTATAGACTGCTATAAGTATAATAATCGCAAAAAGATTCAAACTTACGCAGATGCAGAAACGCTAAACTAATCTCTGCTATTGAATCTCAAAACATGACCCAGATATAAAGAATTAAGCTCAAAAATTGAAATTGTGCTTCCTCAACAAGACAACAACAAAGGAACTACCTTTACAGCAAACTCGAAGCTTCTGAAACTATGAAGATCAGTAGATAATGAAAAAAGATGAATATAAAAGAGGAACTCACCAAAAGAAGAAATGAAATCCACAAATCCTCAAAATCTGGTAAAATTGACTCGTAGTGGTACAATATTAATCCTCTTGTCAACGTCTAAAAGGAAACAAAATTAAAAGATTTAAAGGGGAAATTTTTGTTTATGGCCAAGATTAGACTTCTCGAACCCACCACCAAGTTCACAGCTTTTTCGTTTCGATCTAATGGGAAAGCAGCGCGTGTCCGAGGATTGAGATGGACCCAGTTCAGCTGATTTAATAGAGTTTCAGTTTATGTATGTTCTCTCTCTGTTTAAGGAAAAGTTATCTTGTTGTTATCTCTGTTTTTGATTACGATTATTACAAATGTCGGTTAAACTGGCGAAAAAGTCTTATGGTGATGAAAGGGAAAAACATAAATATCAGAAACAGTGACCGGAGAAGAAAGTGAGGTCGGAGATGAAGATGACGTCTTCTTCTGACCTAACGATCTTATCGTTTAAAAGTTTTACCATTTCAATAGATTATTACACGGACGTGTTTCTTTTTTGGGAAAATGTTTTTTTGGAAAGTAAAGTGTGATCTGGGAACTAGAAAGAAACTTAAAATACATTAACTTCATTTACTTTCTATAAACACCATATTCTTTTTTTATTTAAGTTCCGTAATCCGTCAAGGTAATTACAGAGACAGGTTATGTAAAAGATGAAGATGTATACAAATAATTCAACTGTAATCTCTGACAGATGATGATGCACAGAGCCACAGACAGTAACAAAAAGTAAAAGAATCATGGACGCCACAATGTCTTCTGGGCACATAACATTCCTTCTTTGTCTTGAGCATAAGTCATTCGAATCTCCCAATGCAAGCTTCTTAATATCTCTTCCAATGGCTCTAATATCTCCACTTTGTCACGTACAACCACCCAACCTCCAGGCCTTGTCAATCTATCCATCTCCACCACGATTGAAGCCGGTTGCTTACACCTGTAAACAGAAATGGAGATTTCATGGCCAGGTTTCTCACTTGACCAACAAATTTGGATCCAAAGATCTCTACCACTTTACCGGTTTTTGAGCCGCGAGAAGAGATGATCAGCATGAAGAAGGTCATAAGATCTTGGATATGTTCCAAATGATTCACACCAATCATGGTATATACCGAGGAGGCCTCTTTCGTATATGAAAGGAAGCGTGTCTGGTGAATGAACAGGCACTACATTCATTACCCACACATTTTGCTTGACGAGTGATGCCGCAAATCTATTGAAATTTTGAAAGATTCAAAACCAGTAAGAATCACCAAATACGAAATATGTTCTAGGAACAGCAGTAGAGAGTTCTTCTTTTTCCATACCCGCCATAGATTGCTGTCATGTCCATCACGTTCCGGATATGTAACCAGTCTATGCCTAATCCAGTGAGGTAAGATTTGTTTACCATAGCATTCCAATGATTTGTGTCTTCAATGGCTTTCTCTTTGCTGGTTAACCACTCCGGGTATGTTTCAAGTCTCTTTGGCCATTCTTCAGGCCACTCTGCTCCATGCTGTTCTATAGCTGAGGGTATTTCATGTAGACAAGTTTTCATCGGCACATACCTATCCAAAAAAGGAGCACATGAAAAATGTTCCATCATAAAGGATATAAGAAGAAAGAAAACTTATGCCGTTTAGATTTTCACCATTGCTTTACTTACCAGGCTGCATCTGGGTTCTCGTTGTCCTTGCAAAGAGGAGGATTTTTCTTCCTTCTTAGTTCATAGATATCATTTGATTCTGGTTTCTGATATATTCTCACTCCCATTTCACTTGCTTCTTCGGTTTTGTGTGCAAGAATATTCCAACAAACAGAAGCTGTCAATGCGGTCATCGCTGCAAAACCAACAAACCAGAGACAACTTTGTCACACAAAAGACAAAAGGCACATCGATAAATGTTACAAGCACAAGAAGAATTTTGATGTGTTCAAATTATAAAGCCCAGATGATTAAAAATCTTTGATCCATCATTTATTTTTATAATGGACTTTACAGTTGGAGTTAAAGACATGAAATACTACCTTCATCATCCTCAATCTTGTCATTATTACTTGACAATATGAAGTATCCGTTAGGCCTTAAAATCCTGTTCATCTCCAGAAGAACTTTACCACCTGGGATTGCGGAAATATGAGTAATCATGACTCGAGAAGCAGATTGACAATAATGACATTGTCAGAGAAAGTAATACTTACCATGGGAATGCCAGTGGATTCCACAAGCAGCACAATGAATAGCATCAAAAACTCCACTAGGAAAAGGTAGCCTTCTACTTGCTAAAGAGCTGACTAAAGTAGGAAACCCGCGCTCAAGAGCGACCTGTGCTAAGTCAACTAAATCGTCCTTTAAGCCTAGGGATACAGTCAAAACATCCTTATCCAGCAGTGCAGCCACAAAACTTGACTCTGAGCAGCCAATGTCCAACACTATACGAACATTCTTTCCCCATTCAATATCTGGTACCATCTATCAAACACCAATAATGTCTTTATCTCTAACACAGAACTTGTCTCCAATGATACAAACAAGTTCAAAGAGTAACAAATGATACTCACCTCTTGAATGAATTCAAGGTACTGTAGAACATTTCCATTGAACGCAGTCTGGTTCTGTGGAAAAGTTAGGTATTCACCAGAGTCATTCACCCAATTGTGCTTCTTAATATATGCAGCCAACTTTGGATGCGCCACGTTCTTATACACTATCTGATATTAATAAAAACGCATTAGACCAAAAGTAACTTGATACAAATAACTTAAAAAAACTCAAAAAATCTATACCTTAGATTTGCTCTCAGGCCAGGAAACAGGAGGATCATAGCCATCATGTGGTAGAGGAACAAGACACATAACTGGTTTCTTGGGACAACTCCTCTCTCTATGTCTATAACTCTGAAGCCTCCCTATTAAACCATCGTTATCAATACATGGCATGTAATTGTGCTTGCTCCTAGTGTTGCACAATCTCCAGCTATACTCAGCTTTAGGATCAAAAACCGGACCTTTCCTCTTCCTCTTTTTACTTATCTCGTTAACGGTTACTTCTTCATTCTTTTCTTCCACTTCTTCATCAACAGAGGCAGTTGAATCATCAGCATTTCCATCTCCAATTCCATCAGATTCCCCTTCACTGCCATCAGACTCGGTTCCTTCATCTCCATCGTCCTTAGTAGACTCAGAATCGTCAGATTCCGCATCTCCATGTTCTTTATCCTCCTTAACCCCAACTTCTTCTACCACAGGCTTTGGCATATCCTTCTTCTTATGTGGATGGGACACAGCATGCTCTTTCTTTTTCTTAGTTTCATGTTTATGAACAGACCCACCAACTTGTTTCCCTTCTTTTGATTTCAACGCAGATTCAGCTTTACCTCTCTCGTGTAATTTGCTAGATTCAGATACCTCGTGAGCTGATTTAGTGCGAGCTGACACTGGTTCAGCTATGTCGTCGAAGCTCTCTCTCTGAACATTGAAGGAAGAAGCAGAGGAAGACAAGAACGACCAGAAGAAGACAAAGCAGAGACCCAAAACAACCACGAATGACATCTTCACCCAAATCCCTCTTGGCTGTTTTATCCTACGCACGAAATGAGCAATCCCCATTTCTCGTTTTCTCTCCATCATTTTAAGATCTCAAAGGATACCACTTTAACGCATCTGAGTAACAGAAATCTCCAAAGAACCACTTTAACCAAACTCAAAATGAGCTGTAGTCTGGAGCTGATCAAACTAATTAAACTCTGGAGCTGTAGTCTCAGAATAGTCAGGGATCTAGCCAGTTCCAAAGGTTCTTGAGCACGAATTAGTAGGAAACTGTAGTACCCAGATTGGAAAAGCTACTAAAAGAAACAAAAAAAAAATTACAGATTTGGTGGAGAGAAAAAAAACACAAATCTCAGATTTCTCTAACCGGAGAATGTGAAGACAAAGTAGAAATTAGCAATACCCAAGTCGAATCGTAAAAATTAAGCTCGAAAAAGAAGGTAATCATCAATCACACAACTGATTTGTTAAGCTTACACTATATTATCATCAATACTTTATTCTCACTTTTTTTCCTTGTGTGTGTAGTTGAAAGTTGAAAATGAAAAGAAAAAAATGGGAAATTTAGGCTTCCACTTATGGTAATAACGGAGCAATGGTCAGAACTTTGTCCAGTTTCGGAAAAAATGCCAATGTGGCAAAACAACCGGAGCTGAAGAAGATTTGTAATTGTACATCGCTCTCTAGTCTCTCCTAACAGATCAGTCATCAAAGCCCATTATTAAGCAAAAATGGGCTTTAAGAAAATAAACCAAATGGGCTTATATGGTGTAATAATACGTGAATGTTACAGTTTCAAGCAAATATAAAATTCGAAAAAGCATGATAGAGATCTCAGCTTCCAAATGAGATTTGGATACCACTTTTATAAGATTTGCCACGTTTTAAGTTCCTAAATATGTTTTATAAACTTACAATAAAGTCAGCATCGCTGTTAACTTTTAGATTTTTATTTCTTCAGTCACAGTAGATCCTTACAAAATATTTTTAGAAAAAAAAAATGTTTTTCCTATAAATTTGGTTTTGGAAAGTATCACTCTACTCTTGCATTATGGTTCAAAATTTACTAAAAGGACAATGTTAGAATAACTTGTTACTAGTACACTAGCACTTAAGTATACCAGACGGAATAATGTGTACTTCATATTCACGAAAGGCAAACGTATCACTTTTGATCAATAGCAGTTTAGAGTAATAAGAAGTGATTTATCTTAAACCAAACTTATCAGATTAGAACTTATAACAAAAAGAAAGGAAACTTCGTTGTGTTCACGCCAGTTTAAAACATTTTACTTGTCAAAAAATAATAATTACAGTTACGGAATTTGGCTAATTTCAATCTCTTTTTTTTTTCACTAATTTTAAAAACATATGGTGATTTCTTTTCTAAAAAGGAAACAAAATGAAAAGAACAAAAAAAACAGCTCACGACGCATCATCACGTTTCCCGGTTCTGTTGTCTTCTCGTATATATTAATTTGGTGTGTGAGTGAGTGCTGCTTCGTCAAGATTCGTTTCAAATAATAAAACGTGGACCCCGACCGTCTCCTCCTCCACCACCACCACCTTTGGTTTCCGTTTCTCGAAACCATCTCTATTTCTGGGTTTTTCTTTTTTCGTTTTTGTTTCCCTCTCCGTTTCTTTCGTTTTCAAACTCCCCCCACCAAAACCCTAGTTTTCTGACATTTCTCTACTTCCTGGGTTTTCTCAAGTCCAGCTCGTTTTATTCCATTTCGAAACTCTGCGTGTTTTGGTGGGTCTTTTCGTCAAAGTTGTCTCCTTTACGGTCCTTTTCACCAGCGCCTGTATATAAAAAAAGGACGACTCAATTTCTTAAAGTCACATTTTTCCGTAAAAATTCAGACTCTCTGTTCTTTATCTGTTAGTGCTTCACAATGGACGGTGCCGGAGAATCACGAAGCGGCGGTGATGGCTCAGTTGGGGTACAGATCCGACAAGCACGGCGGCTACCGGATTTTCTCCAGAGCGTGAATCTCAAGTATGTAAAATTGGGTTACCATTACTTAATCTCCAATCTCTTAACTCTCTGTTTGTTCCCTCTCGCCGTTGTTATCTCCGTCGAAGCTTCTCAGACGAACCCGGACGATCTCAAACAACTCTGGATCCATCTCCAGTACAATCTGGTTAGTATCATCATCTGCTCCGCGTTCCTTGTCTTCGGATTAACCGTCTATGTCATGACCAGGCCTAGACCCGTTTACTTGGTTGATTTCTCCTGTTATCTCCCGCCTGATCACCTCAAAGCTCCTTACTCTCGTTTCATGGAGCATTCTAAACTCACCGGAGATTTCGATGACTCTTCTCTCGAGTTTCAACGCAAGATCCTTGAGCGTTCTGGTTTAGGGGAAGACACTTATGTCCCTGAAGCTATGCATTATGTTCCTCCCAGAATTTCAATGGCTGCTGCTAGAAAAGAAGCTGAACAGGTCATGTTTGGTGCTTTAGATAACCTTTTCGCAGACACTAATGTGAATCCGAAGGATATTGGAATCCTTGTTGTGAATTGTAGTCTCTTTAATCCGACACCTTCGTTATCTGCGATGATTGTCAACAAGTATAAGCTCAGAGGTAACATTAGAAGCTACAACCTCGGCGGTATGGGTTGCAGTGCTGGAGTTATTGCGGTGGATCTCGCTAAAGACATGTTGTTGGTACACAGGAACACTTATGCGGTTGTTGTCTCAACTGAGAACATCACTCAGAACTGGTATTTCGGTAACAAGAAATCGATGTTGATACCGAATTGCTTGTTTCGAGTTGGTGGCTCTGCGGTTTTGCTATCAAACAAGTCCAAGGACAAGAGACGGTCTAAGTACAGGCTTGTACATGTTGTCAGGACTCACCGTGGAGCAGACGATAAAGCTTTCCGTTGCGTTTATCAAGAACAGGACGATACAGGAAGAACCGGGGTCTCTTTGTCCAAAGATCTAATGGCGATTGCAGGGGAGACTCTCAAAACCAATATCACAACATTGGGTCCTCTTGTTCTACCGATAAGCGAGCAGATTCTCTTCTTTGTGACTCTAGTTGTGAAGAAGCTTTTCAACGGTAAAGTTAAACCGTATATCCCGGATTTCAAACTTGCTTTTGAGCATTTCTGTATCCATGCTGGTGGAAGAGCAGTGATAGATGAGCTAGAGAAGAATCTGCAGCTTTCACCTGTTCATGTTGAGGCTTCCAGGATGACTCTTCATCGATTTGGGAACACATCTTCCAGCTCCATCTGGTATGAATTGGCTTACATTGAAGCCAAAGGAAGGATGCGAAGAGGTAATCGCGTATGGCAAATTGCGTTTGGGAGCGGATTTAAATGTAACAGCGCCATTTGGGAAGCGTTAAGGCATGTGAAACCTTCGAACAACAGTCCTTGGGAAGATTGTATTGACAAGTATCCGGTAACGTTGAGTTATTAGGCTTTGTTCGAGGACCTGGCATTGTAACTTCGAAACTCACATCCATGGTTGTTTTCTTTTTATAGAAGAAGACCCTAGGTTTGATATCTGACAATGTCAATGTGATTGTTGTTGTTTCTTATGTGTTTGGGAGATTTTGTGATATTTGAGTTACATCAGCGTCAGATCTTAGATGTGTAATGACGAACTCAGAAAAAAAAAATGCAAAATAAAATGTTCTTTGTTATTACTGTCTAAACCTGTGAGTTTTCCTAGTGGTGGTGAAAGACTGAAAGTAACCGATAAGCAAAGAGGAGTTTTTGTAGTATAAAACTGATTTTATCCAGCTTTGCCTTGTCGTTTTTACTAATTGGTCATTATCGTTGTGGTTAAATGGTCTGAGGAGGATGTGACCCGTTACTACAAAACCATTTTCCATGTTTTATAATAGACAGTCGTAACGTTCTTGTTGTAACTTGTAACTTATGAAATTGTCTTGGTATTATATTTACTTTTTGCAAGGTAAGATCGTGACCTTTAGTATTGTTTACTTGGGGTTTCAGTTTTTTAAGAGTTGTCAAATTGGACCGTCGAACATGCCAAAGAATTTTGTGTAAACAATGATTCTAACTTTTTTATTTATATTATTATTGATTCTAATTTTTTTATTTATATTATTATCTTCTTTTTCAAATCGACCACCTTTTGCATAGGAAATAGTCCCTTTATGTTCGCCAAACAGCAAAATAGCTCATCTTATCACATGGTGATGGTATGGTTGGATCCAAAACATCAAAATTTGCTTTTCTGATTTGTCTTTCTATTAACTTAACTCAAGTTATTGCTATTGATCTCAAGAATCCGAAAAATTACACAAAGAATCAAATTTAAAGTAAAATGATATGCTTGTACAAGATAAACAAATTATAATCAAATGTCCAAAAGGAGGACACTGAACAAAGCAAGAAATACAGACACAGAGGTGCACAAAAGAATGATCTGTAATGGAGTAATCATAAGTGAAAAATTGTGTATTATCTTCTTCTTCTTTGTTTTGATCATCTGAACAAAGCTTGAATCTCTTCAAGCGTTTTGCCTTTAGTCTCAGGAACCCAAAGACTCACAAAGACCACAGTGAATCCACAAACCAAAGCGTAGAGAGTGAAAGTTCCTCCACTGCTCCAAGCTAATAGCATATTTGCAGTCATTGTGACTAACCATGACACGAACCAGTTTGCCAAAGTTGCTATACTTCCGGCTAAACCCTTTATATTGACTGGAAGAATCTGTTATGGCAAAATTAATCAGTGCAAAGATTAGATTTTCAGTTCTGATTTTAACAAGAAGTAACATCTTTGTCATTCAGTACCTCAGACATGATCAGCCATGGAATTGGTCCCATTCCTAAAGAGCAAGCAATGACCATAGCCTGTAAAGAACCACTCAGCAAGATTTAGCACACATACTGTGAATGTTTAGTTGTTGGCATGGAATGAATTAAACAAACAACTTACCACAACTCCAACTACGGAAACCATGCTTAGAATGTTGTACATATTGGAATCAGGTGATACAAATTCCTAACAAGAGATTACGAAAACTCAACAATATTAAACTCGATATTGTTGATAGTAGAAATAAAGATGTCAAAAGTTTAAATGTTACCTTAAGATAAAATGCGACTGCCACAATAACAAGGCTTATCGTCATCCCGATAGATGAGATCTTCATTTCAGAAGAAAATGACAATACTATGTTATATATATTCAGAGTTTGTAAGATATACATACGAGTCTCAGATATTCCTCACCATGAGCAGAAGTCGACGACCTGATTTATCCACCAACCATGTCGCTACTGCAGTCGCCACTACCTGGTTTAGAATGAACCAACGGTTAAAAAATCGAATTTTATGTCTCTTAGAATGAAATTATATACCTGAACAGCGCCAACTCCAAATGTTGCCGCATTACTTGATGTCACCCCTAAGTAAGTAATAATTGGAAACAAAAGAAGCATGATAAGAAATCTGTTTGTTCTGTCTTAGGAATTAGAAGCATTCCAAGAATCAAAAGAAATATATGGTTCTACCTGCGGATTCAAAAATTGTGCTTGAATAGAATAAGACGCCATTAATTCCTCCAAGTTGTTGAAGTACAAGGAGCCCTATACCAACCTGTAACACAGATTACAGAAAACTTGTGAGATTCTCTCCTGTGTGGATAAAACTTAGTTCCGGAAGTAAGACTAATTGTACCATCAGTGGGAAATAGTATCTCCTGCGCTTCAGGTCTACAAACCGAATTGCAGAACGTTTGCTAGATGATGCCACAGATCTCTGTACAGTGCATAAAATGGAAATTTGACAAAGACAAAACATTTAAAGAATCTTGATCTCACAAACCAGTATCATCAAATCAAAGCATTCTTCAGTAGTCAGTACCTTGATTTCATTAACCTCAACAGTAATATCAGTATCGAATCCACGAAGAACTTGCAATGAAGTTTCGAAATCATCTGTCAAACCCATCTTTGCCTACAATTATGAGACTGAAACACTTGAGGATAACTAGCAATGCAACAAACTTAATAATATAAGCTACTCGGTTCAGAAGGCATACCAACCACCGAGGAGATTCAGGAATGAAGAAAAGACCAGGTATCAACAATGTACACGGCAATACTCCTAAACATAAAGAAGACAAACAAGAAAGTGATTACACAGTATTGATAGATTTTAAAAAATTGGGTATAGTTTCTCCCAAGCCAAGTCCATATGTTAGATAGTTACCCAAAACAGCAAGAATTCTCCATGGAACAAAGAGACCAAGTAAATACGCCAGCATTATCCCAATTGTAACAGAAAGCTACAGAACACCAAAATATTAAATGTTTTGATGTCAATATAAGAATTAGCTCATAAAAGGCAGAAAGAAAACAGTGAAGCTAATTAAACATGACAAACCTGATTAACTGAACCTAAGGCTCCTCTCATGTTCTGTGGAGCAATCTCGGCTATATATACAGGCACCTAAAATCGTGATTCAAAGTTGTGTAAATGTATTTATACTCGAAATAAACGTTGCTGAAAAACCAAACTGCTAGTTGAATTTAGCATTACCGTATAAGAGATAATCCCAACACCGAAACCTTCTAACAATCTTCCCATGTATAGAAAAGAAGTATCCTAGAGAAAAGCCAAGAACAAGGACTTGGTAGTTAGAGAGATAGGCCAATAATATCAGGAACTTGAGAACATCAAATACTCACTTTTGCGAATGATATCGACAGCCATCCAATAATGTTGGGGATTGCAGCAATCATTAGAGACTGCAAAGAAGGAAAAAATAACAACAGTAACTAAGATACAACAAGAAAGAAAATATTACTGTGACAATACTGTCACAAAATTAAAAAACAGAACAGTTAAAAGAAACAAGAAACAACACTATGATACCCCTTTTCGTCCGATGTATTCAGCAATCTGACCACTTGCAATTGCTCCAACCATAGCACCCACATTGGATAGAGACCCAAAAACAGAGTACTAAAACATCAAACAAGAAACCTAGAAGTCAGAAAATATTGAAGCAGGGTTTTAAAAATAAAAACAAAGCAGAACAGTTGTAAAATAAAGATGAAACCTTTTTTTACCTCTGATACAGTTAAACCAAGATCCTTAGTAATGGCAGCTTGAGTTGGAGAGGAATAACCACACTGAAAACAAAAATATACAGAGATCAAAACCAGAACTTAATAATTTGCTTAATCAATCAAACAAACAGCAGAAAAATGAAAAAAATATGAAAGCTGAGAGATTTATGTGGTAATGTTCTTACAGTGAATCCGAATTGAATCGGACCAAGAGCAACAATCAAAACACAAGCTAAGACAGAAATTGAGCTGTCACGAATAACTTGAGACGATTCCAACATACTAGATTGTCTCGAACCCATCCGATACCAACTTCCCGTGTGTAAGAAGGGTCGCCGAAGATCATTTCTACCCTCCTCCGTTTCATCCCTAAAACTCATCTTTTTGTATCTCTTAAAACTACGAAACAATCGCAATCTCTAGAGAAGAAAGACGAATCTTTCTGAGGCAACAAAAAAAAGAAAAGGGTCGAGAGAGAAATGTCGATCCTAAACTGGAAAATGCAGATATGAAATCATAAAAAAACGAAACTTGATACGGGGAAAATATATAATGAAGAAAGCTTGGATGAAAATGAAAACGATGTTTGTTTTGATTGCTTAAAAACTCTTCTTCTTCATGGGTTGTAAAAAAGCTTTTGAGCCTATGCGTGGAGAGAGGCAGACTGTTTCATAGTTTTCCACCTCAGACGCCTCGCCTAATATCGATTTATAGAATTCGTAAGGTGGATCTTTCTTTTTTTCCTCTGTCGACAAAAAAAAAACAAATATCTTAATTTAATTAACAACTCGTTAAATAATTGTTTTTATATAGAAGAATTTACTAGTATAATTTTTTTGTCTGCTTGCTTTCGAGTTATTGATTTCATTTCTTGTGTATATCATTTTTTTATATATAATAATATCACCATGTTCACATAATCACATCTACGAGCACTAATAATCGCTTTGATTTGGTTATCTTCTAGACTTCTACATACTTCTACAACCTCATTTATACAGCTTTTTGAAAGAAAAAAAAAACTATTATGAGCTTTTATATGTTGTATAAATATGAGAATTTGAGTATATGACACTATTAAGTATTAACCAAATTCACTTGTTGATCTTAGCTAATATGAGTGTTAAAAAATTTGTGTATTGAAAATTGTGTTTATTTTGTTAAGGTAAACAGTCCACTTCAAAGATATAGTGTTTGTTGATAAACAATAATTCAAATTTCCCATATAGCAATATGAGGCAACTAGACATTATTTTTGTTAGTAAAGTCGCATTACCATTTATACTCAAACCTACAAAATACATATGTTGTTGAACAACACCAAAAAATTTGGAATAATGATATCGAGGTGGAAAATTATTAGCTAAAACTTAAATATAGCAAATATAATAAGGATACTAAATTGATGTCTTTGTAAAAATTAAATTATTGTACTATTATGTGTTTTTTTCATTTCGTATCAAAGGAAAACTAAAATAGAAATAAAATACTCGAATCAGGCCTCCTCAACTTTATAACATTTCATATACCTCGTTGATACTGATGATGTCGATAGGTCATAAATATGCAAGCGACATTATATATATAGTATTAGATAAGCTCGAATAATGATATTTGTTTTCTAGTAAATGAATAATACATGGATGTCATTAATTTTAAAATACTTCAGATTTAAATGAATATTAATTTAGACACAGAACATTGTTTATAGATCTGTTTTTTTTTTTTAACACATAAAGCTTTATTGAAAATCAAATGTTATCATTGTACAAAGGCTGAATCAAAAAATGAGGAACATAAGAATAGTAATAAACAGAAAGATCATTTGGTAAGGGAGCTTTAGCTAAAGTATCAGCACAGGAATTTCCTCTTCTAGAAATCCAACTATATTTGATATTATCAAAATTTTTATAGATCTGTTTATATATCGGCAATAGTTTTCAATTAAAATATCATTTCGTGACAAAAATGGCTAAAACCAACACAAAAAACTTGATTTTTAATATAAATGATTTAATACTTAGCCTATACGAAAAATATATGTATGAATATACTCAGCAAGATCTATTTAATATAAGAGATATGTGTATTGTTAATAATAACGTCGGCAGGGTGTGTGTGCAATAGTTTTGCCTTGAGAACATCAACATGCATGATTGAGGTCACGAAATCTCATAAGTTACGAAAACTTCTAAATCGAGATAAAGCTAAGGTCGATGAGACCACGACAAAAGAAAGCCAGTAGATATCACACCAAACACGTCTTATTGGGGGTTATGATTCATAGGCTCTGATTCATCCATCGCTCATTAACATATATACAAATAATAAAGGGAATAATAATAATATTCTTGTTGACCCAACGATGTAGATTCGTATATCACTGTTCTGTGTTCTTTTGTCTCCTTCTTCATCTCTCACGTGTAAGTGCTTATGTTCTTCTCATCTTTTTGCAACCGTTCCCGGATCCCGACACAAGCTCTCTGTTCCATCGTCCCCACACTCATGCTTAGTTGGTCTCATGCTCTCAGATTATTTCCCATATTTATTTTGGTTTATTATCTGTAAGTAACACGATTTTCACCTACTTATGACGATTACATGCAACACGATGGTACTTCTTGTTGTACATGTCACATTTATTTCCATTATCGTGACATAGATCTATCGAATATAGTTAACACGACTTTATACATTTAAAAGCTTTGGAAAAAAAAAAAAGCTTTGGATCAAATGAGTTTATTTTCTGAAATTTTCTTTGCTGATAATTGGTGGATTCATAGGCCTAATTTTAGTAACCAAACTTGGGCTTTAACAAGGGCTCAGCCTTTTCGGCTCGAAAGCCCACAATTTAAAGTTGAAAATACAAATGAAGCTGTGGGTATAAATAAGTAGAGATTACACGAGAGCTTATTTCAAAAACCAAATCAGGCTCTGTTTTCGCTTAGACCAACCAAATCAGGCTCTGTTTCTCAGCTGCTGACTTCTCCCCACACGCGACACGAGAGACGAGACGATGGTTAATATCTCTGATTTTTCCGGTGACGGCGATCTAAACAAGAAACCAGAAGAAGGAGGTTTAAGAAGAAGTAGAAGAATCGCGACAAGAAACGAGAATCAAAACAAGAAGCCGAAGAAAGAAGAAGAAGAAGAAGAAGAGAAAGGTTCGATATGTTTCCCAATTCCAAACGATGTCACCGAAGCCTGCGTCGCACTCGTCCGGAGATGTAATTACCCAAATCTATCATCCGTCTCCAGTTACTTTTTTAATATGATTGCTTCGTCAAGTCTCTACGAAACGCGTTCCCGCCTCGGTCTCTCGGAAACGTTTATTTATGCATCGATCCGACTCCCTGGGGTATATCTCCCAAGCTGGCACATTCTCCATCGAGACAAGGCTTCTTCTTTACGATTGACCAGACTCGGTTCACTTCCACCCGTGCCTTATGGATCTTCTGTCGTCACAATCGGTTTAGAGATGTATGTAATCGGTGGAGTCCTCGACCGAAAACGCTTACCGTTAATGAATGTCATCGACTGCAGAACTCACAAGTGTCGCTCGCTCCCGAGAATGAAAAGGGGTCGTTACCGTGCAGCCGCCGGAGTAATTGACGGAAAGATTTACGTTATCGGAGGTTGCACGATGCGGGGACCATCGGAGTCGGAATGGATCGAAGTGTTCGATCTAGAGAAACAGATTTGGGAATCTTTGCCTGGTCCGTACCCTAAATCCACTTCGTCTTGCGAGTTCGGGGCATCTGTGGTAATGGAAGACAAAGTTTACATCGTGGATAATAAACGTAGTTTGGTTTACGAACCGAAAAGAGGCGGTGAATGGGACGAATCCGTCGGTGAAACTCCAATAAGGAATTTGTGGAAAGTGTCATGTCCTGTGCAATGTGTGGTTGATGATATGCTGTATACAATCGATCTTCACTCTACTCTTGGACATCCAATAGTCGTATATGATCCAAAGGGCAAGACTTGGAGACCTGTGAAAGGTGAATCTTTAGGGAGATTGCCTAGTTATCTCGTTTCTAATCGGTCTGAAATGGCCAATTTTGGTGGAAAGCTGGTGATTTTGGGCAGTAACAATTGCATTGGGGAAAACGGTATGTGGTGCGCAATCATTGCGTTGGATAGACGTGAAGGAGGTGAGATTTGGGGGAAGGTCGAATCACTCGACTGTGTGCTTGGAGGCTTCAACTTCCTGATCGTTCGGCTTTGCCAAACTCTTACCATTTGATGATTGATGCATACATGCCCATGGTTTCTTCCAGCTATATATGTTTATGTGATTTCAGTATGACTCTCTCTTTTTTTAAAAAAAAAAAACGATATTCAAGTCTTTTCTTTAGCCTCAAGGCTTAATTGTCTTTTTGGTGATGAGTTTAAGGATCTTTTAGCGCTTTTTTGATCTGAGAGCAAATATTTGAGGCCTCTAGAGGAGTAACTCGTCCTTCTTGCCCTTTGTGGACAATAATAATACTCTTTACATGATTTTTATAGCCTTGAACACTTTTCTTGAGCTGTAAGAAGTGTTGGCTATAGCTGCATGTATAAAATATTCTCACCAAAACTTGTTGAAATGCATCTTTAGTTACAGCTACGTATATGTTTTGGCTAGTTCGCACACTTTCCCTATCACAAACAATCAGATTATATCAAACCTCAGTTTGCTTCTAGTTCTATATGTGCAAATATGAAATCTTTTAGAATTTAGATGAAGCAGAAAAACGGAGTTAACTTGAAGGTAAGGTAGTAGTAGATTCAAAGAGAAGAGAAGAAGAAATAGTACCAAGTAGCCGATTTTGGGCTTTAAAAAGGGTCCAGACTGGTCGGCCTAAAAGCCCATATAATGGTCATCGGAGCGTGAGGGCCACTCTCGTAAAGGGCGCGTTATATTAGATAAAAAGCGACGGAGCAGACTATTTTTCTTTCGTCCTCCTCTTCACTCCCGAGAAGAAGATGTAAAGAAGTAAGATCAATTCTCATCTCAGCCGTCGTTTGTTATTCTCAGATTAGTATTCCGATTCTCTGTTTCTTCTAGAGTGAATTTGATCTTTCTGGTTTTGGAATTTTCACATGGGAGAACAATCCCCTTCTCAACCATCGACACAATCCCAAAGTCGACCACAATCACCCAACCCCCAAACTCACAACCTAAATCCGCCGGAATCCACCCATGTATCTCTCGATTCAGGCTCAATCGTCTCATCCACCACAATCGATGCTCAACGGATCACTGAGTTAGGCAATGTGTCGTCTCCGCCATCCAAAATCCCTCTCCGTCCTCGGAAAATTAGGAAGCTTACACTCGATGGAGACGTCGCCGGTGAAGACTATAAGTCGGAGGATGTTTCATCACAGGCTGGAAAATCTTCCGGTAAAGGTAAGCTATCGCAATCACGAGCTGTAAATGTGCCGCGGATTCAAGCTCAGCCTCTTACATGTGAAGGCGAGCTCGAAGCAGCGATTCACTATCTTCGTAATGCGGACCCGTTGCTCGCCGCGTTAATAGACGTTCATCCTCCGCCGACATTTGAATCTTTCAAGACTCCGTTCTTAGCGTTGATTAGGAGTATACTCTACCAACAGCTTGCTACCAAAGCTGGGAATTCAATTTACTCACGATTTGTTTCTATCTGCGGTGGCGAGAATATGGTTACTCCTGAGACCGTCTTAGCCTTAAGTCCCCAGGAGCTTCGTCAAATCGGTGTTTCGGGACGAAAGGCAAGCTATCTTCATGATCTCGCTAGAAAGTATCAAAACGGAATCTTGTCGGATTCAGCGATTCTGAACATGGATGAGAAGTCTTTGTTCACTATGCTAACAATGGTTAACGGAATTGGCTCATGGTCTGTTCATATGTTCATGATCAATTCTCTTCATAGACCAGATGTTTTGCCAGTTAATGATCTCGGTGTTAGGAAGGGAGTGCAGATGCTTTATGGATTAGATGACCTGCCTCGGCCATCGCAGATGGAGCAGCATTGTGCCAAGTGGAGACCGTACAGGTCAGTGGGTTCGTGGTACATGTGGCGGCTCATTGAATCTAAGGGCACACCAAGGAGTGCAGCTGTTACTGCCGGGGATACTATGTCGTTGCCGCCATTGGAAGATATGCAACAGGAACATCAGCAGCAACAGCTTCTGGATCCTCTTAATGTGTTCAGTATCGGGTAAGTAAAGCTTGGTTCATCCTGAAACTTAAGAAAAGTTTTTCCTTTGCTTTCTAGTGTGCTTGACTTAGCTAGGTAGGCAGATTGTTTCACCACTGTTATTTGCTGCTAGCCTCAAAATGCAAATTAATTTCTTTGTTTGGTTTTAATCTCCTAAAAATTACTATCTGTGCTTTGTCCAACTATGTGTGGAATGGACTTATGGTTGATATATCTCCAAGTTTAGAATTAATGATTAGCTGTTTACATTCATGTCATGTGTGACAAAAAGTAGTGACTAATGAGTGAGGCTTCGATTAATTGACAGAGTTCTTGTAGCTATTCTCTAACAATCTCTCCATGTATGAGCTATGCACAATATTCTGAGGTTTGCTCAGGCGTAAACCATTTTCTTGATCCTTTTGACCCATTCCAAGAAGCATGATATAATGTGGAAGTACATTGTGTTTTTACGCTACTTCTAATTATCGTTCTATGACTCTTTAACAGGGCTTGGGGACAATCATAGTCGTTCGCCCACGTCGTTGTCTTTATTCCTGGATGCTCTATTGGCTTACGTGAGTTCTTTGTTCTGGATTAGGGGTTGTGTCTAGTAAAAAAGTGTGGGAGAAGGAATAAAGGGAACTGTTTTTAGACTGGGTTCCTAAAACCACAAGATGAACTACCAGTGAATATGATCTTCTTAGTCAGTGAAAGAGTATGTAATGTTAATGTTAACTGTTAAGAGTGGGTAGCTAAACGACAAAGTGCCTTCTTTATCGGAGACCTAACTCTTGACAGAACTTCATCTTTATATTTTTAAACTACAGACGCACATTTCAGCATCGCATCCTCTCTACTAGTCTTAAAAAACTCATTGGTAACAATAAAAAAATCGGAAAGAGAACCAAATTTCCGAACTAGTCGCCTGAAACTCTTGCGCTTTTATTTCGTTTGTGCTTCATTATATTCATAGGCCCATTATAACGGCCCAATCTCTAAATTATTAAAAACCTATGTAAATACTAAAATTTCATTAGGTACGAGTCGATCTGTGGACGGGAGGAAAAAGTGTCGAAAAGTTTGTGCCCGACTTCGCCGCCACCGTCGTTCCTTGTCGCCGGTAAATTCTGTTCTTCGTCTTCCCAATTTTTCACCTCTTTTCTAAATCTCTCCTTCCTCTGTTTGAATTTTTTTCTTCTTCTCAAAATCTCAAAATTCTAGATTCCAGATTCTTTGTATGCAACTTTACTGTTGCTAAGCTCGTAAACCAAAGCTCGGACGAACGTTTGCTACTTGTTTGTGGTTTATTCAAGTGAGTGTGGATGCATCTTGAAAGTTGAATGAAACAATTGAATTGTGGCTTTAAACATATTAGAAAATCATCAAGCACTACTAATTGGTGAATTCTCAGGAACAAAAGTGTGAGCAAAAAGGCCAACATATCACGATGGATGAAGAAGAGCATCCGAGAAGTGGTGAAGAAGAATGTAGTATCTCACTTTTCGATTATTCTGTTGAGAATCACTTGAAGGCAGTGGACTCCATTAGTGATCTATGTGGTGAAACTAATGCTGATATTGATGAGATTGATATCAGCACTCTTTCATCATCAGTTACATTCTTGAGGTACGTTAACTTCTTTTATAAATGTAGTTTAGTACTGTCTATACCGGCCCCTATGCTTAAGATCTTACAGTGGAGTTGGTTTTATGATCATTGTCTATTTAAACACCAACGATCTAGTCATGTCTGCTGAATTTTGTTTCAGGGAATGGAGGCATTTTAATTACGAACCAAAAAGTTTTGCGTTCTACAACGAGGCTGGAAAAAGCCATGGATCAAAGGATACAAGTCGTCAAACTTTGCCTCAGTTCTCTTCGGCACGAGTTCCGAAGGTGTGTAATATCTTTACGCTATGCTAGAAGATTATTTTCAACCTTGGTTCTCAACTTTCATTTACTTCTTAAATTCCTCCAACGACAATGCATTTCTGAATCTGTATTCTTATTGGTGCAGGGTAAGATACATGACGATGAATCAGCATCATTATCTGGTGAAACCAGGTAATAATCTAAAATTGTTCAACGGGTTCTGCTAACTAGCAAATGTAATACCCCACTCGGAGATAGAGAACTCATGCAATTAATCATGACGATGGCAGATGATCATAGATTTCCCAGTTAGATAAATGAAATTCACTGCTGATTTTATGATAAAAAATTCACCTAGTCACAAAAAGAGTTTGATGATTGACTTTAGTTGGTACGAACCGGGACTAGGTTGGTAAATGACTGGACAGTATATTGACAGTGCATGGATCATTGCTTCTCTTGTCCTTTTTTAATTATCAACAAGAATTGTGCTAGTCATGACCGTTTATGTGATGTATTATTTTTCACCTTTGCAGCAAGGATTTTGTGATGCATGTTGGAGGCTCTGTTTGGGCATTGGAGTGGTGTCCCAGGATTCATGGAAATCCAGATGCTCAGGCAAAATGTGAGGTGATTAGGTCATATCTTCATTTTCAATACCATGTAGAAATGGGAATCTCAGGTTTTCATTGTTATCAACTTTACTGTTGCAGTTTCTAGCTGTTTCTACTCATCCTCCTGACTCATACAGTCACAAGATAGGTATTCCTCTTACAGGTCGAGGCATCATTCAGATATGGTGCATTATAAATGCCTGTTGCAAGAAAGATAGCACCCATTTTTCAGAGAAAAGTAAAAAAATGACAGGCAAGTCTCGCAAAAAACCATCTAGTGAAACTACGGAAACAACAGAACCTAAGAAACCAAGAGGCAGGCCCAGAAAGCAACCAATAGAGACAACAGAGCCTAAGAAACCAAGAGGTAGACCTAGAAAGAAGAGTAATGCCGAGTTACCTGCTGAGCTTGATGGTGGCGTTCTCTATGTTGAAGCTCTGTCTGTTCGGTATCCAGAAGATTCAGTTGTTTCCGCAACTCCTCTTCGAATACTACAAGAAACTCCAGTAACAGAACCTAAGGTCAACAATGAAGGTTCAGAACAAATACTGTCTTCGGAAAATGCAAATATTAAGCTTCCTGTACGGAGAAAGAGACAGAAAACCAAAGGTACTGAAGAAAGTTGCAAGCCCATGCTATTAGAAAATAGTGAAGTTGTTGGAAATATACTTGGCGAACCGTCCTCAGGTATTTCTGAAGACATAGCCCTTCCAAGGGTTGTCTTATGTCTGGCCCACAATGGAAAAGTTGCCTGGGATATGAAATGGCGTCCCTCACATGGCGATGATTCTCTTAATAAGCATAGAATGGGATATTTAGCTGTCTTGCTGGGAAATGGATCTCTGGAAGTGTAAGTTAACTACTTCTTCTCTTCTATTTATCGTGATGCATTATGTGCCTTGTACAATTATTCCCCTATACTTTGATTACCTCACCTTTGTTTTCAACAGTACTGATATATTTTATGCAAATTTAGTTGTGTAATCATGTTTCTAATCTGCAATGATATAGAACCTTTCTAGGCTGGATATACTATACAAAATAATGAACCACCTTATGTAGGTGGGATGTTCCACTGCCTCGCACAACATCAGCCGTATATTTATCTTCCAAGAAAGCTGCAACTGATCCTCGTTTTGTGAAACTGGCTCCCGTTTTCAAATGTTCAAACTTGAAATGTGGTGATATGCAGAGGTCAGTAGATTTCTTCCAATGTAGCCAGTTTTTGCTTGTTTCATGGAATGGAAAACAAGGCAGTGCTTTTACACTCTCACTATCCGTCTCTATTGGGTTTCTCCTGATATGGTGTTCATCTATTTTTCTACAGTATTCCTTTGACACTTGAATGGTCGACTTCAAAGAACCCTGATTTCTTACTGGCTGGTTGCCACGATGGCACGGTAAGTAGTATATTATTTCCCTGTCCTCACTGTCTCCATCATATTCTTCTTCTTTTTCTTGCATGTGTAAATGTATTTAGGAAGAGCTCAAGTGCTAAATTGCGCTGATCCGGTTTTTCATTTGGTTATCATGCATCAGGTTGCTCTTTGGAAATTTTCTACTACTACATCTTCAGAAGGTACTACCTGATAGTTTCTTTTCACATTGTGGCTAGAGAGGGTGATTTCTTCTGTTGATAGCGCATTTACTTTTCAAGTTTTTTCTGTGCAGATACAAGACCCTTACTTTTCTTCAGCGCAGATACAGCTCCCATAAGGGCAGTTGCGTGGGCTCCTGGTGAAAGGTCAGTGAAGAGAAATCACACCTATGAAAAAAACTAATGCTACAAAATGCACTGTGAGTAGAATTCACTTATTAATTAAAGTAATTTCTGAAAACCTTCCAGTGATCAAGAAAGTGTAAACATAGTAGCTACTGCTGGACATGGAGGTCTGAAGTTTTGGGACTTACGGTACACTTCACTAAAACATCAGCTTTTACATCAGTTTTCTTAAGAACTCAAGTCTGATTCAACTAATACACAAGACTGTCATGTTTAATGTATATTAGGCATTGTGTGCCATTGCTTATTGCTTGCAACCGATGTTTTCTTTTCTGCAGTGATCCGTTCCGTCCTTTATGGGATTTGCACCCAGTACCAAGGTTTATTTACAGCCTCGATTGGGTACAAGATCCAAGGTATCAATCATAGCTCTATCCCAGTTGATTATGCAGTCTTTAGATCAACGGTTCAAAGTCCTGATTAAACGTGGTTTCAAATATCTGTAGATGCGTTCTGTTACCCTTTGACGACGGAACGTTAAGAATCTTAAGCTTGGTGAAGGTTGCGTATGATGTTCCTGCTACTGGAAATCCTTATCCAAACACTAAACAGCAAGGGTTAAGCGTTTATAACCTTTCAACTTTTCCCATTTGGAGTATTCAAGTATCAAGGCTAACAGGTAGTTGTTCTTTACGGGTTTGTCTTTTAATTCAAACATTCATAATCATCTATTCGTCATAATAGATAATGTCAGAAATTACACCAGCTCGAGAATTAACAGTATAACTTCTCAGGCATAGCAGCCTATTGCACTGCAGATGGGTCCATTTTCCATTTCCAGGTTGGTTATAAACTGCACAATTACTTTTACCCCCTCAGTTCCTTTAAGATGGTAAGGTGTCATTTTCTTAAAGATTTATTTTTGTCTTGTTGGGATTCACTTTTGCAGCTTACGACCAAAGCAGTGGAAAAAGACACAAGAAATCGGAGTCCACATTTTCTCTGTGGGAAATTGACAATGAAAGATTCCACCTTTATAGTACATAGTCCAGTTCCAGACATTCCGATTGTACTAAAGAAACCGGTTGGTGAGACTGGTGAAAAACAGAGATGCCTTCGAAGTCTCTTGAACGAATCTCCTAACCGATATGCATCTAATGTTTCAGATGTTCGGCCTTTAGGTCAGTTGAAGCACTATGATAGAGACTGTAACACCAGTCTCCTGAATAGGGTCAGTCTCCTGAGTACGTTAGTCCTTATCTTGGTTTACTTGATTTTTGCAGCATTTGCACACGAGGAGGATCAGGATTTAGAGCCTGAATTTGGAGGAACAGACAATAAGGGACCAAAATTTAAGGCTAAAAAAGGAAAGAACAACATAGGAGAAGTCGATGAGAACAGCAGAGCATTAGTCTGTGTTAGTGAAGATGGCGATGAAGGAGAAGAAAGAAGAAACAAAGCAAGCAATGGTAGCATTGGAATGAAAACTGAAGGGTTTCCACCTAAAATGGTTGCGATGCATCGCGTGCGATGGAACATGAATAAAGGAAGCGAGAGATGGTTGTGTTATGGTGGAGCAGCCGGGATTGTTCGGTGTCAAGAGATTGCTCCAACCTCAAATTGGAAACCTCAGAGATAACGCTATAGTCTATAGTCCCATGTAACAGTAGTCACTTACCATCTTGAGTGTTTATACCAAAAAACAAAAATGTTGGGTTTTGTTGTAACAATGAATAGTAGAAACTGATTCAATTCAAGAACTTTATGATTTCTGGTCAAAAGAGGGAACAAACCCTGTGAATATGTTATAGAACTGATCATCAAAACCGGAACCGGAACTTCAAGTGGGAGAAGCAAACATATTCCGGATGATCTTACAAAAAGGCACCTTTAACTTTGTGCCATATAACCTAAATCTTACAATGGTACAACATTTCCTATTACCTTGTGAAAACAAAACAAAAACTTCCCAATACTAATCTTGGATGAGTATAACAATAATCCAACTTTTGTTTGTTGGATGAGTATGACTCTTGACTTTGGTATTTCATTAAGAAAGCCGAAACAATGCGAAAATGCCCGGGTAAAAAGAAAGGGATCCTGAGGTACCTTGTGGTCAACTGGTAAGAAGAAAAATGTATAAGTTATCCAACTTGCATTCGACACTGACGGCCATGGAGGTTCTTGAGCCTTGTGAGTTCTTTTCGTCTCTTTCTTGCTTCCGCTGCAGCCAAAGATCCTTGGTTTTTTCCCGGTAGAGAAATCAAAACATGATGACCAGGTGGCATCGGCGTAACTCCATTAGTAGCCTCAGAAATATCTTCATGCTTTAAACTATAAGCTTGTTGCGTTACAGCAAAACCCTCTCCTCCTTCTGAGAGGACTTCAGTTGCAGATTCATTGAGATCATATAAAGGTCTGGTTTCGGGTGAACCAGAGTCCTCTTCTTTGATTCTAGTTGGAAGATGGGACCACAGAGTTTTTGTGACCTCTAGCGGTCTTGCAGAAGAATCATCGACATGGTGCCCATTTGAAAAGGTACCTCTTTGTGTATCTTGATCCCCCAAGGATACACCGTTGCTCTGATCAGGAGGAGAGAGAAACCAAGGGCAGGGAACGACATAAAAATGAGTTTTTTGACCATTATCATCAGCAGGATCTTCATGCTCCTGCGGGGTTATAGTTTTAGCAGCTCCTCCCGAGGTGGCAAATTCGAGAGGTGATATCATTGGATTTGATGATTGAGTAACATGAGGCCAGCAGAAAAGCTGATATGGATTCTGGTTGTAGAAGTAAAACGGAGTCGATGATGTAGACATCTCAACTTGTGATGGCTTGGGTGGTTCTTCGTGTTCTTTGGTATCAGGTTTTACTGACTTTGATACCTATAAAAACAGATGGCAGATAAGATATGGCAGTTTGAGCTACAGCAAGGTGTTTGAGCAATTGTGTTACCTGTTCTTTTAAATGCTTGTTCATCGTCTCCAAAGACTGGAACTCTTTCAAGGCCCAATCCTTTTCCTGCCAGCAGAAATGTCATTAACTATAACAACTGTCTTTAAGTGGAAATGTAAACCGAATGGTTTTCTCACCCTCCTCAGATTCTCATTCTCGTATGTTAGATCAGCTGCTTTCTTACTCAACTCCTCGCACATTGCCTGGATATATAAGAAACAAATACCTAAATAACACTGGTCTATTATCACAAGTTCAGGAGAAACTTGTGATAGAACTAACCATAGCCATAGGCAACATCAGTAAAGTAAAGTCAACCTACGGTGGAGGTTAAGAATACCTGTCTTCGCCGAATTGTTTGCCTCGCAGATTCTCTGTTAGCTAAAATTCTTCGGATTCTACGTTCTTCTCTTTCAGCCTAGAGAGTAGTGGTAGCACGGAAGTTCAAACATAAGAGTCAAAAAAAAAAAATGCAGATACGAATTTTTTTTAGAACTCCTAATAAAACATATGGCATACCTCACTCAAATTCTGCCTTGATCGGCCACAGCCATTTGATCTACTACACCTTATGGTGGACGCAAGATTTGGTTTAAGTGTCTCACCATTCATTTCAGTTTTAACCGGAGCTTTAGTTACTTCTTTAATTACTGGTTGAACGTCTTCTTCTTCTTCCTCTTTCATTAATCGTTCCTGTTATAGAAACATCTTTATCAACTCTACTTCCAGTTAAAAAATAGAATTAAAACTAGTCATCTTCCAGTTTGTGTTTTACCAATAGCTTAACTTGGCTAGAGAGCTATTGTAATTCATGTTATCCAGTGTGTAATCTCACTATTCGAAATCGAATTATTTGGATCTAAAACACACAAAAATAGACATAGTTTCGCATTTCTATATATATACAGAACCAGTACGAGAGACAGAGAGAGAGATTCTAAACTATTTCTCTTAAGAAACCGACTAAGAAAGAGGGAAAGCGAAGAGACGGTACCTCAGCGAGATCCGGAGTCGGTAACGTTTCAGAGTCAGGCGGTTTCAACAGTGAGTCAGAAGGAGGAGACTCAGTCTTGACTCGCTTCCTCACTCGTTTCCCTTTACTCCCCCAGCTCGAAGCAGATTCGAAAACCTGCTCTCGCATTATCGCAAGCTGCGCCAAATCCGCCAATGCCTCTGCCGCCTCCAGCTCAGTCATATTCGCCGCCGCTGTATCTTCCCCAGACGAAGACGACGACGAGCAGCAACTCGATATAGGCTCCAACTCCATTTCAACGACCGAACAAAAAAAAATTCAAAACCAAAAGATTTTTGCCGACCCCCAAAAAAAAAAAAAACGTACCCGAAGAAAAAAAAATGAAGAGAGAGAGAGAGAAACTGTGTAACTTCCCACAGGACTAGTTGTGTAGAGTGAGAAAAAAGAGAGAGAGAGAGGGAAAAAAAATTGCAAGAGGAGCCCAGGGATGGTGAGAGAGTGACACGTGTAATGCCAGCTCGTCGTCTACAATTGGTTGCTTAAGCATAGCCCATGTATCTGAGAACGCCACGTCTCGCTTTATTTTACCAAGTCAGCAAACTCGGCACGTGCGGAGTATAAAATGCGAGCGTGCGAAGCCGAGATTTGGGACCGCCAACCTCAGAACTGGGAAGAAGAAGGGGCGCAGAGTTTAAGAATGCAAAGTCGGTTCGAGCATCTCAGATTTTGACACGTGTTACGGTTTTATTGGATATTTACGTGGCGACCTCTGAGCCATGAGATTCAGTGGTGAGTTTTGTTACCGGCTGAGGTTTTTGGTGCATCCACCAACACACAATCTTTTTCTTTTTTTGTTCTACACCTCTTTCTTTCTATGGGCTGGGTCTTTGGTTGTCATTAAAAGGCTGATTGTTTTTAACGATTGGCCCATCGCTACCATAGGTTAGTATGATGGTGATGTCTATATTATGTGTTACGGAGGTTCTTGAGCTTTTTGTAATAAAACAAAGCACACAAAATCATTTAATTCAAATTTCTAAGAGATAATGGCTATGGTCAATCACCATTGTTAGACCGGTTTTTTAAAAATAAATGGTATCGGCCAATAGAGTCTAGTAGACCTTCATCGAAAATAGAAATTGTCCAAGCAAAGTTAACGTATATATATGTCGATAGATCCATCAGATAACATTGATGGTATGTATTCTATATACATACATACGCATCATATAAATTGCTTGACTAAATGATTTAATCGAGCTCATGCAATTTGTTTTTTTTTTTTTTTTTTTTTTTTTGTGGTAGGAGCTCATGCAATTTGTTTGAAGACATATACATAGGGTTTACTTACTACATATATATATATGCACTGAAAATGAAATAAATAAAATCAGTTACACGTACAAGTCGTTTTTTTTTTGTTTTTTCAATGGTCCGATCGTCAGCTCTGTTTGGTATATAAACGCACCGCAAATTAAAAGAAAAACTTATTCCTCGTTTTAGACGTGGATTCCCAATTCCCTACATAAAGAGACAAAAAACAAATGTATTAAGGAGTGATTATGGAAACGTTTAGACAAAAATGGTGCTAATTGTATAAACAATTAATACGGAATAGCGAAACAAATTTTTCATTAAAAAAGATTGAAAATATTCGAAAAGAAACGTTGTTAGACATACTTGGCTTTATCACCGAACCATCCGTAAACGGATTTGAAGGTGGAAGATACAGAGTCAACGGCTTGTTGACCGCCGTGTTCATTGAATGCATTGGTGACACCCGTCACGGCGGAGTCTACTCTCTGCCCAACCGTCGGCTGTTCCTCCGCGGCCACTGAGTTTATCGAGACTAGTAGCATTACCGACAACACCACAGCCATAGCCATCGATATTCTTGCCATCCTCTCTCTCCGACAAAACTATTTTTCTTCTTCTTTTTTTTTGTCTGTTTAAATAAAACTTCAAGTAATAATTAAAATGGTTTAAGCTGTAAAGACTAGTTATTTTTTACGTGTTTTTTTGTTCGGTCTAATTTGAAAGTTCTATATTTATATGCGAAGGAGATTGATAATTTAATTCTATATGGTTTTATTTACCGGTGTAACGATCCACCGTTAGTGGCGGTTACGCCGAAAATAGTACGACGTGTGAGATGGCTTTAGTTTTTTCATGCGAGTTCCAAATTAAGCATCATCAGATTTGTGGTTATGTCTGTATTCATTTTATCGTTCTTATACATACATGTGATATATCATCAAACTCTACATGTTACTTGTTAGTTAACCAATTCATAGCGGTTCATATATAAAAGATTTGTTGTAGGATTGGAATATTAGAGTTTCAGAACCATCCAGTACTTCAAGTTCAAGCAATCATGGTTTGGTTACCTTGGATGCTATCTACAAATTGCAAGAACACATCAGTTTTACAGGTTTCAGAAACCAAGATTACGAAATGAGAACGAACTAGTCTAGTTTACTAAGACCATATATCATTATTGATGGCCTAAGGTGTAAGTTAACAGTACATATATATTGATAACTAGAGCCATAAAATAAAATAAAAACAAACTTCGCAACAAGGAATTAATAATCAAATTATATAATTCAAATAGGAAAAAACCCATATAGAATAGCTACATAATTGATGTGAAATAAGATTAAACAGAAGAAGTAAGAAGCACAATGAAAAGGGATCGATACACTCATCAGTAAGCAAAAAGAAACATATTCCTTTGAATCTTTACTATAGCAGTCTTCACATCAACGTACGTAACAGACTTTTTCACTGGATTCTCATATTCTTCATCAACCTGTCCCCAAAAAAACAATAGAGCTGTTAACAAATTAAAGTGACTACAACTTGAGTATTTGATTAACTAAAGCCTTTCCGAGTTCCAGTTTTGCTGATCTAAGATAACACTCTTGTTGATTACCGACCAGTGAAAAGTTAGAATCACTTTTGAAATTATATACAGTTTATATATCATCTAATCATACACACGAATAATATAAAATTAGATAGATATACAATGTAGTGTATATAACATCTTATCATATATATATATATATATATATATATATATCCATATGATTCAAAGTTGAGGACAACATGAGCATGTGATGTGATGCAACAAACAGGATTAGATTTCATGTGACTCCTTTCGTTTTAATGAGAATGCCGGAAATAGAAGGGATGGTGCGTGTGGTTGCATGTTTCTTATTATTACATATTTTATTATTTATATAGTCTAACGTTCATCCCTAATATTATCGTATATATACAATACTACTACCAAAAGAACACATTCATATTAGTCCAATATCGTATATATACATGTTTTCCATTAAATCACAATATACATCACACAAACAAAAAGAGGAATGTAATTTCTCTAATAAAGATTTGGTATAATTCACAAAAACGACCACAGATTCTCAAAGATTTGGTAGGACAAAAATATTATACCTCAAATCAAAATCATTGATGCCTCTTGATTTACTTCCAACAGCGACGGTTTTGTATTTAGGCAAAGGTACCAAGTCTTGTTCGATGTTCATGAGATCTTCAACAAGGATGTCGTAGTGACGCTTGACTTCCTCTACAGATTTACTTCCGACTGCTTTCGCGACGTTCTGCCAACGGTCGGGAGTGTCTTTGTCATAAACGGCTAAAGCCCTCTCGAACATCTTGTTTTGCTTAGACGTCCAAGATGAACTCGAGCTCATAGAACTTGAGGCCATTTTATTTTAACTTCTTTGGGAAGAAAAAAAGAAGAAGAAGAAGATATCGATATATATAAACAGTACAAGAGATAGAAAAGGGATCGTTGCTAAGTTACGAATACAAACGAATGCCAAAATAAGCTCCTTATATGGAGGAAACGAGAGTTGAGAGATTCCGCAAGTTGTATAGTATTTATCCATTTTTTATTATTATTTGAGGTTATATACCAAAATAAAGAATTATAATGGTTTATGGGGCTACATTTTTTTGGGTCCATACGGTTTTTGAGAGAATAGTGTCGAGAAGTCAACCTTTAATTAACGTTCATCTGTGTTCTTATGAAATCTAAGATCAGCAACCCTTTTAGAGTGATGTAACTTCTTGCAATGTGAATAAGTGGTATACCAATCATCCCCATTTTGTTCTTGATTACAAAAGAATGTTAAAAGAATATTGTCATGCTTAATTAATGATGGTTAGCAACTTAGCATATACTAAAGTTTTCAAGTCTTTAAATATAACTTATATTATTTATGAAATTCACTCTGTTAAAAAAAAAAAAATTAAATTATTCAACTGGATAAAAATTCTAGATAAACTGTTAAATAAAACTTTATCCATCTATCATTCTTTCTTTGTTTTAGACTTTCAACACTCAATTATTGTATATAAAACCGTAAAAAATCATTATATGTATATATATATGATTCAAAACTTATTTCTCTATTTTGATAATTGGGATATCCTGAATGAAAACCAGACATCTTAGTGATTATAGTGTGCCATATAGAATCGATTTTTTAAGTTTTTTAAAAAATAACAAGAAAAAAATAGATCACATAAAGGAATCATTAAAATCTTAAAAGAAAGTTAAACACAGTTGTGGTATACAGAGAAGAAAAGAAAAAAGAGTGGACAAACAAGATCCCGTATTTTATACTCCAATGAATCAGATTCATCACCTTAGCTAGCCAAAATGTGCTGATACGATGAATTCTGATAGTTTTATTCAAGAAACATGGTTGTACTTGTAACATAAATACATAATCATCTCCACGACCAAACTTCATGGAGATTTTTAATAATTTTTATTTCATTTTGCTACGATCGATTATATATATATAAATATACACAAAATACTACACAATAATAAAAAAATTGAAGGAGTCAAGGAGATATAATGGATCGATACTCTTCTTGGGTCACTTTTGTTTCGATTCTAACAACTTATCTCGTGTGATGGAAAGAAAGCAAATTTGGACGACAACCATTTCGATAAGAGCCACTTATAATTTGCTGAAAAAAGAATAATACCATAAGAGATATTATCGTCTTCTTTTGGGATAAAATTCCCTATCTCTGCATTGATTCTTACTCATACTTGTACTTTTTATACTTTTGTGAAAATGAATTTCTCGTTATAGCTCTAAGTTTTGTAACAAGTTTTATGTTTCATTATTTAGATTAATTTAACAAAACTTAGATATGTTACAACTGATTTGTTAGAAATTTATAAGAATTTGGAAATTGTGTTAGTCTCATAGTTTTTTTTTTTTTTTTTTTTGAAACACTATCTCATAGCTTAATATAGCAACTGGTTTAACCTTTCGGCCATGCATGGGACAGCAAACATACTTATACGACATATCATCTATACAAGTTTTAAGTTATGTTAATATGTCATATATATATAAATATATAACGTTTCCCAGTTTAAATGAAAAGATCATGCAACTCATGACAAAAAAATTATAGTTTGGTAGATAAAATTCCACGAGTAATCATTATAATTTGTGTTAAAATTCTCACTATATACCAAAAGAATTTTCCCGATGAGGAATGACGATAGGATCAAAATAGATAATTTAGATGTACGGGGTAAATTAGAGTAACATTTATAAAATTGAGGGTTCTTTTTGCTAATTGCCAATTAACGAAGAGAGAAACGGCAAAGGCAACCCTAATTCGAGTTCGAGTATACCACCATTTCTGTGATCTTTGACCTCTTCGTTCTTCACTCAACTTTTAGCTACTGATAGGGTTTTGCCGAGATTTATCAATCTACCTTCATTTCTGGTTAGACCCTCGGGAGAAAAGATGAAATATTTCCTTGTCTCTCGACAAGCGATCCATCGCATTTCGCTATTATCTTCAAAGACCCCAACTTTATGCAGAAACTTCTCCGCCATTGCATCGTCGATTTCTCACTCTGATCGTCACCTGAGAAGCTACGACGATCAAACCCCATTTAAAAATGCCGAAATCCCTAGACCCATTTCATCTTTCAATCGATATTTCCACTTTACCTGTGAGTCCCGGCTCAGTGAGTCTAGTGCAGCCATTGATGACTCAAATGAGCAGGAGGAAGATGGAGAAGACGAAGATGGAACAACGAACGAGTTCCTCTCTCGATTCGTTTGGATAATGCGTGGGAAAGTCTCTGAAGCTTACCCAGATTGTGACAAGAAGATGATTGATGGTATGCTTTTGCTTATCGTTGAGAAAGTTGTGGAGGAGATCGAAAGAGGTGGATTCAATAAAGTTGGATCAGCTCCACCTTCGCCGTCATCGGAGTTCAGTGATGATCTATGGGCTACTATCTGGGAAGTTAGTAATACAGTGTTGAAAGATATGGAGAAAGAGAGGAAGAAGGAGAAGATGAAACAATACGTTCAGTCTCCTGAAGTGATGGAGATGTGTAGGTTTGCTGGAGAAATTGGTATTCGTGGGGATTTGCTTAGAGAGCTTAGATTTAAATGGGCAAGAGAGAAAATGGAAGACGCTGAGTTCTATGACAGTTTGGAACAGCAACGTGATTTGGATAATTCAATTAGGGAATCTGAAACAGTGGATGGGGGAGAAGAAGAAGGGTCTAGTGCCTCTGATGAAATTGAATCTCGGAGTATTTCTCTTCCTAAACGAAAGGGGAAGTTCAAGTACAAGATTTACGGGCTTGAGTTATCGGATCCGAAATGGGGTCAAGTTGCTGATAAAATTCATGAAGCTGAGGAAGAGGCTGACTGGAAAGAGCCTAAACCTGTAACTGGGAAGTGTAGATTGGTTATGGAGAAGCTTGAGTCTTTGCACGAGGGAGATGATCCTTCAGGATTGCTTGCTGAGTGGGTTGAGTTATTGGAGCCTAACCGTGTGGACTGGATTGCTTTACTTAATCAATTGCGAGAAGGAAACACCAACGCATACTTAAAGGTTAGACTTTTATTTTTGTGTTCTTAAAATGACCTGAAATTTGGATGCATAGTTGTTTTGGGAAATGGCTTACGCCTTTAGTGTTGGTTCTTGACTGATATCACAGTAACCACGTTTTTTTTTTTTCCAGTGGGTTGAGTTGAAGTCCTGTGGTTTGATTTCTTTGTTGCTAATTGTATTGCTTCTTATCGTATTGTTATATTCATGATCATTTTCTGGCGTGTAAGTCCTGTGGTTTGATTTCTTTTAGGTATCTTAATAGGACTTTTGTGGACGTTTCATTTGATAGTCTAGGTTGTGTTATATATCTAGATGGTGGTACTTGTATACATATATCTAACATACCTTCGGAAGATGAACATTCAAGGAGGCGTGATTATGTCGTGTTTTAATCAATTTGTGCTGTTTTGGTGTTTCAACAGGTAGCAGAACTTGTCCTGGATGAGAAATCGTTCAAGGCAAGCATCTCGGACTACTCAAAACTCATCCACATCCATGCTAAAGAGAACCACAGTGAAGATGTTGATAGAATTTTAAAGAAAATGTCTCAAAATGGGATCTTTCCAGACATTTTAACCGCCACTGCACTGGTTCATATGTACAGTAAATCAGGAAACCTTGAGCGTGCAACTGAGGCATTTGAAAACTTGAAGAGCTATGGGTTACGACCAGATGAGAAGATCTACACATCCATGATCATGGGCTATGTAAACGCTGGCAAACCGAAACTAGGTGATAGGTTGATGAGAGACATGATAACAAAGGAAATGAAACCTTCAGAAGAAGTTTACATGGCTCTGCTTCGAGCTTATGCACAAGTGGGAGACAGCAACGGAGCTGCAGCGATTTTTTCTTCAATGCAGTTAGATATAACCAATCCATTCACTTTTGAAACATATAGTTTACTTGTGGAAGCATATGGGAAAGCAGGGCAGGCAGACGAAGCGAAATACTACTTTGATGAAATGAGAAGGCGTGGGCACAAACCCGATGATAAATACATTGCAAATGTGGTCCAAGCATACAAAGGAGAAAATTCATTGGATAAGGCACTGAGACTTTTGTTGCAGCTTGAGAAAGATGGGATTGAAATTGGGGTGATCACATACACTGTTCTTGTTGATTGGATGGCTAATCTCGGGCTTATCGAGGAAGCTGAGCAGCTTCTGGTAAAGATCTCTCAGCTAGGAGAAGCTCCACCATTTGAGCTACAGGTGAGCTTGTGCTATATGTATGCTACTGTCAGGAACGAGAAGAAGACTCTTCAAGCTCTTGGGGTTTTGGAAGCTAAGAAAGATCAAATGGGACCTAACGAGTTTGAAAAGGTTATAACAGCGTTGAAAAAAGGTGGGTTTGAGAAAGATGCAAGAAGAATGTATAAGCATATGGAAGCTCGAAAGTTTTTGCCTTCTGAGACATTGAAGGTGGATATGCTTGGAACACCTCGAGCTTTTGGGTCTGGATATGGTAGAATGAGACGATAAAATGTCTCTTGAAGTGGAGTTATCTTTTGGAAACTTATTCATCGTTCTGAGTTCAATGTTCTGAGTCAACAACACACATTCAAGAGTTCGTGTATTCTCCATTGATTAAACCGTAGCTGTGTTCTGTAATAATCTTGTTACTTAGAATTTTGGAATCTCAACTGCTGCTTTTTAGATGTGAGATTTTTCCTATTTCCATTTCCAACGAGTGCTCAAGAAGAGCTCCTTTCTGAAATCAACTTTCTTATTTTGATCTCTCTATTTTATCCAGGTTTCAATAGTTTGATCAGTTTTATCTTTCCCCTAATCACGAATGAAGTGTAAACATATAATAAGATAGAAGAATCATAAGTTCTCTTTTGAATACTTTGTCTAGGATCACTACAGTTTTTTTTGTCAGTCAGACAAAATCGATTAAACCAGTTACAATGTAAGCCGGTGCCTAAACCACCACAATGGGCTTCATAATTGTTACCGCAGATATTTATGTAGGCATTATTAGATCATTCCTTTTCTTATATCCAAAACCAAAACATTATACATTACTTGGTTTCGTTTGTCGGCGAGGATGGTGGTTTTGAACTCGCATCATCATTCTAAATGCAAAACTTGGATAAAAAAAAAAAAAAAAAAAAGCGGACACTTGAATAATATTAATGGATTTAATTGCTTTTTCTAAGCTAAGTTTGTTTCTTTGTGATCTTATCAGTTTATTTTTTGACGTCTAATAAATAACTCAACTTTGTAAAAAGCGAAAACAAAATTTCATATACAAGTGGATATATAAACTTCAAAGAGATAAATGTACATATGTGTGAATTGTGATGTGTCTGCCACGCATAGTACACGTGTCAGCTATGTCGGCTAATAGTAGTAGTCGATGTTGATGCTAAAAAGATCTATATCGATCCTAGTAAATGAGAAAACTTCGACATCATCTTTTGTTATTTTTGTATCATAATGGCTTATTTCTTCTAAGAGATTTTAGATTTTGGTTTCATCTAAAAGTTTCGGAATCAGGGACTCATTAACCCATCCACTTCAACGAAAGAAATTGGGATCCAAATCTAAAGATTAGTAGTTACTTTTACTATTCGTCGATAATCATAGGAGACAGGATAAGGTTGGAAAATCAATAACGTGGAATCATGTTAAAATAATAGTATCACCGTATATATTTATTAATTTAATCAAATCCACCTGACTTAAATCAGTGGGCTAGTAATACCAGAGTATTCCAAATAGCGAGGTAAATATCAATAATAATAAACAACGAATCTAATTTCTTTGGGGATAAGGGTTATCTAGATGAGTTGCAGACTTTTGCATGGACCAGGTCACTACTACTACTATATATAGTAGAATGTTATTAAGCCTACATGATACCACCGACTTATATAGTGTTTACTGATCAGCAAGATAATTTAACAGGACAATATTGGAAAAGATTAAGAGCAAATGGGTTCTTTAATGTCAGGATGGGACTCTCCTGTTGGGGATTCTAATTCAGGTAATTATTGGTATCATCATTCATAAATATTTTTTTAATTAGGAGCTAGGATTTAATAAGCATGCATGTATTATATGATTTAGATCGTATGTTTTGATTATAACTGAATGATAATTTTTATGCCGAAATTAATTCAGTGAGAAGGTGCAAGTCGCTAACAAGAGAAGAGATCGACACTTTTTGGAAAACAAAGAAGAAGACTGAAGAAGAACATGTTCAAGCCGTTTCCAAGTTGGTAACTCAGGTAATGACCAATTACTTTTCATTTTTATTTGTATCTTAATTCCCCCAACAAAAGGAAAAGAGACGATATTTCTTTATCAGTTGATCATTTTTAAAAAACAAAAGAAAAACACAAATTAGATGATCTAATTAAAAAGCCTTTGAAATTGTTCGCAGGAAGTTGCACGAAGCCAATCACAAGAGGAGAAGGGAGTAGTAGAAGAGGTTTTTGAGAACCAAAACAAGAAAAGTGGATGGTAATATAAAATTTTGATACTATTAAATAAAAACTCGTAATGTTTTGAAGATTGATAAATTGATGTTGTTGGTCAGGTGGACAAGAAGCAACTGGGCGTTCTTGAATGAGCCGAGGGAGGAAGAAGGTCGACCGAACAATTACGTGCCACAGTTCCAAGTTGCTCACATCGCCAAAATCGCTGGATAGCAGTGACGCTATAAGCACCGGCTAATATATGGAATGGTGATTTAATTAAGGTTTTAATCTAAGATGTGTTTTATTTACGTGTGATCATATGTATATGTATATTTTTGGTTGTGTGAATGTAATTCGAGACATGGATTTATAGATCTTTGTTTTTTTTATAAGAAACAAACATTTTATCTTACAAACCTCTCACGTTACCAACGGCGACTGCCGGTGATCGGAGACCACAACTCTCCTTGGTCGTTTTTTTTGTGTTACTACTTTGTACGTTTATTTAGGATTGCAAATTGTAATTTTTGTATTTGACTTTTTTTTCTTCTAAAATAATTCCCAAAAAAACAAGCGGAAGCTAAAACTAATTGCAAAGCTATGGGCAGGGTGATGTCCGGCCCATTAATTTATTTGAGCTAAGTTTAAGGCCACTTTTAATAATGGAAACTAAAAACAGGAAATTTACTACATGTTAAAAAAAAAAGGAAATTTACTAGATGTTATAAAAATGAAAAGGAAATTTACTATATGTTTCAAAAAATATATGGAAATTTACTAGATGTTATAAAACAAATAAAGGAAATTTACCAGATGTTTAGAAAAAAAGGAAATTAACAAACAGCTGGGACCGTCAAGCAGTGTTTATAAAAGGAAAGCTTATCTGAGTAATCTCCGAGGTATAGACATAATTTTGTTTTTCCCTTCTTCTTTCTCTGTATAGCTTTAGCAAATTTCTCTGATTGATTGATATTTTAATGACGGGAAAAGATTTGAAGCTATTATTTCTGTAAGAGATTTCCCAATTATGTTGATTTTTAGGATTTCTACTTTCGTATTTGTGTATTTTGTTTAGTTTTTATCTTGCTTTTCGTTTTTGATGGGGCTTTGATCATTGCAAAAATTGAACGAATCGCGACTCTGCGTTTCAAATTATTATGTGAATTTAAGTTCTTTCTTTGTATGTTACTTGATTTTGTTTTGGGGTTTGGTTTTCGTTGTTGTTTTTTTTTGTTCTTGTAGCGCTTTCGATAATTTGATAAAGCGTGAAATTGTTGGGATCGGTTGTGGTTTTTGTTAGGTTTTTTTCCTTGTTTTGTTTTTTTTTTTTCTCGAACCCAAAAGAGAACACAGGCAGACACTCAGTTAATGGTGTTCTGTCAGATTCTTTTTTGGGGACATTGTCCCGTCGAGTTTGGCTAAGTCTTTAGATCAGAGATTGAAAACCAATCCTTTACCCACGGCTTGAAATAAGTATTCTGACAAAATACTTTGGATTGGTTTCAGTTTACTGGTCAAAGATCAAGTTACCCACGGCTTAAAAAACATCACCAGTCTTTAGACAGTGACTTGAGTGAGGTTCGGAAAAACCAATCCTTTTTACCCACGGCTTAAAAGTATTTTCAGACAAAAGGATTGGATTGGTTTTTCTTTGATGGAAGGAAAAAGGTACCTATGGCTTAAAAGATTGGTCTCTAAGACTGATTATGAGATTCAAAAATCGATCCTTTAGACATGGATCGTCTTGGCTTTGTGCTAAGGAAAAGGGAACCCACGGCTTAAAAGATTAGTCTTAAGACTAATTCTGAGATTCAAAAATCGATCTTTTTAGAGAATGAATCATCTTGGCTTTGTGCTAAGGAAAAAGGTATTGACGGCTAGAAGATTGGTCTCTTAAACTGGTTTTGAGATTCAAAAATTGTCCTTTAGACATGGATCATCTTGGCTTTGTGCTAAGGAAGAGGTAAACATTTGTCTCTAAGACTGCTCTTGAGATTCAGAAATTGATCTTAACATGGATCGACTTGGCTTTGTGCTAAGGAAGAGGTACCCACAAATTTGTCCCCCGGCTTATAAACATTAGTCTTTATACAAAGACTTGGGATTCATAATAACCAATCCTTTTTTTACCAACGGCTTAGAAAAATTTAGACAAAAAGATTGGATTGGTTTATATATGATGGTAGGAAAAGATACCCACGGCTTGAGAGTTAAAGCATTAGTCTCTTAGACTGAGTCTGAGATTCAAAAATTGATCCTTTAAACATGGATCGCCTTGGCTTTGTGCTAAGGAGACATGGATCGTCTTGGCTTTGTGCTAAGGAAAAAATACCCACGACCACGACTTTGTCCCACGGCTTATAAACAATGGTCTTTAGACAGAGACTTGAGATTCAGAATAACCAATCTTTTTCTTACCCACAGCTTAAAAGAATTCAGGCAGAAAGATTGGATTGGTTTATGTATGATGGTAGGGAAAGGTACCCACAACTTGAAAGTTGAAACATTAGTCACTTAAACTGAGTCTGAGATTCAAAAATTGATCCTTTAGACATGGATGTTCTTGGGGTTTGTGCTAAGGAGACATGGATTGTCTTGGCTTTGTGCTAAGGAAAAGGGTACCCACAGCTTAGAAGATTAGTCTCTTAGACTGATTCTGAGATTCAAAAAATGGATCCAGACATGGATGTCTTGGCTCTGTGCTAAGGAAAATGCACCCACGGCCTAAAACCTTAGTCTATATATTAGACTGATTCTGAGATTCAAAAACTGATCATTTAGACATAGATCGTCTTGGCTTTTTCCAAGGAGAAAGGTACCCACGGCTTTGCTCCACGGCCTAAATACATTTGTCTTTAGACATAGACTTGAGATTCGGAAAAACCAATACTTTCGTTACCCACGGCTTAAAAATATCCGGACAAAAAGATTGGATTGGTTTATGTTTTGATGCTAGGGAAAGATACCACGGCTTGAAAGTTAAAACATTGGTCTCTTAGACTGTGTTTGAGATTTAATAATTGATCCTTTAGATATGGATCTTCTTCGCTTCGTCCTAAGGAAAAGGTACCCAGGGCTAATAAACATTAGTCTTTAGACAGAGACTTGAGATTCGGGATGACCAATCATCAACCACGACTTAAAAAGACAAAATATTAGATTGGTTTTTGGTTTGATGGTAAGGAACTGGTACCCACGGCTTAACATTATCAGTCTTTTAGGCTGTGACGGAGATTAAAAAATTGATCCTCTAGACATGGATCGTCTTGGTTCAAAAAAAAAAAAAAAGACATGGATCGTCTTGACAATGGCAGTCTTTTGACAAATAAACAAAACCCACAGCTTAAAACGTAGGTCAATAAACAGAGACAATAAACAGAGACTGAAAACGGTCTTTTTACCCACGGCTTAGTTTAGACAACTTTTAGACCATATTGGATTGGTGAAAGGACACATGCCACTTTGGATTGGTTTTAGTACCCACAGCTACAACATTAGTCTTTAGACAAGGACTTTGTTACTTCCTCAATCTAGACAAAGAAACAGATCAATTTGGATTGGTTTTAGTACCTACGGCTACAGCATTAGTCTTTAGACAAGGACCTTGTTACTTTCTCAATCTAGGACAAAGAAACATATCATTTGGATTGGTTCTATTACCCATGGCTTTAAAATCCAATCTATTACGCACAGCTTAAAAGATTCTTCAGAGAAAGACATTGTTACGTTTTCAGTCATTAGAAAAAGAAACAGATCACTCTGGATTGGTATTTGTACCCACGGCTTAAAAGAATATTTAGACAAAGACATAGTTACTTCAAGTCTTGTGACCAGAAAAACAGATCACTTTTGGATTGAGTTTTGTACCCACTGCTTCAACGTTGGTCTTTAGACAAAAACATAGTTATTTTTCAGTCTTTCGACAAAGAAACATATCACTTTGGATTGGTGTTAGTACTCACGGCTTCAAAATCCAGTGCTCTACCCACGGCTTAAAGTTATTTTTAGACAAAGACATAGTTACTTCTCAAACCTTTAGACTAGAAAGACATATCATTTTTGATTGGTTTTAGTACCCACGACTTCAATGATAGGTCTTTAGACGGACAAAGTTACTACTTATTTCTTCAGTCTTAAGACAAAGAAAAAAACCACTTTAGATTGGTGTTAGTACCCAAGGCTTAAAAGAATATTTAGACACAAAACTGGATTGGTTTATGTTTGGTGGAGGGAAAACGTAACCCACGGCTTAACACAATAGTATTTTGACTGAGACCGATTTAAAAGTTGATCTCATATGTTACCCACGGCTTGAAATCTCTAGACAGGATCATGTTCGGTTTGTTCTTTCAGTCTTTAGACAAATAAACATATAATTCCGGATTGGTTTCAGTGCTACAACATTAGTCTTTAGTCTAGAACTTAGTTACTATTTCAGTTTTTAGACAAAGAAACATGTCACTTTGGATTGGTTTAGTATCCACTGCTTCAAAATTCAATCCTTTACGCACTGAATACAGATTAAGCTGGGATAAATTCGAAAATCTCCAAAAGAAACTTAAAGCGAATGCAACAAAAAGTGGTTTAGCTCAGCCAAGGGTAATTCGGTGACTTTACCTTACCAACGGTTGTTGGCTCCACCGAACAGATTCGGTAACATTTTTTTTTCTTTGAATGAGAATAGATTCGGTAACTTTACCTTACCACCGGTCGTTGGTTCCACCGACAAAAAAAAAGGAAATATAATGATGACACGACGAATTATTCTGAGTCCGTTTATTTTTTTACCTATTCTCTGAAACCCAACTCGAAGAAAAATAGTAGAGAAGAGATGACGAGCAAGATTCTAGTGATTGGAGCGACAGGTCGCATAGGAAAGTTCATTGTCGAAGGAAGCGCCAGGTCCGGTCACGCCACTTTCGCTATGATTAGAGAAGCGTCTCTCTCTGATCCAGTCAAGGCCAAACTGGTCGAGAGCTTCAAATATCTTGGCGTCACCATACTCTACGTACGTGACTTTTCTCTCTTCTCCTAATAGTGTCTAGTTCAAATCTGGTTTTCCCAAAGATTTATGGGTACTTATTCAACACTAACTTCACTTGAGTAATAGTTAGATTATTTAGAATCGGATGATATGTTTTTTGTAAAAATGCTTTACCAAAATATATCATTTAAAACATGATCAATTCAAGAATTCAAATGATCATTTCAAGAATTCAACTAACTATTTGAGACTTATATTTCTGCTTAAAGTTGCACAAGCCGTTAGTTACATACATGTTATAAATATCATTTCTCTGCATTCTTTCTAAGTCTTTTCCCGATTGGAATGCTGATAATGGTGACAGGGTAGTCTAACTGATAAAGAAAGCTTACTGAAGGCAATTAAACTCGTCGATGTCGTGATATCAGCTGTTGGTCGGCCTCAAATTCTGGATCAAATCAATATCATCGATGCCATCAAAGAATCTGGAAATGTTAAGGTCCGTTTTTATTTTTTGGCTATATATACACAACATCATTTCTAATTGGCTCAAGGAGATCTTGAATAGTTTTGGAACTAATATTTTGTAATCCAGAGATTCTTGCCGTCGGAATTTGGCAATGACGTGGACCGGACGATGGCCATCCAGCCAACACTATCAGAATTTATCACTAAAGCTCAGATAAGGCGTGCCATAGAAGCTGCAAAGATACCTTACACGTATGTGGTCACAGGTTGCTTTACTGGTTTGTTCGTTCCTTGTTTAGGTCAATGCCACTTGGGACTCAGATCCCCTCCTAGAGACCAAGTTTCAATCTATGACAATGGCAATGTCAAAGGTAGTATGTGAGCACCGTCATAAGTTACTTGTGTAAACTGCAACTATGGTATTACTAATATGTGATTCCTTTTTTTTTGGTTGTAGCCATTTTCAACACTGCAGAAGATATTGTTGCATATACATTGAAAGCTGTTGATGACCCGAGAGCACTTAACAAGATTCTCTACATTCACCCGCCCAAGAACATTGTATCACAGAACGATATGGTTGGTTTGTGGGAGGGAAAGATCGGTAAGAGCCTCGAGAAGACTTATGTTTCAGAGGAAGAACTCCTTAAAAACATCCAAGGTGATAATCACTTAAACTGTAAAAACAGTGTCTCAGTCAGTAATCAGTCTAAAGTATTAAATGAGCCACTTGCATATGCAGAGACTAAGCCTCCAGTGGATTTTCTGGTTGGTTTGATCCATACGATACTTGTGAAGGGAGATCTTACCTACTTTACTATAGACCCTTCTTCCGGAGTTGAGGCTTCCGAGCTTTACCCCGAGGTCAAGTACACAAGCGTCGATGAGTTTCTTAACCAGTTTGTCTGAGAAAAAACTCTTCCTTTAAATATATGTTTCTCAGATCTCATCTCAAACGAAACTTATTTCATTAATAAAACACAAAACATAAAAGGTCCAAGTACATTATTTGACTGACACAAGAGAAACCTTGAACCACAATATCACACCAACAAGCTCATAGTGGCAGAGCTTCAAGGGTTGACCTTAGGAGCCCATCCGGAGATCACATACTTTTCCTCAGGCTTAGTTTTCTCAAAGGAGGGGAGAGAGAACAGAGTATTCATGTAGTTATGGACATGGGGCAAGCTCGAGGGGACAGACCAGCTTTTGAAATGGCCAAGAGCGACTTGGAGATGGTAAAGCTTTGGTGCTAAGCTTAGATCCACCGCGGAGACTCTTTCCCCGGCGATAAAAGGACCCTCGTGACTCTTGAGATGGTTCTCCAAAGCTTCTAGCTCATGAAGCAAGGCATGTTCAGAACTGTCATTGGAGTCTTTACTCTTCAAGAACGTCCCAAAAGTACCAAAAATGTTGGATCCAACAGAGGCAAATTCAGGAGGAGTCTTGAGAGGTGGATCAGGATACTTCTCGTCGAGGAGACCAACGATGACGTCGGAATCACTCACCCACTTGTTGTCGATCTTGAGCACAGGTACTTTCCCTTGAGGACTAATGTCCAAGAACCTGCAGCATATGAGCCAAGTTCCGGTTAACAACACTTAAAGCTCGTAATCTAACTAACCAACCCCAATCTAATTTCCGGTTAACATAACAACTCAGATTAATAGAGAAATCAACACATCCCATGAGAGTGTACCAACACTATACAAGTAGAATCCAGAGCTTTGCATGAAGTTTAAACATTTAATTAACGAACAAGTAAGAACGATCTAGGGTTATGGCGTGAGAGAAACTGACCACTGGGGTTTCTCGGAGAGGTTAATCAGATGCATTTTATAGGTAAGATTCTTCTCCTCGAGGGTGAGAACAGCTCGGTGGCTGAACGGACCTAAAACGACAAAACAAACACTTTGATTACAGCAACGATTGATGCTCAAAACACTCAAGTGTTGACAAAAATAAAACATCAAAGCTTAATGCAAACTATAAAGAGAGAGAAGAGGGTTACAGTCGCCGAAGTGATCAGGAGCACCAACAGCAGCTTTCACGCATATTTCGAGAGCCATCTTTGATATGATTTTCTTTTTTTGGTTTCGGATGAATAATTGAGTTAATCAGTGAACGAAGGCCAAAGCTTTTATCTTGTAAACTGATCACTCTCTACTCACACGCGACACACACAGTCACCTCCACCTATTCACCTAATAGTGGGCCATTTTTACCCGATGATTATCTTTATTTTTCACGTGTTGTACGTTACGTTGTGAGACACCATTGGAACGACTCTGCATAGTGATAGGGCCATAGATATTTTTGGTCGGCAGGTTTTGGACCGTTCAGTTTAGCACAATAAATTTCATACTGAAAAGAATATTATTGGAAACAAAAGAGTAATTAATTAGGTACACAGTAGTTGTTGCCTTATTGGGATGTGATGATTTTTTTTTTGCGCGTAATCAGTGAAACTAAATTATGTATTACTATATTGTTTTTCATTTTTCTGTAACATTACTGTTTTTATGTAGACGTGTAACTTTTATGAAACGTTAATTCGATTCGGTTTTTGATTTTGGTTCGCTTGAACCAGAATAAACCACCGTAACAGTAATTCTCTGATTCGATTCGTCGTAGTTCCAGAATATCTCCCGTGTTAGAACACTCATTTGCTTTTCGCCTCCAGTCCTCTTCACCTTCGACCATCACCATCATCGTCTTCTTCCTTCAGTGTAGTTGTAGAGTCCTCGCTCACCTGTGAACTCGAAGAAGCTGAAAGATCAATGGGAACCCTAGGCAGAGCATTTTACTCGGTTGGCTTTTGGATCCGTGAGACCGGTCAGGCTCTCGATCGCCTCGGTTGTCGCCTTCAAGGCAAAAATTACTTCCGAGAACAACGTAAGCTTCACCGTAGCTCTAGTTTTCACTCCGATTTCGAATTCGTATAAATGAGGAGTTTCGATTGAGTTACTATTCAGCTCGTCTATTAGGTTAGAGATCTGGAACTGATGTCTTTTGTATTTGTAAGTATAGCGATTCTGGATTTTAATTGATGAAGATTTTAGGAATGAGTTTTGCTGGTCTTGATATTTGTTCATTATGCAATAGTGTCAAGGCATCGGACTCTGATGAACGTATTTGATAAAGCTCCGATTGTGGATAAGACAGCTTTTGTGGCACCAAGCGCTTCAGTTATTGGGGACGTTCAGATTGGGAGAGGATCCTCCATTTGGTATGGATGCGTACTACGAGGTGAACAAGCTATTTATAAGCTTCAGTGTTTGGTTTTTTGACTGATTTGGGATTTTTTTATGTAGTGACTGAAGTTTGGTTTGAGATATCATTTACTTATGTGTATCCTTAGCTTGCTCAACTATCACGGTAGAATGTAGCAAACCAATATCTGTTCTTTACTCTTCTTTTATGGTTTAGTGATGAATAAGACTGCTTAGTGCGGAGCTTAGCGTTACAGAAGGAGCCTTAACTTTAGTAGTATTACATTATATCTTGATGATTCTTACTGCTATTCTACTGGGTATATGATATCCCCTCATATCGAATCTGAGTGTATCGATGGTGCAGGTATCTGTATTTTATTTGTTATTTTTGTGATGCGCATCCTTACTTTTAATGGTAATAGAATAAGGTTTTCCTTTTGTACAGAATGCTGGTATGTGATAAGAATTGGTGCTGTATAGTAGTTTACAAGTAAAAACTGGACTAACATACATTCTAAACTTGCTCTCTTCTTTTCTGCACAGGGGATGCGAACACTGTGAGTGTTGGGTCAGGAACTAATATTCAGGACAACTCACTTGTGCATGTGGCAAAATCAAACTTAAGCGGGAAGGTGCATCCAACCATCATTGGAGACAATGTAACCATTGGTTAGTGGGATCTCTTATGTGTATTTCGAAATTGTCTAATATTGATGCATCTCCAAGAAGCATTTGGGCTATAGTGTTTAACTATCTGTGTAACAGGTCATAGTGCTGTTTTACATGGATGTACTGTTGAGAATCAGACCTTTATTGGGATGGGGGCGACACTCCTTGATGGGGTCGTGGTTGAAGAGCATGGGATGGTTGCTGCTGGTGCGCTTGTTCGACAAAACACCAGAATTCCTTCTGGAGAGGTATGATTTTGTGTAAACATTTCTGATTACCTGAATCCCCATAACCATTGGTGCTGACATACTTCTATTGCTACTTATACACAATAGGCTATGTTATCGAAATTATAATTGTGTTTCTTTGAACGGTAATCATCTCTAATGCTGAGAGTATAGGAAATTGGGTTCAAAATTGAATTACAGTTCTAGTCTGAGAATTCTTCTTCTTTATTTAGATAGAATTTATCTTATCCACGTATAGGATTTCCTAACAAAAGTCAATTTAATGTAAGTGTAAATGTTCTTCTGTTCCAGTTAATAGTATACAAGCATTTGAATGCCAAAGGGAGTTTGTATCTCATCATGACCGAATTATTTCCTTCAACAGCAATATTTGCTGCCAGATTTAAAATGTTCTAACACATTATAATGAATCAGGTGTGGGGAGGAAACCCAGCAAGGTTCCTCAGGAAGCTCACTGATGAGGAAATTGCTTTTATCTCCGAGTCAGCAACAAACTACTCAAACCTCGCACAGGCTCACGCTGCAGAGAATGCAAAGCCATTAAATGCGATTGAGTTCGAGAAGGTTCTACGCAAGAAGCATGCTGGAAAGGACGAGGAGTATGACTCAATGCTTGGTATTGTGAGAGAAACTCCATCAGAGCTTAACCTTCCTAACAACATACAGAGTGATAAAGAAACCAAGGGTCCTTCTAATGTGAACTGATTTTTCCGAGGTATGTTTTACTGATCAAAACCCTACACTATGAGATGTTCAAGGGGTTTATGTTTCGGTCTCTGGTTTGAATAATGGCAGGTAGAGTACATTAGGGTAGACAGAAATTACAGCTTCTGGAGAAGCTTTGTTCTGACATTTTGTCAAGGATTCATAGGGAATGGTATTGTCAGATCAGACTTTGGATGCTATTACTTGGTCTTTTGAACGTAAAAATCAAGTTTATGAAACATGAGTGAATAATAATAGTCTGATGCATGTGCTAATGCAAATCCATGTGCGCCTATGTTGCTAGACAAACACGAAGAATAAAGATCCAAACTTGATATATATATAATAACTGCAAATAATTAGTGGGGTTGATGGTATAGGTACCGTGAATTACGCTTGCTTGGTCGTCTTTTTCATTTTTGATAAAACAAAATCTTGTATGATTCGACTCTTTTCTTTTTGTCAAGGGCCGATTCTTCTCTTGATATTTCTCGTTTGGTTCCATTCATTACAATAATACGAATAATTGGATTCTCCCTAGTTCCTTGTAGATCTCAGTAAGTGGACCCATGTTTGTATCTCCCAATACGTTAAACGCACTAGACACCGTGTTCGACATAAGTAACACTCTCACTTTGCCTTCTTATAAAACAAACAGAAAGAACCAAAAAACTTTAATGTGCGGCCGCTAGATTGTGTACTTGTAATGGTTTCAATGATGGTTTGTTAGTGATTTAGTGCACACACAAACTAGAAGGTATAACAAGTCTAGCACTAATTAGCATTTCTAAGAGCAATGAGGCTCTTTGAAATAATTGTACAATAGGAGGATATAGTGCTTTTGATTTTATTAAAAGCGGCAAAGCGGCGCCAAATGCAATGTGTAGTACACACTATCATTATCATATATCAAAATCCGAGATTGATTACTGGACCTCCACTTTTTCTTGTTTATAAAAAATCACTTTTTGTGTGCAAAAAAATAAAGAAAACTGTTAGCTATTGTCACTCCACTCACACTCACACTCAATGACAAAAGTCAATCAAATTTATTAAAATCATTACAAGAAGAAAACGTAGAGAATTGAATTTATCTTATCAGTTACCAAAAAACTAGCAAGATGTTATTTGATTTGTGGAAGGGTAGTTTCGTAAAATAAACCCAATAATCCTTTCTTCTTCTTCTTTTATTCTTGGCCTCCTCTCCCCCACTCCACCCGCCGTATATATAAAAACTGAGACGGGAGGGACCGAGTAGTAATATCGGGCAAGGCCTTAGAGATATTACGCAACAACACAGAGAAAGAGATAGAGAGATATCTCAGACAATGGTAGCTGAGGCCTTGCCCAAGACCCTCGAAGCTGCTCCACTCGTACTTGGACTCCAACCCGCTGCTCTTATCGATAACGTCGCTCCCGTTGATTGGTCTTTACTCGATCAAATTCCCGGTGATCGTGGTGGCTCCATTTCCGTAAGCTCTTCGCTCTGTTTTCCTTTTATGCTATTTTGACTTCAATCCCCGGTGATCATGTTTTTGATGTGGGTTTAGGCTAAAGTATGAATCTTCTTTTGGTTATTCTCTGGACTCGGAATCTGGATTTGAATTTGTGTTTTCTATATAGCTATTTGGAAGCAGTGTCAATATGTACTAAGCAGATCCTTTTATTTTATTCTAGGTGCAAAAGGATGAGTTAGACCACATACTAAAAGAGCTTAATACACACATCAGTGTTGCTCCATTAAAGAAAATGGCTGGAGGAAGTGTGACCAATACAGTTCGGGGCTTGAGTGTTGGGTTCGGTGTAGCCACGGGGATTATCGGGGCTTATGGAGATGATGAACAAGGCCAATTGTTTGCGAGCAATATGGGTTTCAGTGGTGTCAGTATCTCAAGGCTGAGGAAGAAGAAAGGTTCCACTGCTCAGGTCTTTTGCCCAACTTTGAAATTCTGCTTACTTACTTCTTTGGGCAAGAGTTGGTTTTGATCTTCTTTTACTGGTGCTGTTTCTTTTAGTGTGTTTGCTTGGTTGATGAATCTGGTAATCGAACAATGCGACCATGCCTCTCGAGTGCTGTGAAGATTCAGGTTTGTAAATTTTTTCCTTTTTTAGGGATTTAGAGATGTATTGAATTTTTTTGCCTATAAGAAAGGATGGTAAAAGCTAATTCTGTTTCAGGCTGGTGAATTAAGCAAAGAAGACTTCACAGGCTCCAAGGTTAAAGCCTGGCTCCTTTAATCTCTCTTTGTCTTTAGAAAGCATTGTAAATTTATGGAGATTTGTTCATAAAATGGTATTGATGTTCTTTCTCTGTTACAGTGGTTGGTTCTAAGATATGCAGTTCTCAATTTAGAAGTAATTCAAGCAGCCATTCGATTTGCCAAGCAAGAAGGTCTTTCTGTTTCGTTGGATTTAGCTAGTTTTGAGGTATATATTTGGAGCAACCATTAAAAAAATAAACCTCTTGTTTTCAAGTCTCCTTTTGAAATATGATCTGTTGGCTTTACAACTCTTTAAGCATTTGAGCTTTTCATTTGAATTAAATATATACATTTTCGTGACTAGATGGTCCGAAATTCTAAATCAGAGCTTCGGAAGCTTCTGGAGTCTGGTAACATAGATCTTTGCTTTGCTAACGAGGACGAAGCAGCAGAGCTGATTAGGTAATTGATGTTTTTTCACCCTTTCGCTTGAGTCCATGAAATATTCTTAATCTCTGGATTGTGAGTTTCAGGGGTGAGCAAGAAGCAGGCCCGGAAGCTGCTCTTGAATTCCTAAGCAGACATTGCAGATGGGCTGTGGTAACTTTAGGGTCTAAAGGGTGCATTGCAAAACATAATAAAGAGGTTTGATTTTCTAAGACCTCGGTAACTTATCAAGTAGCTTTACGTTTCACTTAGCCGTAGCTCTTTTTGCTCGCCAACGAGGAAATTTTGCCATACAAAGTCTTAGTTCAAATTGTGATTCAAGTAGCTTTAATAGCTCTTTTTGCGCGCCAATGAGGATTTGCCATACAAAGTCTTTGTTCAAATCGTGATTCAATAGCTCCCCTTTGTGGTTATATATGTAATCATCTTTTACAAAAAAAGAAAAAGCTAAAACCTTTGGTATTTAATCGCCTTTACCTTTTATCTATGTCAAGATCCCACTTTTCTTGTTAGGTTCTGGCTGAATTAGGATCCTAGAGTTCACAACGAATAAGTATTTTTGTCTCTTACATGATCAGGTGGTACACATACCAGCCATAGGAGAGTCAATAGCAACTGATGCCACAGGAGCGGGTGACCTATTCGCAAGCGGGTTTCTGTACGGATTAATAAAGGGGTTGTCTTTGGCAGAATGTTGCAAAGTGGGATCATGCAGTGGTGGATCGGTCATACGTGCTCTCGGAGGAGAAGTAACCCCAGAAAACTGGCAGTGGATGAACAAACAGTTGCAGTTGAAGGACTTACCAGTTCCTGCCATTCACAACTGATGATCACCAGCAGATCGTGGGATTTCAAGCAATTGCCTACTTGCCTTCTTATTCAGACTGTCCTTAGTTATATGTTGTTCACAAAGAATCTCACAGCATTGTATCTGTACTGAGGTCTCAGTTTAATTCAATTGAGATGTTTGTTTCCAATTTATTGTGCGCATAGTTTCCAATGCTCTGTTCGGGTTTAGGGTGTAAATTTCTCTGTAAGGTTTGATTTTAGGCTAATTGGGCGTCAGGAATACTGTTATTCCCTTAGAGAAACAATGCAGAATAAAAAAAGTGTAAATAAGCTTAATTCACAGTCATATGAGTTATGACTTCGTAGCAATCATTACTGTAAAACAATTGTTTCTCAGTTGTTGCTCTGCTGAAGTAGATATAAAAAGTCTCTTATTATGAGATTTATCTCAGGAAACTCTAGACATATTTATTCGTGTTAACTCCCAAAGACAAACGGGAAACTTTTTATTAGTGAAAGGTTTATGGTTTTTCCATAGAGACTAGGATCTACAAGACAACACAGAACACTTGAAGAGGATTCAGACAACTCTTATGGAGTATGTTTTGCTTCAGCAATTGAAGTAGCAAAAACATGCGAAACCCGGGAACTGAGCGTGACAAGCCCCGTGTGAAGCACGTTCCCATCTCTTACACTGACTGTCACAGCCACGAGTGTTGCCACAAAACCCTGTCCATGTCTTGCTTCGCCTCTGGCAAATTCTTCCTTCCACTGCCATCATCTCTGCAAAATTGTCCAAACACAAGATATTATCAATGATCCATCTATGAGATCCATACATGTAAATTATAGCGAGATTAGCTAGAGTAGTTAGAAACTTAAGAGTGGACTGATGATCATATACCAAAGGAAGCAATGAGGAAAATGGAGAGGCAAAGGAAGAGTATAAGTTTGTAAGAAGAAGCCATGGCTTTTTTTGTTTTATGGATGGATGGATATTCACTAGCTGAGAGATCTTTATATAGAAATTGTATTAGAATCGGTTTAACCTTTTGACTTTGAAACGATTATCGATTCTCTATGATTTGTATAGTGTGAACTATGAGAATCTACCAAGCCCACTATCCAAACTCTTATCCATATGCAATACAAGTTTTGACTATCGACTTTGTGATGAGAGACTTTTGACGTCTAATTTGTTCGGACATGTTATTGTCAAAACAAAAAAAAAGAGCAAAATATATGCACTAATTAAAAACGTTTTATACTTGTAGAAGTTTTGGATAAAGAGCAACAAAATATTGTATTTTGTTCAAAGTAAACACAATAAGTAACTAACTAAGCAACTATATACAAAAATGAATACACAAACCACAAACCCAAAAAAAATGAGTCTATATATATAAACTGTTCGAACGGAATTGTACACAGTGGTCAAAAACAGAACATGAATCTGGCTATAGTATTACAAAAAAATTATGTCTAACATGCATGTAACCGTACGTATCTAATTAATTACTTTAAAATTCTTTCGTCAACATCTAATTATTTGCTCTTGATATTGTCGGAGTACAAAAATAAATATGTTTATGATTATGACAAAGATTGTTTGATAGCGACCACAGAATCGGACAGTGTTTGTTTGGCTCTGCACATACATAAACCAGTCTTGTCTGTAATTTCCTTTAAGCTACACTATTTTCTAGAGTAAATGGTTTCAGTCTTGACCTTCAAAAATGTTACATGACATCTCCATCTTTATTAAGTGTGTAAACTGTGAAATTGCTTTTGAGAACGTGACTCATCTCATCTCACGTGATTCCCGGATCTCGACCATTTTCTTGAATTTTCGATTTCCATGACCCTCGTGATCGTCTTATGCTATCTATATCTCTGATTCATTATGTGTGGGTAAGTTTTTTTTTTTGGCGCATGAGTTTCAACGCGTCTGCTTAAAGGAGCTTACAAGTGGATTTAGGCTTTATAGTAGTTTATTTATACATTTTTCACCAACCGGTCTATCTTCATATTATTGTTGTTTGTCACGTATGTATTACACATATACATCTTGTTAATATATCGTTGGATAATCGCGTTGTTGCTTTATAGAAACTGAAACTTATATTAATTCGTTATTACTTGATGCAAAAGAACATTTTACTTCAGCTTAGATTCAAAACATACATAGCTCGATTTATGTGTGTACAAGTTTAATATCTACACCCGCGCGAATCCTGAACAACTAATTAGTAAGATTTTATTTATAGAAGTTTTACTGATTATTCATCAATCTCTCTCTTCTTCTCTCTCTCTCAAAATATTTTTTTTTTTTAAAAAGAAAAAAAAATTTAGTGAGATTTTGTTACATATCGGGATCATTTTACATTGGAAACTTTCTATATATCAATATCCTTGATATAATCTGGGACTTAAAATTAAAGTTTATATGATAATATAGCATTCTTAAGAAAATGAATGTATAGGACATAATATATCTATATATGTATGAGCATATGAAATGGAAAAATTCCAATTTTTGCTAAAACCAAGAGATCTACTACCAAAGCAAGCGATGCCAATAAACAACTTCTCCTCTCCTCACCTCGTCATTAAGTAGAGACGCCAGCAGAATATTCAATCATGAACTAATATAGATTTGAGAAAAATCCTGCAATCTAAAATATAGAAAAAAACATATATAATTTTCTTACTAAATTGTAAATAATTTTATATTTAACAGTGATGTATATTTGATACGATAATATCTAAAACGCGGTCAAGGTCCTAACAAGTGTATATTATAAAGATCCACCTATAACCAACATGGTTTATATATATACTCTGATAATAATCAAGTTCACCATTCTTATTCTATAACCTATATACTGTACCATTCAATAATCAACATTCGTGATCGCAGATCTTATAGGGCTCTCAAGTTAAAACGAACCATTCTTTATTATATTACTTAGCTAAAAACACACAAACAAAATGAATAGTAATAAACAGCAAACAACCACTAATTTATGCAATAGAATAATTACCCATGCTATATTTTAAATTTGATTGATAAAAGAAACAAGTTATTGAGACATTATTGGTCGAGTGTCTAAAATATTAAAAATTGAGACGGCCAAGCAAAATATTATAAAATGACCATAACGCAATGATATAAATTTATAATCAAGTCCTCTATATAAAAAGGACAACACTAGTCTCTCTAGTGATCGTATCTGTCTCAGTATCAGTGTGTCTCTTTCCCCCAACCAGAATATTTTTTTCTCCAATATTTCCTTTCATTAATCCGATCAATATCCCCGGACAAAAAATTATCATATATCTTCACTTTCCCGTTTCATTTTCTCGCAAAATCTTCCATAGATTTATTTCCCCAACACATTTACATATATATATATATTCTCCATAATTAAGGTCACAATATCTCTCTATACACCAAAAAAGACAAAGAATGGAAGCAGAAAAAGCAGGGGCGGCGAGTAAGACATACAACGACCCGTTCCGGAGTATCCTATTCGTTGTAGAAGTCACCGCCGTCGTAACTCTCCTTGGTTACTGGTGTCTCCCGGCGATGGTGAATCTACTGCATGAGGTTGTGGTTTGGTTAGATTGGTTTACTTTTGTTCTAAGAAACCTGTTCTTCGTGTTCCTTGTCGTAAACGTTATCATCTTCTTGATTTACGTTTCCTTTTGCAAAACCAACACCGGGAAAAAGAAACCGGATCTACAAGATCAATATTTAGCGGCTTTTCCACCCCTCCCCCGTGCATGTCCGTACGATGTCTTTGATATTGGGGAATATAATCACAGCTATAGTTACACAGAGCCTGCGCCGACGGTTCAAGCGGTTAAGGCGGTTGAGGAGAGTAGTTGTACTTGTTGTTGTGATCGAGAAGTGGTGGAGGTGAGTTCGAAGAGTTACAGGAGGACGAGATCGGAGAAGACGAAGAAGACGGAGAAGATGGTGGAGTACCGGAGGACGGAATCGGAGAGAATGATGAAAACGGCGTCGTGGAGGTCTCAGACGATGGATGGTTTAAGCAGCGAGGAGTTTCGTATGACGGTGGAGACTTTTATCACGGAGAAGAAGAAGACGCTTCTCCAAGATATGGATCAATGGCAAAACGGTACCGTCCCTCAGTGGCGGAAGAACGGCGCCTTGCAGAACGGCGTTTTCCCTCAGTGGCAAAGCCTGCAGTGGCAAAACCCTGTCCCTGAGCCTCAAAATGATATCGTACAGTGGCAAAACCCTGTCCCTGAGCCTCAAAACGATGTCGTGCAGTGGCAAAGATCGCGTGACAATGGAAGTGGACGTCATCGTCGTGGTCATCGTAGTCGTAGTCATAGGCTTGTGGGCGGCTCTGGCTCTAATGGTTCGTACTTAGCTATTTCGAATTAGAGAGGGGCGCAAATTTGTATGATTCTTTTAATTATTAGATCATTAGAATAATCTGATCTGCGAGTTATATTTTTATTGTAATCTTTGATAACATAAGCTTTTTAATTTTAACTTGAGTGACTCTTTTAGAGCATCATTATGGGTAATCTCTTAATATTATCTCTTAGCACTATAAAGCTAAAAACACTTAAGAAAAGTTAGTTTTGGTCTCTTAATTAAGACACTTTCTTAAGAACAAGACATATTTTCCATTCAAGTTAATTGTATTTTTAAGTTAAGAAAATTTTAAGAGACCATATGTGGTATTTCAATTCGTTTTCCCTGTTTTCTTGTCAAACTGCGGCATTATTTTGTGTCTCATAAACGGATGCAACTAATTGATTTGTTTAATGACCAAAATTATAAACTATACATACCAACTTAGAAGTAGAAAAAGGTATTCAACTATTCATTTGAGTTAAAAGTATCAACTTAAGGTTTGGTTTGATTTTAGGCTTAAGTTAACCTTTTGGAAAGATATATTGGAGTTTATCTCAGTTTAAGTCGACTAATGAAATTTTCACTAATTTTACCTTTAATGAAAGCTTTATTTATATCGAGTTTAGTTATAACCACACAATTGGATTTTTTTTTTTTTAGTGGTGCTAAGATCAATTGTTATATGATTATATCAGATCGAATACTCGCTGGCTACGGGATATTTATGAACCAAACTATATGAAAACAATATAGTATAACTAGTAATCTTAATTTAGTTGTTGATCTTCTTGTCATTGGTAGTTCTCTCTAATCTGTTTATTAATATTATTTTCCCTAAAAAGTTTGTCTAAAGTATGAAGTTATTTAGGACCTGTTCTTATCCACTACTTTGCTTTGTTTGTTCTATAAATATATAATTGGCACCAAGTCACCAACATTTTTACTTTTGGTGTTTCCATATTATATTTTTCATTAGCATATATGAGTCCACGTCCTCACTAATGAGATGAGTAACACACAATATAATTGAACCCGACACATTTGTCATTGACAACCCAAAAACATACATACATATTTGTATTAGAGAATTGCATGGCACAATTAGGCACATACATTAGCGTCTAGGTGAGCCCACAAAAGAGAATCTTAAAAGGATACTAAAGTTATAATTAAATTGATATAGTATTGGAGAAAAAAAAATGTTTTAGTAATGACACAGAAATCCATAATCACAATCTGACATTAGAACAAAACACTTGTTCCTAGGATTCACAACCTGTTTGATCTTCTTTAATCAAACTTTTGTTCTGTCCATGACACATAAATTGGACGTGCTTTGGAATTCAATTATAAACTAATCATTTTTTGGCTCACCATTATCCACTTGCACAACCGTTTAACCAAATTTTAGTATTACATATAAAACCTTTTATCACATTAATTAAATTAAAAATACACAGTTAGTCTTCTCACTTTGAGTCATTCCTTAGCATCAAAGCTATAGGGATTACTTATGAATTGAAATTTAAACTGTGTAGTATTAATTATCTCCACATAAGCCCATGTCAAATAAATAACTACTATTAATTACTAGTGTAGTAGCCTAGTAGTGGTTATTTACATGTTATTTTAACCACAAACAAACATGTAAATAACCACTACTAATAAAAACTCATTTGTTAATAAACAACTATCATCAATTTCTTTGATAATTGTTTTATCTTCTAAACTGAAAACTTATGGATTAGCCTTAGAGTTATTATGGTAATTAACACTATATTTTTGGAGCAACTAAATCATGTGTTCTCATAAAATACAAGACAAAAGAGGAACCTTCTCCCTTCTTTCTTGTTATAGTAATGACAATATATAACATTACACAAAAACTTATATATAATATCTTACATTAAATAATGCACATTTGGGATATGAAACACGTATGCATGAACACTTATTGAGATGTAAAAACTAATTTGATACATATAAACTTATAATCTTCGTGACACGCGAATTGGATAACCACTCTTTAATCTTGCAAACAATGTCCACTTATCGATGCTTGAATCTTCATCTACCACCTCCCATCTTCAATTTATTTTATCACAATTATTAAAAATGATTGTTACAGAATCAATCAAAATTTTTCTATACTATAAATAAAAATTAATTATATGAACCTGTAAGTTGTTATAAAACGGTGGAGAAACACTAACATCATGGCCTTGGCCATAACAAGTCCAAGACATGTTCTCCCTCCCATCCCAAATGCTAAGAAACTGTTTCCTTTTGCTTCCTCCTTTATTCAAATTATTTTGATTAAGTAAAAAATACAACATATCACATAAAGGAACTGTCAAAAGTACTTTAAAATTGTGTTGTACTTAACTTACCTCAAACCTTAAAGGGTTGAACTTGTGAGGTTTATCATATACATTAGGATCAAGATGAATGGATCTTGCGTCAATATTTATATTCCATCCTTTTTTAATCTTATATCCTTTCAAAACAGAAAACAAAATGTATTTAACTAAGTCAGAGATCAACAAATATGAATTAATCTTTAAAAAGATAAACTATTAAAGCAAACCTTCCATTTCACAGTCTTGAAGTACTACTCTTGGGAACCAAGGCACAACAGACGCCATTCTCAGAGATTCTTTCACCAACTATTTCCAGAAATTATATATACTTTATAAACATAAATTTTAAAATTTTAGTCCACTATTAGTGATAAAAAAATCGTTTATATATTACCTTTGAGGCATATGGCATTTCACTGAGATCTTCAAGTTCAAGAAATGGTTTATCTGATGCCTTCTTCCCAATCTTAGATTGCTCATCCTGTTGACCGACAAGGACAATGACATGTTTTAATAACAAAACCCTTTAAAGTTTGTCTTTATTGAATTTGTTTTAATTAAAGCAGAAATGTAAAGTGGTAAAAAAATATTAAAATATCCCACAAGAGAAACTAATTATATATAGAACTTACAATAAGAATATCCAAAACCTTCTGATTTTCACCGAGGTACTTGACCATCCATGTTAGAGCACTAGCCGTCGTGTCCTGTCCTGTATTTGTAGTTTTTGTATAAACCGGAATCATATTAAAAAGATTCAATTAATCTAGCTAGCTTATACACTCTCTTTTTTTTTTTTTATTCATTCTTCCTCTCTTAAGTGTACAAATTAAAATGCATGATTGGGCATTAAATGGGACCTGCAATGATCATGGTGAGAATATTGTCTTTAATCTCAGCATCAGTCAACTTAGGAGACGATGAAGAAGTGTCGTCATCTACTGCGAGAAGCTGCTGCAAAAAATCTTCATGATGATTGTTTTGACTATTTGTTTCATTTCTCCGTTCTCTAATTATGTTTTCTAACACCTCCATAACTCTTCCTCTTGCCTGCATCATATATAACACCTCTCTTCTTATGCATCAAACCAAATTTCCAATTAAGTTTAGTTCTAAAAGTAGTATGATTATATCAAAGAGTGTAACTGAAACGACGTACCATGATGCCTTTGTGGAATCTAGTCCAAGGTAGATTGAGTGGAAAAGCTAGCATGGCTTCACAAACAAAGCCCACATCTCTTTGCATGGAACCCAATTCTTCTGCGTCTTCTAGACTTATTAACATCTTACACATTGCTTTGAATGTTATCTGCAACACCACCACATGGAAATTTTTTTAACTAAAATTTGCTTTGTAAGGAAAATAAATGAAAATTGTGTTTGACTACTAAAGTTCATTATCATTGTCCCTTTTATAGTCCTAACCATCTCAGACGAAAAATGGGTCATGATCCTATTACACACACTATGGGCCGAACTTACAGAAAAGGTTTTTAAAAAGCCCAATATTACGCAGCGTGTGAAACAAACCTGGAGCAAATCTGTGAGCAAGATCACCGTACCACGGTGTTCCCATCCACTAAGAGCGTCCACGACGAGTTCATCAAAGTGACTAACCATCAGAGCCGTCGATCTTTTGGAGAACAAATTGATCAAACGGCTACGGAGAATCTTGTGATGGTGTTGAGGAGCACAGAGAAGGCTCCGTTCACCTACAAGCTCACCTATGGACTTTATGTACCGTTTCGTGAACATCCCTGACTCGTTGTTCAGGACAGCCCGAGCTGACTCCATCGTCGACAGGAACACGTGCGTCTCTCCGAACAAACTTGTCTTAAAGCAACTTCCGTACCTGTAAAAAGTATATATATATTTCTAAACATAGATGTTTAAATTATGTAGAAACCTTCTAGATAAGATGGGTTAGTGGTTTCTCTTGTTTACCTGATGCGGCGACTATGAACGAATTCGTAGAAACCTTTGCCGCTGTTAACAGAGAGCATGAACTGAAGTGTTTCTCCGATCACCGGAAAACCATGGCTTCCCGGAGGAACGTCGGCCGTTGATTTCTTTCGATCTTGGATAATTATTTTGATTATTTTTCCAAGTGTAAGTATCGCAGCGCAGAGGAAAAGACAAAGGCAAAGATATGGTTCCATTTTATTTTGTTTCAATATGAAGAAAACTTAGTTCTACAATTTTAGTATGCAATCTTGGTTCGAGCCTGTTAATCTATAAATATAGGGAGATATTTTGTAACGAGTGAGTGGGGGTGTTGATCTTTTTTCGCTCCTCATGATGTTTCTTTAGACTAAAAATCTACTGAATCTGTGTGTATCTGTATATCAACCGAGAGACCATGGCTATACAAAGTTAAGGTATATACGAAATCAAGAGAATAACTTATGTAATTTTTGCTTTAAAAAAGAAAAAAAACTTATGTAAACTTTGCTGCAAACATCTAGAGACTAGTGTGTTTGATAGTTAATTAAAGGAAACAGAGTGTTATGGCGTATTGTGCAACTAATCACGATCCTTGGCAAATTAAAAAATAAATCATGAGCATGTGGAAAACATTTCAACGGCTATAAATAAATGTTTTGGTCATGGCACTTTCTTGGTGCTTAATAAAATTGTCTTGGTCATGGGAGGTGACGACATGCGCTGAAAGTTGAAACAAAAGGCACAATAGAAATTAGAAATACAAAAATAGAAAAAGAGCATACATCATATGGGACACGTGGACGGTGAAGAGAGGCTGTTTTCGGTATTGCACTACATTCTCACGAGTGGCCATGATGATTAATTTGTTTTCCACTTGTTGTGGCACAACTCCTAAGTGGCAACTTAAAGTGATGATCACTTTAAACATTCTCACGTCACATTTAGTGTTCATTTTATTAAAAGGCAAAGTAACAAAAATATACATAAACCCAAAAGTTAAGTCTATTTGCATAATTCGTGACTGATGCATCCCATGCCTCTCTTGTCAAGGCCCCGCTGATTCTGTTTGTTTTCAATAAACTATAGGTCTACCGGTAAAATCACACTTTATTTCATTGTTTTATTCTCGAAGCAAATCATACTTGATTAGAAAACTTACAAATCATGTCATTTTGTAGGTCCAAAGACATGTATATAGGCTTATGTTATAACACGATCAACCCGTTCTAACGAGCGAAACAATAACAATGGCGTATCGAGGCGTCTTCACATAGAAGTATTCTCCCACAATCTTTGCATACCTTTCAAAAAGCTCGTCCATCACGTTTTCACCAAATGTTGGCTTTAGCATTGGTTCGACCACAGCTCTTATGGTACCAGCCACTCTTCGTCCACTAGCCAGGGCTTGGGGTTTGGACCGTACTACTTGGTCGTAACTCTCCTCACTGATACTCCCACCTTCCCAATCAACTGGACTTATCTCAAGCCGATCGACTGAAAAAGACCCTTCTTTCTCTATCACCATGATCAATTCTTCTGAGCTTGCAGCATAATAAGGAGCGTTGAAAGCATCAATCGTCTCTTCTTCGATGATACCCTTAGATGAAGAGAATAAAGAGAAGGTGCCTTTTAGTTAGGAATTATTAAGTATTGAACTTGATTAAGATATATCATCACATCATTATGATTGAGAAAATAATTATTTACTTCCTTAATTAGTACCTTACTACTTTAATCATCAAGCTCACTACTAAATCAGCTTTCTCCACAAGTGTCGATGCTTTTTGAAACTTCATAAGTTGGTTATCTATGTATATTCTATTAAAATTTTAAAAGTCTAGTAACTCGATTTTTAAAGATTTTTGGGAATTCAAACTTTGTAGCAAGTGTCCGGCACTACATATACTGTAATACTGCATGGTATATAACAAAGCTATTCATAGATAATATGTAATTATGTACCAATTGTCTCTATCTATGTAAAATGACTAACTAAAATAATTTAAAGAAAAAAAACTCAACAAATTAGGAAAAGAAGACATGGGCCACATTACTAACTAGGACTTAATTGGTCAGGTAACGTGCCACGGTCAGATCCTTACAGAGTAATATGGGCCATTTATAACCCTAAGAGAATTAACATGTTGGTTCTAAATAAAGGCAAACATATATACACCAACGCAACATACCTCTTTGGCCATGGACATAAGAGCTTGAGCTAGAAGTTCCCATTGATAGCAACTCTCTTCCGTTGTAGGATCCTGCGAGCTTCTACCGAGGAATGATAAAACCATTCGGCCTCCAGGGACCAGCTCCTCGGAGCGTGATCTCAGAAAGACCGAGAAATCAGTTTCGAATTGAAGAGCATAAGCTTTATGTGCACTCTTAGGACTCGTCTTTGATATGTATATTTTCCCGACGTTGTCTAAATCAGCTTTATTAACACCGTCTTCCTTCTCCGCCTCACCACATGGAACCTTAAACATATGGACGATTATTCAACTTGTTAGCATTCTTCTTTACCGTACAATGAGTGATATTTTGATACACTTAGGTGGACCACATTCTTAATTTCTTGTGAGTGTGTGATGTCTAAACCACTGTTTTGATAAAATGATAAAACTATGTGGACCACATTTGTAATATCCTGTGTGTGTTTGTGAGAATTGAGATGTCTGAACCACTAGGTTTCTGTGTGTTTTTGTGTTGGTTTCTCAAATGAGAAAGATTCCCACGCACTTAAATTTGTTTAACAAAAGGTATATTACTTGCGTTATATTTTATCGGTACTGTTTCGTCAATTGATACTTTCTATGAAAAAATAACGCGATCATCATAATTTGTTTCATGACTCACGCTAAGTACGTAATTAACTAATTTTTTTGTATGTTTTAGATTTGAATTAAAAAAATGTCATAACTCATACAGTATATAATAGAATATTAGATTTGACAATTATTTTTTTTCAGAATGCTAGTTGGCAAAATGTTTTTAAACAAAAACCCTCATTAAAAAAAAATGTTCGTAAATACTATATATATAGTAAATAGTATATACTAATAAGTGAATTCCGCATAGAGAAACAACAGCACACACCTGAGACAACCAGTGTAAGCTAGAAGACGAATGAACAAAGTGAAGGCTCCGGCGAGGAAACAAACGTCCGTAGAAGGAGCCAGGGACCGCTGACACAAAGCACGATTCTCCACCTCCACGAGCCGGCCCTAAACCCTCCTTTTTATTATTAAGCCGGTTGTAAAATTCCGGCAAAGAAGCAAAGATGTAGTTGAAGTCATTGCTAGGGAGATCGTTGAGAGAGACTCTGAGCTCAGGGACCGGACGGTCGAGGTCAGGACACAAGTTTTGGATTGTGTCGATAATGTTGGTTATGGACAAGAGACTGTTCGGACCGGAGGAGCAGCCTAAGTCGGCGATTCCAATGCTCGAAATTTCTGAATTGCTTATCATTAGCTTCTTCAAGGCCTCGTCCATTACCCTTCTGCCTAGAGATATTATGTTGCTCTGCGTAAATCACAAAATTATTATGCCTTGGTCATTAATTATTAGTTTTGTTCGAGAACCAAATTATGTTCAAGATATAGCATTAACCACTCTAGTACATATATGTGTACACATGTAAACAATGCATAATATCTATCTTTTTGATATAAAAATTCAACCTGAACGGTGGAGTTCTTGGCATAACTATTTTCACCGTTCCCTTTGTTCATGTGAAGAACTCGCATTACTTCCATATCTCTCTCTTTTTGTTGTGTCACTTTTTTTTAGATGAAGCAGAAGGTTAATGAATATAGTAGTGATGTTGGGTCGATATATATAAGGAAAGAGGTGTTGTAAAAGATTAGTGTTTTGATAGCCACTTGCATCTTTTTTTTTTTTTGGGTATAATATCTTCTCTCTTTTGGTATAAACCACATGCATCTTATGGACGTACGTACGTTGAATATATACATACGACGGTCTCTTCAACGAATTTTTCTCTATATTATTCAACTAGGTATAAAGGGTAGATATATATTACGCAAAGTTCATTAATCAATTCGATCAGGTTGTTGAAAATTTGAGTTAATTCTAGTGGGATTGAATTTTAATCCGCGCTAAGGTTGATAAAGAAGCTCATTTGTAAAAACATAAGGCATATATATAGTCTTTGGTTCGATGAAATATATATATATCAACTAAAAATTCTGAGAAATTAAAGAAGAAAACCTAAGATTGAAAAAGTTAACTAAGTACCATTATAGTAAATCTCATGCGTATGAAGATAAATTGTTATCAACCACGGTTGTTTATCATATGTTTTTTTATCATAAAATTCTAAAACCAAAAATAGTTGTACAAAAGTTGAATACGCAAAAAGGGTAGCAAAACAAAAACCATATTGGTTAACTTAAAACCAACATTATTGGTGAAATCTTACCCCTAAGATTTATACTCGTTACCCCTACTCTCTGGTATAAATTTTAGGAGTAAGATCTTCTTAATAATGTTGCCCTAAAGTCATTATTATAGAGGGGATCTTACACCCCCTTTTCCTTAAGAAAAAATCTTGTGCAAGACTCATGAGTCTCTTCTGTTTGGGTCCACTTTATAGTACTTCGTTCTTCTCAGAATAATAACTACGAAACTGATTCTTTGTGTTTGGTAATCCTTAGTATACATATTAGACTATTCTGATGGTAAAATCAATAACTTTTTTTTTATGAGCTCTTCTTTTTCTTATATGATGTGAAATATATATGTACCGAAAGGTCCAAAACAAAATACTGTATGCGTGTTTCCACAAAGCATAGTGTTATTAATGTTCTACGTACATATTTGGCAGTTCTGGATATGGAAACGTTTCTAAAATTTTAGGTAGGTATACAAAATTTATAGACTCGGACACTATATTCTGATTACGACAATGTATCGATTTCAGAATCATTTTGACGGTTGACACAGACACTAATACAAGGCTAAAGGCTTGTTACATATATTATTCAAGCTCTCTCCGTATTTAGTAACATGATCTTATCAGGAAAAAAAATCATAAATAAATTTTAGAGTTTCGACTATAACCTCCACAAGCAAACAATTACTCTAAACTAAAAGACTTCTAGAAGGATTCGTGTTAATTGACTGTCAACATCTATTTAGGTGGTTAACAGTCATTTATCAGCGCTAATTATAAAGGAACACTTTGTTAACAGTCAACTTTTAATCTAATTAGAAACATTATCAGTTGTTATATAAACACATAATTTTCAGTAACATGATTAAGAAAGAAAAGAAAATGAAAACAATTTTGCTGAACTTTCGACCAATCATAACCAGACAACTACGTACTTGATCGATTCTAATTGGTATCAAAGGATTTGTCGTAAACGACTGCATGTTGATATGTTAGGGGAACGTTTATATTGTTAGGTACTCTAATTTTTTTTGAATAATCAAAAAGGTTCTAGGCCGAATCCCATATATCCCGGAGACCAAAACATGTTATATAGTCTTGTCCCAAATACTACTCGAATCGGCGACCTAATTGGTACTCTAACTAGTTTTGTGTCTCGAGGTTTTTAAGGTAAGCTACAAGACTGTCATATTAGGTCACTCTTGCCTGTTTGTATTATCTGAGAAATAATATATATATATATATATATATATATATATATATATAAACTTTTATTATCTTTGTTTTAAATCATACCACTATATATTACAATCATCAAAATGTTGAATATGATTAATTAAAAAAAAAATGTGTTTCAATCATATATAATATGCTAAATCTTTATTAATTATATAGTTAAAAGAATGTTTGAGAAATACCCTTTTTAAAAATATCTCATTTATCTATCCATTTTAAAAAATACTCCTATTTAAAGATGAAAATTATAAAGTTTTAAATGGTTATAAGGTGTTTCTATATAATAACTACTGCTGGGAGATTCGATATAAATATTTCTAATGTTTAAAAGGTTTTAAATCATTTTTACAAGTTTTACAAGATTTTAAAATGGTTTACAAGATTTTTATAAGTTAATTTTAAGCTATTTATGAAAGATATATAAAATTTTATAGACATACAAAAGTAATTTTTGTATATATTTACAAGTTTACGCATATATTTGGATAAATATCAACATTTTTATATTTGGATAAATATCAACATTTTTAGTAGTTTTTTTGGATAAAATTTGAAAAATGGTATTCTTAAAAAGTGGTATTTGAAAAATAGTATTTTTTGAAATTCTCTATAGTTTTAATTAAGTTTGCCTACACATAAGGGTTTCCCCGACCGACTTTTAAAAGATTCGGCGTGATCAACACAATAGAGAGGCCTCAACTCAATAGTTTTGGAAAAGTACGAGAGAGATCATGCAATGCATTGCATGGCACATCTAAAAATCTCAATCTAAAGAAATGGTACACCGAATAAAAAAGATAAGACTACTTTTTTTCGCTTGGACCACGCGCATATGATTCGCCGAACATGTTAATTCACATTCACTGAAAGAAAATGAGAGCACAATGTTATTATATTGTCACGTTTTTTTTTGTTTCTTTTCAACAATAGAGAGAAGGTCGTCTATGATATTTTGGTATACATATCTAACAACGAATTTATAAAGAATATCTAAACAAAGAGGAATACACAATCTAGTAAACATTTTTACTTATTTATGATTTTCTTTCAAGCTGCTCCTTATCCGTCTCTACATAGTACATAGGCAGTGAACATTTTTCAATTAAAATGTTAAAACAAATAAAAAGATCAAAGGAATTGTCGTGAACCACATGGCCTATATATTACTGCCAAGTAAGTTTCGGACGTGAATAGATTGCCAGATGAAGTAGTAATATCACGTGAACATTCTGCTTCACGTTCTGACGTTGAGCCTCTTTTCTCTTTATATACTGGATTATTAATTAACTATATATGTCTTAATTAGTTTTGATAAAACTATCTAGTCTCTTTTTTTTAATTTTCACGTCTTATAGGTCTTCTATACCCTTGAATAGTTATTTTTTTCTTAGTTAAGAGAATAATTTACTATGTATATTATATTAACTCAACTAATGGCTCCTTATTCTAGAATGAGACTCTCTATATAAAGTCTAAATAATATAATAAGATCATTCTAATATGGTAAAGTGGACTATCCATAATGTAAAGTCATGATATGCGTCACCTGACTTTTGATCGTAAATGACTAGATTAGTTAGTTACACATAAACTATTCGAGAAATCTAATATATCCAATTTTTATTAAATATGATATCTAAACCTCCAATCACATGATAAACTTACTTACCTAGTACACATGATAATGTCTGGATTGGTTCATGTATAAATATTTAGTTATTTATAAATATTTGAATGTGACGCAAATTTTAACTTTAGTTATGTCAAAGAAAGGACTCAAGTCCAGCTAAGTGTTTGTCTACCTGTTTGGTGAGTCCAGAGGAGAAAACAAACTATCAAATAAAAGGCAAAACATGTTTCTGGTATTGATAAATTTGGCACACACGTACGTAGCACCATACAATGCTCTTATTTATTCATGATTACATTAATAGAATTCTAATATAACCAATTATTGGACTATATAGGTTAGGCATGCATAGTTGATATTAAAGATCGAAATTTCTAAAGTTTATACTGAATTTAGTAGTAGTACTAGGTATATACTGAATTTTAGGTGTTTTACATATATGTTGTGATATCATATTTTGTATGCAATGTAGTTTAAGTTTTAGTAAACTAATCATTTTTCATTGATCTCTATTATATATATTTTTTTTTTGAACAAAACACTAATCACTATTTTACTAATCACTTTATAGTGCAAAACCTCTTAAACAAATATTTGGATAAGAACAAAACATCTCATGATTTGAAAATTTTACATTAAAAAAAAAACTATGTTTCTATTGTGGTTGAATAAAGAACAAACCTATCTCTATCACATGTATTAACTTTGATTTAAACTTTTGCATAGGTCTACTTAAATTTGATGGAGATTAGAACCACGCAACCAAAAAAAATTGATAGATCTACTTTCATTTAGGATATAATCAATGATATTTTGCTTTGTCAAATCATATTGTACTATTTCAAGATTCGGTTCACATTTCACTAAAGTTGGCTGAGCCTAATTCAATGTTCTCAACTGATATAGCAAAAAGAAACCGATATTTTTGTGGCATCGTAATACATGAATCCTCATTTTAAGAGAAGATAAGTATCATAAGACAAGTAAAATGGAGAAGAAACCGTACTGGAGTCTAGTGACGGGTCCTTTGTTTGGTCATATAAACATGTGGATCAGTGGATGGTCGATGAGTCCCCTCTCTGCTAACATGCAATACCATTGCTTTCATGTATTTAAATCTGACATCAAACTATGCATTATACTATTCTTGTCACAATTCAGAACTGATATTTAGACCTCCTTCTTTTTGCTTTTTGTACCTCCATTAGAGAATCCAATGTCACAAACACCAATTACTCGCACAATCCAGTAGTATCAAACAAATTCAACAACAAATATATCAATTTGAGATCTCACTGCAAGTTTTTTCTTATATTATATACACATTAGGTATCAACAAATACTTTTCTTTTTCAGACCTACTTCTGTCAATGGTCCATGGTCTCTGATCACATCCATGGATATGCAATTTTGCTTAATTACCTTGCAGCCATGAGTTCTCTTCACCAGCAGAACTTCTTTCTCTGCATCATATTCCTAACCATTAATACGTAGATACTGACCTAGAAGGGCAGCAAAACTAGCTATAAAAGAAGACTAACCCGGTACTTAGCTTCCTCTTGCCGGTCTATGTAACTCAAAAGTTCTTCTTGCCTTATCAAAGCCTCATGTAATGCCTGCTCGTCAACAGCGATTTTTGGTTATTATAAGGTGTATAATTATTCAAGGTTTAGAATCAAATCACAATTTTCATACCTTTTTCGTGGTGATGAGCTCTGCTTCTAGTGCATCCATGCGATAAACAGCAGCATTCAGCAACTCCTCTTTCTCTTGAGGCATCTCGAATTCCCTCATGTGAAGAGTTTCTACCTGTTTCTCAAGATCCCCCAGTCTACTTAAAACAGAGGAAACTATAACTCTTTCAGTGATAGTTGAACGAGAAGGAGAAGGAGGACGGGATTCCCTTGCAATACGTTCATCACACAGCTCAGCTCTTGAGCTTGAAGGATGCAACTGTGAGTGTTCTTTTGTCTGTGGCAGAGCCAGAGACACGAGGAGTGTGAAAAAATTCATGAAGAACACAGTTAGCCACCTCCAGATATGAATAACCAATCCTATTCTGCCCAAATTTGATGTATATTGCGGACCTGCAACACGTTCCATTATAATAATTACATACTGTTTTAGGTCAGTAACCTTTGCAATTGGATCAGTGTCCAATTTTCACTGGTCTTACCTTCACAAGCATTTGAAATCTCTTTGGACTGCCAAGCAACATCCACAACTTTGTCCACCATTGGTACACACTCTTCATACTCAGATAAAACAGTAGGACTTATGTTACAACTGGCCTTGATCTATTATAATAAGCATAATAGCATATCAGGTCCTGTATAAGAAAAATTCTAAGTATTTGATGTCACTTGGTACATGAGAACACTTACAGTTTCACTAACAGGAGTTAACTTGGGTACATGATTGCTCTTATTCGTTTTCGGTGAAGCCATCTCTTCCAATTCAGACCCTGACTCTGTTGTTGATGTGTCACTAATTTTTATCTGAGCCAAGAGAGGATAATATTACAATCTGATAAAAAAAAGTTCACCCAAACAACAAAGAAAAACTTATGCTCAAACTACCAATAGACCTTACCCCAGAGTAAGTTGGCTTATCAGATGAAGATATTTGGGAATCACTTCTTAGGAAAGCACCAGCATGCCTACAGAACGTCCCACCACTGCGACCCATCTGCATGAAGGTTGAGAAATCATTAGAGGAACATATATAGATATTTGGTTTATCATAAGCATAACAAAAACATAACGAACAATAAATTGTGGGATATCAAGAAACAATCACTCCACCTTTAGTATCTCAGGATCTTTCCACGGTCCTTTGTCAGATCTCATACAACCTCCCTGATCTGTGCAAGTGCAAGTACCACCAAGAAAATCTGGCAGCTGGCTGAATAAGTTCCAAAATATGGTCAGATACTCAGATGTTAAATTATATTCTGGAAATATGATAAGAAAACGAAACATTGAAGACAAACTTTCTACCTGGCATCAATTATCTCAAGTAATTTGTTCTGGTACTTGTTGCCAAGGACCTATTCATATCACATTGATACATTTATCTTTTCTACAGTAAAAGTGTAAAAATGGATACATAGAAACAACAATTAAGTTACATGTATCTTGGAGACAGTCTTTGGATCAAGAAATGATTTCACTGTCCCCCAAAGTAGCTTAAAACCAGAGCCGGCATTGATGATAAACATACTGTGAAGAGTCTGCACATATTTTATATCAGATGTTATTACACAATCACATGTTTTTAAACAATGCTCAAAAACAGGTTTTGCTTATAAAATAAACAATGGCAACCTGATAATACCTCGGGGTAGTTATCACTATCAATCTTTTGCAGCTGGATTATAAGATCCCGAGCAGTTTTCGTGAAATTCTTTAATCCCTGCAAATGTATTCAGACGATTCAGTAAGCCTAAGGAAACGGCACCAGGCACAAGAAAAAGGTTCCAGAATGTGGTTGAAAATGTACCAAGCCTTGAACATCTAGAATAGTTGTACTGGAGTCGATGTGTCTCTTAGCAGCAATGCAGCAAGCTGGGAACTTGACAGTAATAGTGTTCTCAAACTCTTTAACATGATATCTCAGGTACCTTTCCATTGTAGTGACTTGCATGAGTCTGCATGCGTCGACTTTTCCTAATCTTTCAATGTAAACAGGTCTTCCTTCCTTGTCAACACCATGATATCCCTGAGGGTAGTACTTGCGAACTTCATCCAATTCCGGAAACTCAAAATCCTGGTGTTAAGGAACTCAGTCAGCAACTATCGGAGGCTATTGTAACAATCAAATAATAAGAAGCAAGACACGAAAATGACAGCTTGATAATACCTCCAAGATTGTGTCAGTACCAAAATCCCTTCTCCATTGGACCATGTTAGCCCACATTAACTTTGCTTTTCCAAGATCAAATTTCCTAGCAAACAGGAATCTGCAGAAAGAGTCATGAAACAATCAATGTTCTCTCTCTCTCTCTCTACTTCATATCAAATGTACTTAAAACTCAAGTGAGCATGATCTTAACATCTATTAGACAGAACACTCCAGTTCAGACAGAGTCTTCTCAGTCTGCTCAAATTGCAGGCCACAACAGACCCAAGTTTGTTCACAACAGGCAAATTACATCAACATAAAAGCCATCATAACAGTAGAACACAGAATCATCTAAAATTTAACCTCAACATCATGTGGTAATCATCAAGGCTTGGAGGAAGCAAATGATCAGAGATGAGTGATTGTCGGAATTCAGAGACATATCTCAATTCTTCAGCATCATGTATGTCTTCAAAAGTAAGCGAGAGTGTCCGGTCAATGCTTCTCCCTCTGCTGCTGCTCCCTCTCCTCTTCAGGGAATGTCTGAATTTGTTTTTGGAAGATTTCTTCTTGAAAAGACCACCAATCCTAGTTTTCTTCTCATCCTCTGAAACTTCGAAATCTGACTTCTTTTCTCTTTTCTCGCCATTGTTTGAGAAACCTTCAAAACATCAGAGAAGACAAACAAGTAAACAGAAAAATTAGTCAAATCCATCAAAAGAAAAATTATAATTTCATCTGCGAGTGAGTAACAGATAAAAATCTCCACTCTGAAAAACAAAATCGAAGTTGCCAGAATCGAAAGACGCTTACAGGGTCTAGTGAATCGATCAAGAGAACCCGACATGAGGAGAATCGAACCAACTTGAAACTTTAGAAGTTAGAGTTTGAAACCGAGATTGAGAAAAGGGGTGGGTAGATGAAGAAGTAACTGAGGAATTTATTTGGTATGCGAATGTGAAATAAATGTAGTTTCACGGCCGCCGGAAAAAAAATATCGAGACATAAATGTCGTGAAGATTCGATTTCGACCTTTTTTTTCTTTCTATCTTTTTGTCTGCCTCTTCGTTTCTATACGCTATCAACGACACGTGGCGATTAGCCGCTCGATCATCATGTGTATCTCTCTAGGCGGGAACTCGCTTCCAGTTATAACGTCACACGTGTATTCGGTTTTTTCTGTTTTAGCGTCTTATTACAAAAACAAATTTTCTTCTACAAGTTCGAACTGAGTTTACTACAAACTAGATGTTGACCCGCGGTACACCGCGGGATAATTTTTTTTTTTATAATTCATATTTTTAAAAATTTATAGATGTTAGAGTTTATTTAATAATTATTAAGATTGCATAATATCAATTTTTATTAAATTAGTTTAATTATACATGTTTTATATTAGTGTCGGTTAAAAAAGTAGTAAAATGACCCGTATTGAATTGTGAGATTAATAATATTTTTTTTTTTTGTAATATTAAGTCAAACCCGTTCCATCTTACAACCCGACCCGTCATATAACTTGTTGGAAGCATATTATAGTATTTCTCGTCTTATACCCCATCATGTCATATAATCGCCAAAAAAAAAAATACATATTTCCCATCTTTCCGTCTTGATTTTACTTCAATAAGTAAAAGAAAAAAATGCTATCAAAACTGAAAAACAAAAATGGATATTCTAAGCTTACACACAAAGATTTGGTTATATATATAGGTAAATGGTGTGGGAAAGTTAAATATTTTAAATAATAAAAATTAACAAAATATTGCATAAAGGATTTGTATTTTCTTATCTTTTAAATATAAATGGAGAAATATAAAATATTGATCTGTTTTGTAATTTTTGATTTATTTTTAACATATTTTTACCCAAAATATTGCATAAATTTCAATGATTCGGTTTTCACTTTCCACAAATTTCGTCAAAGAAATTCTGTACATAATAAATTGAAAAAGGTAAATTTAGAAAATTTTAATAATGTTTTGATCTATTTTTATTATATTAAAACCTAGTAGTTATGGTAGTTACTAAAATATAGAGAAAATTAAAAGTTTCAAATTGTTTCTTTTTTTTTGTGGAAAGTTTCAAATTGTTTCTTATATTAATTATTATATATATATATATATATATATTGCAGATTTATTCATTATATTATTATTATTAAATAATAATGTGTGTATCCCACAAAAAATAATAATAATCGTGTGCCTATTTAATATTTATAAAATCGACTGACTTTAGTTTGAGAAGTTTGCCTCATATTTTTGAATTTTACATTAGTTATTTTTGGAAATTTTTATTAAGATAATAAGTATGTATTAAATTTGAAAATTGTTTTAGCTATTTTCGAAATAATTAATAGAGATTTTCTTAACTATTTTTTCGCAATAATAAATATTTGTTTAACTTGAAGATTTTCTTAAGTATTTTCGAAAAATTTTAGGGAGATTTTCTTGTTTTCATTATTGATTTTTAAACTATTTAAAAAGAAATATTAATACCAATGGCAGAACCTTGTAAATAAGTGAGCAAAGCAATGGTTTTTTCATAAGTTGCTGCAAAAATGTTAATATAGATACTCTACAAGGACCATAAGTTCATAACATTATTCTCCTAGTTAAATTTCAAATTATTTTTTAGTAAGATATTTTTTTATGCTTATGCATATACAAATTGACAGCACCATAAACCAATAATTATATATTTGGTCCTACTTCCAATAATGTGGCAAGGACAAATTGAAAAAAAAAAAACTATGATTATGATTTTTAGATTTTTAATTAGAGTAGGATATTTTAGAAGATGAATGTAATAAAATATGTACACATCACGATCACGTTACATACATTTTTTTGGTTGTTTTTTGTCTCTTCTCTTGAGATTTAAACTAACAGTACGTGCACAAGTGTATAGACAGAGAAAAGTAATCTACAATCTCCATCATACCATAGATATTTTTTGTTTTGTGCAAGCTAAGCCAATGTTCCACCGCTTGATCTGATCACAGCTTTTCTAGTAGCAATGGCTTCTTTATTATTCACATAAGTTATAATATTATTAATTACCTTGTCTCAGTCCGACCTGCCTGAAGAAATTAAACTCACATAAGATTTACTAATCCTGTTTTTTGTGTATAAAAGACATTGGATGAGCTTTGTTTTAGAGTACCTGTCATGTGTATTTCTTTAATTTGCGTTTTGCCTGAAACTGGCCAAGCTTGTCTCTCCACTCAGCTGCAAAATCATGGAAAGCCAAACAAGATATTGATTGATCTTTGATTTCTTGAACTAAGAACATAAAATAGCCATAAACTTGTATCACCGCATTAGGAATATATATATATACTTCAATATTGTGCCTATGGGAAGGGTAAGAGTAAAGCTTACCGGCTTCATCATACCGCTCTTCATTAACAGCTTGCATCATGTTCCTCAATAAATCAAACTCTTTTGTATCAAAACAAGGCTGACCATTTGGCCTATACCCAATGAAAACAGTGTTTCTAAGTCTGTAACTTACCAGCAAAGAAAGGATCTTAAATGAATAGTTTCACATTTTAAAGGATTTTACCGGTCTAGTTCATGAAATAATAAACCATCTGAGGCAGGTGTTTGCTTTGATAGCTTTCCCGAGTCTATGACTCTCATTCCATCACTATAAGCTAGATACTTGTTGACTTGGATTGGTACCTGAGTATCAACACCATTTTTTAACAGTGAATACGTTATTTATATTCGCCTTGTTAGATCTCATGGAGAGACCTCTCCAAAAGAGAGTTTGAAAACATGGTTATGGTAATATAAGTTTATCTACCTTGCATCTAACAGCTATGTTAATTGCATCTGAAGGTCGAAGATCGAAGCTAACACACTCCGACTTATCACCCACCTGCAATCCCATTTAGAGCAGCCTTATAAAGTAGAAGAAAACGAAATGAGATACTAATGAATTTCTAGACAACATTTCAAGGCCAGAAATTACAAACCTTTGAAAGATATAACTCTGCGAAATATGCCTCGTGAACTCGTGTGGTAACTCTAACAAGCCTAACCTGCAGAAAAACAAAATTGGAACATTTCTCTTATAAGAATTTGAATTGCTAAAGGGAGAATAATAGAATAGAGAGGAGAGAGGAACCGTAAGGTGTACCTCGTAACCCATTTTGTCTATCATCTCCGTTACCACTTGGTACATGGTGGGTCTTGCCTACACAACCAGTAAACCAAGAAAATCCATAAACCTTCTCTTCATAACTCTTGACTGATTCTAACAAAACCATAATGCAAGAATAATAGAAGCCTACTATTTGAACATTTGTCAATGCTGCCATAAGTAACACACTAGGCATCTCCACTGCAATGCAAAAAACAGAGGAAAAGAGATTCAAAACACCAGGAAAATGGAACAACACAAGCTTGCAAACGAAAGAACTGAGTCTTGATATCACATACAGACGATGATAGGAAGAAGGAGACCAGTTCCATCTTCCATTTTCAGCACAATTGCCGAGTGTGGGGCATAATTTGGAAGATTCCCTCCCTGAGGATTGTTGTGGACACATCTAAGTTGCCTACCATCCCTCATCTTCACCATGAAACCATCTGGTCCACTCTTTACCTCAACTGTACACAAAAAAAAACCAACAATATGTTAACTTATAAGAAGAGAGTCTGAAGTCATGGTTTAGTTACTGATTAACACTGGGATTACCAGCTTCCAGTACACTAGACTTGACATAATCCTCATCGTTCTCGTTGAAATTCTCTGCTGTGCTTCCGGAGCCATCAGAATGTGAGCTGAAAAGACATGTTATACTCTTACACCTCCGAAGATGGAGCTGAAGACTTACAGTAGCAACCTGGGACTTGACGTTTCTGGTCTCATTACCCCAGAATTGGTTTTTGAGAATCCTAGGTTTCGAAACAGAGCAGTTGACAAGTGAAGCAGAGACACCCAATTGTCTGGGACGAACACTAGGGCAAACAACCGGTGTCTGAAGCGACCTCATCTTCACTCTGTTCATGCAAACCGAGAAATATTCAAGGAGACTCAGAATGAAAATTTTTAGTATCCAACAACACTACCAACATCAACCCTAACTCGATTCTCAAAAATCACAAACGAATTCCATAAATAGTAGTAACTAACTACTTTACTTGCTAGAGAAAACACTACACAAAAGGATAAGTACTAAACGTTCAGGAAGAAAGAAAAAAAAACGATCGGTGTGTGTTCCTGATCAAAATAGAGTGAAAACTATAATTTATATATCATCTATTAGCTTAATCGACCAAGCAATCACATAATATTTGATGAATCTCTGCTAGGATTTGTAACTATAAAGAAAAAAAAAAAAAGAATAAGTGAGATCTTACCTTGGTAAGATTCGATTGGATGGATCAACAGAGGAGGACTAAAGGAAGAATCCCGCACAGACAGATCAACAAAGACCAAACAACAGATAAAAAGGAAAAAGAAGAATCTCTGTGACTCTGTCAATTTAATCGACTCATGTTTGCTTCAATTGACGGTTGTACCCTTACACCGATGTATCGCGTAACTCGCGTTCGCCAACGAGATGTTCAGAAAATGGTCGCGGAGAAAGGATAGAAACGAGAATGCAGGTGTATAACCGTGAATGATGACGTACGTTAACTCGTAAAAAACTGACAAGTCATCAAGTAACAGTCACCGAATAAATTAAGCCTAAATGGACGCCACGTGTACGGCGCCTGTGTCAGGGATAGTTATGGATAAGGTTTGTTAATGTTGGATGTGACACTAGTGGGATGTGTGAGACTATGCAAGTAAATCACCAATATGGTCTTAAGCCCATTTAAGTATCAATCGGCCCAATATTTATAGTCCGTGAAGATAGGAGGGAGGACACACTTTTCAGTAAGGGAGAACCGGAAGAGTGAAGACACACTTAGGCATGTCAATCGGGCTAGCCCGGCTCGGCCCGGTCCAAAATCCGTAAAGCCTTCATATATGTGAGTCCTGTCCGGTTCGCTCTGAAAAATTTCCGAGCCTATATTTTAAAGTCCGGCCCGGCCCTAACAGGGCTACAGGGCTTTTCAGTCTTTTCGGGCTTTTCTGGGTTTTATTTACCGATAAAAAATTTAATTTCTAAGTTCATAATAGTTTTTTAAAAACTATATTTAAAGGTCTACTATTAAAATAATGCATCAAATTTTAAATAACTTATCAATATTCAATAAAACTAACTTAATTTAAGAGAAAAAAATAAAAGCCAAATAAATTATTTACACTTTAACCCAATAAAACATGGAACTAAAATACTTTAAAGTATAAGATCGAGTCAAAATTTAATAGATATTTTGATGATTTCAAAATCATGATACTTATATATATATATTTAGTTTTAGCTTTGTATAAAGATTTTAAAAGTAATAAGTAAGACTAGTAAGTAAATATGAAAACTATAACATTAATCAAATCTTTTAATCAAACTAAAATATTCAAAAAATTCAAAATATATTTGTATAAGGGCTTTTCGGCCCGGTCCGAGCCCGACCGGGTTAAGCCCAAAAAACTCTTTAGCCCGAATAGGCTTAGACTTAGACCAAAACGCCCGGTTTTTCTGGACATATATATTTAAAGCCGACCCCGATGTTTTTCAGAGCCGGACCAAACTAGCCCACGAGCTTTAGTCCTAATTGACATGCCTAGACACACTTCTCATTTCATGTGTAAAAAGAATTTGACGACGATTTGTGTATTATAAGAAATGGCAGAAAAAAAAAAATATATATATATCCTCAGTTTAAAAGTGCAAACGTACTACGAGAAACATATGTTGGTGAGAACCACTTAATCAAGACTATACCCTTCCTTCAAAGAAACATGGTCTTTTAGTTTCAAGAACTCTTTAGGCATTGGCAACAAGCCAACAAACGATTTTATTAAGCTTTAGTAATAAACTAATAACTTGTAAAAACTTTTTAACCAAGTAAACATTTCTACATAGTGTGATTTCATTGTTTTATCTTATAGATTAATTGTTCTATTTGATTAAAAAAAAGTTTTGATATAAGAAAAAAAAAAACTTTTGATATATAACTCAATCATTTTGTTGAACACAGCTCCTTTCTCCATCTATACAGTACACACGTGAAACTTGATCGGGTGCAAGATGATGATCACCCCCACACACAACACGACACACCTCTTCATATACAGACAATCTACGAGGACCCTTTGTTGCCACAAATACAAGGAAAATTTAATGTGTTTTTCTTCTCCATGAAAATGACTCTTCAATTTAAGATTCCATTTCAGTCAATTCAAAATTATTGGTTTACTCCTCTTTTGAAATTTTGCTAGAGTCTATCTCACCTCTCATTTTGATACTATTAAAAGTCTTAATTATCTCGATACTGATACTCATGTTATTTAGATATACATTGCCATAATCATACAAGAAGTTGTTCTAAGTAGAGAAATTATGAATTACAACTTGCACGTTAAATCTGGACGAATTAAGCCGAAGCTTCTTCCAACTCGGGTGTAGGATCAAGCCTCACCGGAGACACAAAAGGATCTTTCACAATCCGTCGAATCTCCGATTTTTCAGCCCATAAACTATACTTAAGAAACGCAACCACAATGCCACCCACAAATCTCCTCATCTCGCTCTTATTTCCTTTCCCATTCTTACACGTACAACCGGCCACGTACCCGAAAAAACCGGGCAAATCATCGTCCAACATATCCATGTGTCCGTGATCAGCAGCCACGAAATGGGCTTTCGTCGCCTTACACTCTTTGTAAAACTCGTCATGGTTCAAGTCCGTTGGTGCGCATGGTGGCATGACCACGTGGTTCCTCTCCGGTCCGAGTCCGGTTCCCACCACTGCGACCGGTATGTCCAGCTCGAACGACTCCGGTTTATAGGTCAAGATATGCGGATCTGTCCTTATGCATTTGCTGAGTCCTGCGACTGGATCGATTGCTACTAACGCTGAGAATTTGAAGGATGGGTCTAATGTTGCTGCGTGGCCTAACGCAACCGCAAACGCGGTTTTTCCTCCTCGGCTGTGTCCTACGAGTGCGGTGTATTCGCCATGTGTGTTTACTGAACTTGGGAGGTGAGCTTTGAGGTTTTGTAATGTCCAGTTTATCACACTCCCAGCATCGTCCACTTCAACTTGCCCTCCCGGTGGTATTAATTCGCACAACTATCATTTAAAGATATTACTTATGATTTATATATACTCCTGGTCTTTAATAAAACTTTAAAATAAATATACAACTTTGTTGGTACGTTACATAAGAATGTAAATATATATACGGTACCTGAGGGGCAACAAGAATGTAGCCATGAGAAGCGATGTGGTTAAGAACGTCAGAGTAGTAAACGTTGCGGAGATAAAACCCATGGAAGAAAAAAACGACGGGATAAGTTCCGGCGGCTGTTGGGGAGGTGATTATCACCGGCTTTGGTGGCGCCGTTAAATCGTTTTCCGAAGGATCCGCCGTTAACACGGTTGTCGGAAGGCTGCCTATATCAAACGCAGCGGGAGTTTTCTGATCACTGTCATGTATGGCCTCCATTTGTATCCTCATAGAGAGAAAGAAACTTAAGAAAATGCCTCAAGATTTTACTAATGTATGAATATTTCGAGTTCTAGCTAGTTGTTTTGTAAAATCTTGAATCTTTTATGAATATATATAGATAGAGGAGATTCCACAAATGAATTTTTCTTATCCATTAGTTTTTTTTTTTATGTGGTTCTCAGCTTCTCGTAATAAAATTCAACAAATGATTTCTATATGTATTATGAAAACGATAAATGCATGGGCTGCATAATGCATATAAATAAAAGTGCAGATTCCAAATGTTACAAGTTTGTTACTAAAAAACTTTTCTATAATTTTGCCTCCTACTAGTATTATGTACTCTCTTGATTACATATGCTGCTATGCACCATATATAAATTAAAAAGTAAAATATCTTATTGGCTAACAAATTTTCTCAAAAAAAAAAGAAAAGGCAATAAAGCAAATAAAAAAGAGGAAAGGGTGGGGGACGTGGCACAATTCTCCTGTGCGTTCTTCCGTAGACGCACACAGCTTTCGTCCGCCTCCCTCTCAGATCGATTTTGGTCGCTCGGATCACCGTCGACTATTTGAGATCGCTCTCAGCCTTTCGACCCTAATCTATGCCATACGCCGTATCTTCTTCATATGCCCAGCTTCTCTGGTGAGTCCTTGTTTCTTCTGCCTTGGTCCTGCTGAACAATTAGATTTTCAAATTCATCTGTTGAGATTTGTTATTGCCGTTCCACTGTAGCTTTTGTGGCTCCTGCCTTCAGATAGTACTTTACGTGCTCTAATCTGACTTAAGTATCACATCAATTATGTTTCTCTTTTACAGAATTGTGGTTGTCTACTGTGATATGTGAGCTCAGACTTCAGAGATTAAGAAGCATTACGGCTGCATAAAATCCTGGAGATTGTGTAAATCATAATTATTACAGTAGCTGTGCTTTAAGGATTATGGGGTCAGTTTGCTGTGTGGCTGCAAAGGACAGAGATCTTCCTAATGTCCCTGGAAATGGAGCTACTCGTAATCCACTGTGCTCACCACCTTGGAGTTTTCGGCGGGACAACAGGAGGCGTGTGGCTGATGAGATTAAAGATTCATCCAATCATAATTCTTATGTTGGGAATAGAGGAATTAACATGGATAAGATGTCATTAGGCTTAGAGAGAGGACCTCCAGCTGAGAGTGGAAGCTTTCCTGGGGGTTTAGCTGCTCCTGCCTCTCAGGAATCTGCAAACTCAGAGATTGGCACAAGTTCGATTGTTACAAATCCTTCAACGGGCACAAGTCCGATGATTCAGTCTCCTTCAGGTAATTTCTTCCATAACACTTTTTGGAGTTTTAAGGGAAATGTTTCTTTGTTTGAGAATATACTACATTTTTCAAAATAGTTGATTTTAGCTCCTTTATAGATGATCTTTCCTGTCTACTTAGTACAGTTAAAGTGGTTAAACATTTCTTTGGTAAAGTTAGATCATAATGACAACAAGTCTCTAGGATTAAAGATCAAGAGACATATCATCCTTTGGTAGGGATTGCAAGTTACTATTGTCCCCAATCCCAAGGCTGATTGGATTTTGGTTACATACAAGTCTAGTTTTTCGTATCATCTTCTGCATAGATTTGTGTTTGAAAAGCTTTTTTTTTCTGACTGTATTAAGTGATGCTTGCTTACTACATCTTTTGCTGTCTCTCATATATTTATTTTCTCTGGGCAGATGTATCCTTGGCAAGCCCTGTTCATGTTAAGGTTAGAGAATTTATTTTCGCTGGTCACATTCTATATTATTTCTGGGTTGTTCCTCTATGCGTATTCCCCCCAGGCCCCAGGAGTCCTCAGTTTCCTACACTTGAGTGTCTTAAATTTTCTCGCCCATTTTTTTTGTAGGTGAAGAATTTAGTTGACTCACCAGATGCTGTTTCAGCAGCTTTACCAAAGCATTCATGTTCCACCTCGACCTCTGATGTTCCATCTACTCACACACATTCACTTCCTCCCAGATCAACTCAACTTAGTCGAGCTCAAAGTTCACCTGGGCAGCAGCACAAAAGGCAGGTTTCTGATAGTCAAACTCTGGGGTTGAAGTCTCCTAATAATAACTCAACATCTGAAGGAAGGTCATCCTTTGTGCTTTCAACCTGTAGCAATGACTTTGCCAATGGGTCCCATAATGCTTCTTCTGAAGGTGGCTGGTCCATGAACGCCTTTTGTGAGCTCGTGGCTCAATCTCAAAGGGAGAGATGGTCGTTTGACAGTGAGCACTTAGGTTCTGGACTACGAAGACTAAGTGGGTGTAGTAGTAGCAGATTTTCATCCTCTCCTTCTGTAGATCAGCAGACTTGTGGGAATTGCTCAAAGCTTTTAACTGAGAGGTCTTCAATTTCCAGGCTTGACCTTCCAGTTGCTGCTGTTCTAGCCTGTGGCCATGTTTACCATGCAGAATGCTTAGAGACAGTGGCATGCGAGACAGACAAGTATGATCCTACGTGTCCCATATGCACAGAGACACAAGTTACTAAATTATCCAGGAAAGCTCTAAAGGCTGAGGCAGAAATGAAGGCAAAGAGTTACAAAAGATGTAAAAACCGTGTGGTAGATAGTTATGTCCGCAGTGAATGTGAGGATTTTGTGTTTGAGACACTAGGAAAACGAGAAGGAAAAGGTCTGAAGATTGATCCTAGTTCGAGTACCAAAGGCTCCACGTCTAAGTCTTGTAAGAAATGGCACTTCGGTTCTGTCAGCGCCAAGTGGAGTAAACCCTTAAGCTGGGATACTAAATCGAAGAGGAGCTTTTGGTCTAGACATAGTAATAAAAGATTAAGTCATTCTTCGTCAAGCATTGCGGTAAAAGTTCCATTTGAGACTCAATATGTGCACATTGCCTCTGAAACAAAGTTAAGTTCCTCAACTGCTAACACTTTGTTTATCGCATGTCAGGGCCTTAATCAGACAATATGACATCATCTCATACATAGAAGAGGTCTGGCTTTGGATTAGAGAGAAGCTGCCCTTAACATTTTGCATCCCTCTTTTGTTTTATTCTGTTTGGGGATTATGTTTACCAATGAAACAATCAAACAAACGTGTCATTTGGGAGAATGCAGGAAAAAAAACAGGATAAGCTACATTAGTCTGTACTAATTCTCTACAGAAAACATAAGATGTATTCTGCACAGCAATTTTGCTTTGTTCTTCAATCAAAAAGGGTTGTCCATCTTTTCGATTATGCTTTGCAATCCTGACTTGTACGAAGGATGTAGCAATTTCACTCCTAGTTTATTCTTCATGTGTTCGTTACGGACCCGTTTTTCGCCTCTCAATGAACTCTCCTCCCGAGACTCATAAACAAATGGGAATGGTTTTGTTTCAATAGTCCCTGGCCAACGTGTTTCAATCAACTCCAAGGCATATTCAAACACCTTTTCTCTTGGTGCCGGATCATCATCGACGACATTGTAGATTTCCCTGCAATAACGGTTGGATCATCAACCTCAAATAAAAGATAATAAACTGGACATGAAAATGGATTATTCATATATATATACCCTGATGGTAGCTTTTCAGTGGCAGCTTGAAGAGCTTGGCATATATCTTCAACATGGACTCTAGACGTAAATTTGCGGGACGCTCTTTTCTTTTGACCTTCAGACAAGCGCTCCCGCTTTAACAAGGTATCAATCGCACTACAGCAAGAAACATTCCTTTTAAAGCCTGTTTAAGGCAAAAATACATGCACAAGCAGAAGTTGTAAACAACCTTCGACCAGGTCCATAGATACCTCCAAGTCGAAGGATTTGAGTCGAAACACCTAGATCACGACCTAAGCTTAACCATCCTTCCTCTGCAGCTAACCTCAGCTTGGCTGACTGAGTTTTAGGATTTGGGGGATGACTGCAATGTGATGGAACGACCTTTACCATCACCATCTAAAACTTATAATAACTAAAAGAGATGAAATTTGGAAGGAATAAACTTACTCTTCATTGACCCAAGCACCACCACAATCTCCATACACACCTGCAAGCATCATCTCTAACACAATTAAAACCAAGGAAGAGATTGACCAGAAGGAGAAGACACTGAAAGCAAAAACATTGATGTAATGAGGAAAATATACTTGTTGATGAGAGATAACAAACCCACTGAAGATTTCCACCGGAAAGCTTGTCTCTGACAAGTTCTACATTCCGCAACATCTTTTTGGAAATGATCAAAAAGATAAGTTTTTGTGAATTACGCAGATCATGTATCAAATCAAACACGAAATTACATTAAGCAAAACAATAAAGAAAACAAACCGGATCACCAATGCCTGCTGAAGGAGGAATAGAAATGAGCAGGTGAGTGTAATCTTTCACTGAATCTATCAAGCTCAATCTGATTAACAAGGAAATATAAAAGAGTTCAAGACTCAGATTCAGATATTACCACTATGAAGCTACTGAGAAATGATACTTACTCAGGTGAATCTGCAGAAAATAGATTAAGATCAATTCCTCTCTTTTCCCATTCTTTCTTCTTCGTATCACTCCTGCAAGTCCCTGAAACCAGCCTAAAACCTCACCATTAACCCCCAAAACATGATCTAACAAGTATGGATTTAAAATCATGAAGCTCATACTCATTTCCATTCAAAGATCCTCTTACTGCAAATTAATTTTATTTATCTTCACAAAGACTTAGAATCAGAGAAGGAGAGAAATTGATATCAGACCAGTCTGCTTCTTTGAGCTGCTGTGCAAAAAAACCTCCGACGTATCCCATCCCGAGAATGAACATCCGGTTCTGCGACTCTGAATCTGGTTCACTGGATCCAGAATCACCGATCGCTGACAATGGCCGGAATAAGGTAGTTCTCCTACGATTCGAAAAATCGAGTGGTCTTGGAGTAAAACGGAGAGAAATCTCCGGCGACAAACTTGGCAACTGAAAAACTGCCATTGAAGTCGGAGGATTGAACTGATAGCTCTGAGTTCTTTCGTACTTAGACACTGACTCGTAAAACTACATGCCGTTTTGAGTAAGAACGAGCTTGAGCGCCGTTTGTTTCTAAAAATTAGAACAGCATGCCGTTTCTATTATATATCCTGTAATCTGTAATCTTTATACAGAGTAATCTTGAAAAATTGAAATCAAGAAGTAGATTTAATATCCAACAAAATGAAACGATGGTCACACTTGCAAGTATCCTTTATACCACCGTGAATCTTATACACACATATATCAATATTTTGGCTTACGAGTGTACTATACACAAAAGCAACCTACATATCTACTATATATTCCACAGAGAAAGGGTGTATCATGCCTAGAACTATAAAAATGCAAAAGCACATTTCTTGTGCTTCAAGAATCATGTCCCCTCTGCCAATATCAAACAACAAAGTCGTGTAAGTGATGGGAATTGGAGAATCTGCTTTCTTGCTGGTTGCTTCCACCAATGTAACGGTAATCATCCAGACCAAAACCTTGATAGTTCATCAGAGTGTCGTAATCCGCTGACCGGTTCATCTGTTGTTGTTGTGGCTCATCATCATTGCCTGAAACACGGTCTGGTTTGATTTCAGATGAGAAGGCGATGTTTGTCGTGTCGACAGATGAATAACCGAGGTTGTTATTGTTGTTCTCTTGCTGGTGCTGCTGCGACGAAGAGTCTTCTTGGTTAGTGCTGTTGGGTTCTTGAGATGATTTGGAGATTAGTAACTCAGATTCATCACCAAACTCTTCTTTATACATCTCTTCTATCATCGGTTTCCATAGACGAACTCTCGCATTTATGAACCAATTAGCAACCTATTTACAGAACAGAGAAAAATCAGCATGACTCAAGCAGAACACAAGATTGCAACTTTAAAGGAAATACAAATAGCTCTGTTACCTGGTTTTTTGACAGTCCTGTCTGTTTTGCAAGCATGATTTTCTCAGATTCTTTCGGGTATCTACAAATAAAAACAGGAAAAAATATAAACTCTCTTAAATGTTCTGTAATGGGAAAATGAAAAAGTTGTGACTTGTGAGAGAAGAAACACATACGGGTGAAGGAAATGTTCAAAGAGCCAAGCTCTAAGAACAGAGACAGAGTTTTCAGGGAGTCCTCTTTGAGGTCTCCAAGCGGGTCGAACCATTCCAAGTTGTTGATGCAAAGCTCTTTGCTGTCTCAACCGTTGATCAAGATACCTCAGCCTTGGTATTCTCTCTCCTTGTTGTTCATCCAACGACTCTCCTCCTTTCTCTCCAAGTTTGTCTCTAATAATCTGAATTTGTTCCTTTATCGCATCGCGAAGAGCGCGGAAATGGCGAGAGATTCTGTTGAGAGCGACTGATGTGTAAGGCTTAGCTGATCCAAGTCCTGCTACTATCTCAAATGATGAAGCTAAGGCTTCCATTTGATGGTAATATTGGTTATATCTTTTATCTACCTGAAATTTGTAACACATCCATAACAAGCAAATCATCATAAGACAACGATTATAATTGTGTTAACCAGAATCCAAAATCAATTAAAAAAGCAAAATCATTATTTGTCATATTCTACAAACCTTAACCGAAACTGAACAAGACATAGCTCATCTGCAAATTGAAGAACTAGTTTTTGAAAGGTGAAAGTTATTTACCTCATCAACCATTGTCAAAAGCTTGTTCTTCTTGTTCTGGAGCTCCTCACGTTCATTTGTAGATAACTCTATTGATTTCCCATTCGAATCACTCGATAACTCGCCACTGCCTCCTCTTCCTCCTTCTAACTCCTTGGAACCGTTATTATTAAAGTCGTTCACTTTCATCTTCTTCTTCCCCATTTGGTTTAGCTCTTTCTTGACACTAACCACCTCATCAAGCAAATTCTGAGCCGGTTTAAGGTACCGAGAACGCAAAACACCGCTCATAAACCCTCCTGAAGTCTCGTTATACCGATAGTTGTTGAAGAATCCATTGCCAGCATAACCAGAGGAAGGATCAGATTGACCCAACAACAACATCTCTTTGCTCTTCACACTCATATCATCCACATTAAACGTTGACGTTTCCTTGACTGAAAGTGAAGGATTTTGAGTAAAACCCAATTGGTACTGATGATACTGAAACGGAGGAACAGAGATCTGAGTGCCGAGGCTTAAAGACAGTCCTTGACCATCGTGAAAGCTTAGGTCGCTGCTCGAAACGGCACCGTTAACTGTTACAGCGTCTCCGGTGGTGGGTGGGATGAAAACCATCTCGTTTCGAACATTGTCACCGCCGGTGACGGTGAAAGAAGCGGCGGCAGAGGAAGAAGAAGCTTGTTGTTGTTGCTGTTGTTGATGGTTGAGAAAGATTGGTTCTTGCTGGTAACAACCGACATTACTTGTGTAGTAAACCGCCATTGGTGTGTTTTCTTTTATTAAACAACACCTTTTTAAAAGTTTTATTACAGTGAGTTCTGAGTTCGATGAATTTGGTCGGGAAATGAGATCCTGCAAGAAAATAAGAAATGAAGAGGAAGAGTCGTGTAAGGTGTGGAATTTTTAAAGTTTCTGATGGGAATCTAAGAGAGGTTAAAACATCGTAATCATTCACACCAAACAATTTTATTAATTTTTATCAACAACAGTTTCGAAAGCAACCAACACAACCGGACCAAAAAAGTTTCCGAGGATTAAAGTCAAATTCTTGATAAAAGCAAATGTTTTTGGTGAAGAACTGAAGAAACCCAGAAAAACCTAATTCAGGAATTGTGTAATCGTATAGGAATACCCAATCTATGGAGGGAAAAATTGGGAAAAAACCCTAATTTGTAGATGGGAAAGAAAAAAAATGCAAGAGTGAAAAAAGAAGTTGTGTAAGCAGCTCACAACGTAGTGACTCAAAAAAAGCAGAGAAGATTCAATTATTACAAAAAGAAGCTAAAGTGGTTTTTGATGATTTCATCTCCGTAAGAGAATTTCCAAAAAGCATGGGAAGTAAAAAGTAAACAGAACAAAAGAGAACAAAACAAGAAACACAGTACAAGAACATCAATCATAGAGGAGAATCAAAGAATCAAGAACTTGGATTTTAAAAGTTTTTAGAAAAAAGAACTACCTGAGGAGTGAGGAAGGAGGAGAATCAAAGTTAGAAAAAAATAAACCCTAGGGATTGTGTGTTGTGAGTGTGGATGTGGCTGAATCAGGAAACACAAAAAGCATAAGAGTTTCGAACAGTTGAAGACAAAAAAAGATTTGAGACCCAATCCCGAGAGAGATAGAGAGACGATTAATAATTTGCCAATTTTAAATAAAAAAAATTCTTTTTATTTTTATTTTTTTTCTCTTCACTCCACAAGAACAAAACCAACCCATCTTATCATTGGGACATTTAGACACCAACCCAATTTTTTTTTTTAGTTAATACATTATTATGCAATATCAACAATAAAATAGTGATCCTACCGGAAGTTTTTTGACAACCGCTACCTGTAATTTTTAATCCTTTTTTTTTCCGGCAGAAGCTTCTGTTACTGATGCTTAGAGTATAAATAAATTAATGTGAATTTTTTTGTGTGCCAACCATTCATACATAGACACGTGAGAGCTTACAAATCACCAATCTTCTTTTCTTGGTTTAGGGATAATATTTCTTATGATGACTTTAACATCCAAAACTTAACAATTCCACACAAAAAAAAAATAAATGGATTTTATTGATGAATACGCTAATGATGTTTGTTTGTGTTGTCATTGACTTGACTCATACTACTTTTTCGTATAAATTAAAACTAGATGCTACCGAAGGATTGAATAGTAAATATATATTAGTCATATACAATATGATAAAAATTAGTATTAGTATATATAAAAAGTTAACCGAATCTAACTATTAAAATGAAATAATCCATAATGCGTACAAACACTAGCAAGGTGTCGTGCGAAACTTTATACGACATCCTGATTTGTGTACGTAGAGAGACTCCAAAATATATGAAATTATTTACCTGCCACATATTCTAGAGTTATTAGTCTAGATTTGGATTCTAGATCTAAAGCGTTTGATAAACTTTTATTTAATCCTCTTATTAGTTCCTTGCTTTCATTTGTAATGCTAATAAAGTTCTTGATTTATTAAGCTTTTAGAATTTGAGCAATTTGTATGTTCAACATGTTGGAGGTTCCTTTCTTTATATGTTTTTTGATATAACAGTTATGCATGGTGGTAGAGGAAACAAAACTCCATCAAATTAATAAAATAGAAATCATAGAAACGTCATTATAGGTGTAGAAAGAGAGCTTGAAATAACAAAAGTGCCCTTCTGAGAAGCTGGTTTAAGGATGAAGATAAAACAAAGGTGGGTGTGTGTGTGTGTGTCTGTTCAATTGCTTAATTGAAGGATTAAATGACTTAACAACCAGTTGGTGAGTCCCTTCTTTACTCTTCTGTTATACCCAATCTCTCTTTTTCTTCTTCTAAGTTCTTGTCTTTTTATTTCTTTTGTTATACTTTATAAACCTTTTAGTTATACAACAACATACATGTTTGTATTTTCATAAATAACGCAATGCATAATACGTAACTACACCTTTAGCTAGATATCTATATTTCCATATGAATATTAAGTTAGTCCTTTTCTTTATTTCAGCACAAAATAAACAATTAATTTTGCGTTTAGGTTTATTGGGAAGATTGGATTTGGAGCAGCCGACACAAAATCATTTGGGAAGTACCATTGTGTTTGGAAAATAATTATTTCATATATGAGTCTTTGGAAGAGATGATTATATTGACTATGTTTCCACGTGGATGTTGATTTATTAATGATGATTATAAAATAAATTTAGGCAGTTAGCTGGTGAGAGATGATGATTATTATTTAGTGACTATTGAAATTTGATGTAATTGGTTTTAATTTATTTTTTCACTATGACTAATAATTATGATAATGAGGATGAGCGCGATAATGGTAAAACGAGGAAAAGGTGTGTGTGAGTAAGAAGAAATAAAGACCATTGGTTTTGGAGGAAAAAGTTTAAAACAAAAAGAAGAGAGAGTATAATTCATGCAAATTGTCAAATATATTAATTACATTGATATCCAAAAAAATAAAAATAAAAACTTTATAATAAATAGCCACAAGTCATGGCCGTGTAACAAAAAGTATAAATCTATTTATTGCCACACATATATTGTTGGACCATATATGACGACGGATCATCACCACTAAAATTCATGTTTATAACATTTATTTTCCCCATGGCCATGGATCAAATATTGTTGGAAACTGTCATTAATCATTATGCTCTCACCATTATTAAAACAAAACAAAACCAAACCAAACTCGTGTTTCACCAAATCTAATCCGATCCCGACCTGCAAAAAACAACTAAACTTTTAAACTAATTTTAATTTGCTTAATTAATATTTTAAACTTCTCTCAATATGCGTGTGACAGAAATGTTTGTTTTTTGGTTTCAATAAGGAGGATTTGATCCAGGAGTTTAGGCCTTTTAGGGATGATTAAAAAAGAGAAAAGGCCTCTTAAGCCCATTATAACCTGTCGTCTTATCGCGCGAATAAAGTGCCCGCTAAAGAAAACGGCAAACACTTTCCTTCTGAATACCAAAAACGACGTGAATTGCGAAGTTCTGGAAGGAGTCAACAACAACAACACTGATTAGCGCTTTTTCCAATTAACAAAGCTCTCCTCTGACAGTGGTGCTCCATCTTCTTCCTCTCGATTTTTTTTTGTAGCTTTCTACTACTTCACTGAGGACAGATCCTTGAAATTTCGGAGATCAATTGTGACTGTGGAAACCCTATGATGTGATTCAGAGGATACAATGGGGAAGCCATCGCCGAATGTGTGGGCAACATTGCAGAAGAAGAGATGGCCATTGATGATTCTGTTGGTTTTATCTGTATCGACCGTGGGAATGATTCTCGTGAGATCTACCTTTGATTCCTGCTCTGTTAGTGGAAAGATGTGCGGCAGATTAGTTGTGGACAAGGATCAGAGCAGTGACGTTAAGATCCGATCGGTTTCGGGATCGATGAATCCTCTTGGTTTCATGAAATCGAAGCTCGTTTTGCTTGTTTCTCATGAACTCTCGCTCTCAGGTGAGGTTTTGGCTCGTTTCTCTATTCCCTCTTGGATTCTCCAGTGAGTTGTTTCTAGAACTGAAGTGATGATTTTGTATGAATTTAGGTGGACCTTTACTGTTAATGGAACTAGCGTTTTTGTTGAGAGGAGTTGATTGTGAAGTTGTTTGGATCACGAATCAGAAACCAGTTGAAGCTGATGAAGTGATCAAGGTTTTGGAACACAAGATGTTGGATCGAGGGGTGCAGGTTCAAAATTTAGCTAACCTCCATCTCCATTGGTTTCTTCGTATCATAATTGTTACTGATCAATCTTTTTGAATCCTTCAGGTCATCTCAGCAAAGAGCCAGAAAGCCATAGATATAGCACTTAAGTCTGATTTGGTTGTTTTGAATACTGCTGTTGCTGGAAAATGGCTTGATCCAGTTCTTAAGGACAATGTTCCCAAAGTTCTTCCTAAAATTCTCTGGTGGATTCATGAGATGAGAGGTCACTATTTCAAACCAGATTTAGTCAAGCACCTTCCTTTTGTTGCAGGCGCTATGATTGATTCGCACGCCACTGCTGAATACTGGAAGAACAGAACTCATGATCGCTTAGGGTCTGTTCACTATGCACTTCATCTTATGACATTTCGGTTTGCAATTAAAAGATACAAGCTTAACAGTGTGTATTCTTTAACTGTTGTAACACAGGATTAAAATGCCTAAAACTTATGTCGTGCACCTAGGGAATAGCAAGGAATTGATGGAAGTAGCGGAAGATAGTTTCGCCAAGAAAGTTCTCCGTGAACAAGTTCGAGAATCTCTTGGAGTGCGGAATGAAGACATACTATTTGGCATTATTAATAGTAAGTCATCTCATACATTATTTTTCTTCCTTAGTTCAAGAATCATAATCTTCTAAAGACTCAAAATGTACTTAATTACGTTTCGACTGGTGCTTCTCTTATCGCAGGTGTATCTCGTGGGAAAGGCCAAGATCTGTTCCTCCGAGCCTTCCATGAAAGTCTTAATATAATCAAAGAGACTAAGAAACTTCAGGTACCAACAATACATGCAGTGGTTGTAGGAAGCGACATGAGTGCACAAACTAAATTCGAGACAGAGCTACGCAACTTTGTCCAAGGGAGGAAACTTCAGAAGGTTGTCCATTTTGTTAACAAAACAATGAAAGTAGCACCATATTTAGCAGCCATTGATGTCCTTGTCCAAAACTCCCAAGCCAGAGGAGAATGCTTCGGTAGAATAACAATTGAAGCCATGGCTTTTAAGCTTCCGGTACTTGGTACTGCAGCAGGAGGGACAATGGAGATTGTAGTGAACAGAACAACCGGTTTGTTACACAACGCTGGTAAAGATGGGGTTTTACCTCTTGCCGCAAACATTGTGAAGCTGGCGACGAATATGGATATGAGGAGGACAATGGGGGAAAAAGGGTATGAGAGAGTAAAAGAGATGTTTTTGGAACATCATATGTCTCATCGAATAGCTTCCGTTCTCAGAGAAGTGTTGCAACATGCGAAAATTCACTCACGAACAACAAATTCAGATCATTAGACATATTTTAGCAAGGAAATGCCAATGTTACTTCATTTTACAATACACACTCTTCTGTTTCCATAAATTTTTTGTAGTTATTCTGTTTATAGAAACAAGTATTATTATTAATTTGAAAGAAAACTCAGTGCGTCAAATGGACCATATTTATAACTCTTGATAGATAAAGTGTAAGCGTCTGTTGAATTGAACCATACGAGGTGAGATGAGTTCTTGTTTTGCGCAGTGAAGATTATCAGACTATCAGAAGAGCTTGAAACAGCTAGCCCTGCTATAGTACGGCTTATTGTTGCCAAGCCAATGCTGCATATGAACTCCGATGGCGTCCAAGTTACAGCTACTCCTTCCATGGAACCCCAGCACTTTTCCTTGTGTTGTAGTCGAAGAGAAAAACGTCCCGTTTTCTTCACCGTATGGACCGTACTTCCCACGGCTCGTGAAGAAACTCAGTGACTTGACGACATTTGATCTGTCTGAATTGTTCAGTGGTCCATAAAACCCTGAAATGCAGGTGAGGGTTTCGTTTGGATACTCAAGTTTAATCTGCAGCACAGATTTGAGAGCATTAGAAATGGTTGTGATGCATAATGGCTTTTATTAAGAGAGAAGAAGGAATTGTTGTTTACCCTGTGTGTGGCGACTCCATTGTTACCACCATGTTTAGTGGACCAAACAGATTGTCCATTTCTATCGTACTCTACTTGTATTGAAGAGATAGAATCATTTCCTCTCGTCACAAATATCTGCTTGATCCCTGAAAATACTCCATCGTCCCACGATTGACCTCCTTGGCCTCCCCATGGTCCAGGCCCGCTTGGTGTTGGTTCTTTGACGACTCCACGCTCAACCTGTGAAAATTATTTAAAATACAACAAGTAGTCTGCTATTAGGGTCTTCAATCCAGATAAACCAACCAAACTTGAAAAGAACAATATGATTACCAAACAAGTCTTAATTTGGATAAGTCTTCAAAAAGATATACCCTACTAAAACCCGGAATCGTATAAACCAACCCATAGTAGAATTGTTTTACTGGATGCTATCCTAGAAACCAAAATTTGAACAACCGGAAAATACTATGGTGATGGAATCTACAAGTTACCTCTTCGCCTTGGCCGTTTGCTGCAAGGACTAGCTTATTAGCCCACGGGGAATTTTCGATTTCCACAGTGCCAGAGTTATTATAAGGAATAATTGCACTCTGAGGAGATGATGGCTTAAGGGAACTTATTTTGCATTCCATAACATGAACACCAATGGAATCAAGAAACAAACCCTCTCTTCCAAGGAATCCAACAACTCTACCCTCGTCCATTTTATGTGTAAAAGAAGGTCCTTGTTCTTCTCCAAAAGGTCCATGCTTCCCTTTGTTAGTGCGGAAAGTCAGTGACTTTATCACATTAGGTCCCATATATATCAACGGTCCATACGTTCCCGTTACATGTGTTAAAACCTCTGATGGGTAATCAAATACAATCTGCAAATTACATTCCGTCCAAAAAAAGAGTCTTAGATATATGAAGTGTCATTTAGCTTAAGCAAAACAAAAAAAAAGTTTAAAATTTACACACCTTATCATGTCTGAATCCTCCCGTGCCACCATGCTTGCTTCCCCACACAGCCTGTCCTCTAAAATCATAACAGACCTTCATCGACACAACCCCGACACTGCGTGACAAATTGATTTGTCTTATACCGGTATAAATACCATCGTCAAACATGATACCACCTGTCCCACCCCATGGTCCATATGTTTTCGCACCACCTTCAACTTTTGACTGCGACTTCTCAGTATCTGTCACCAACTGATGAAAACAAAAATTCGATTTAGTTAGTTTGTTAGGAAACTAAAAAATCGGATAAAACCTGGATGTCTTGAAATTACCTTTTGTTTGGGGATCTCAGCACCTGCATGATCACGAGATTCGAAAGAAGGCAAATTTGGATCTTTCTGCCTGAGGGCAACAACTATATCAAAGTTTTGCCCTACACTTCCTTGTATCACTGAGTACTCATGCTTCTTGTCACCATTAGGAAAATTTTGATGCGAGTGCAAAACGATTTTCGACGAAGGATGATTCTCTTTAGGAATTGGTTGAATGTGAACACCAATGGCATCCGTATACCAACCAGCCTTCCCGTGGAACCCAATAATCTTCGTCCCTGACTTTGGCAATGCGAAGAATGTACCTGACTCAACACCAAACGGCCCGTATTTTCTGTGGTTACTTTCAAGAGTAAGTGATCGGACACATATATTTCCCCAGGCATCAAAGCTACCGTAGGTTCCACTAACTGAAATCAGATACTCATGTGGGTAATCAAGTTTGACCTACACATCATGAGAAGGGTGATTAATTTCTGATAACTAAGAAAATATTTATAGAATAAAGAGTCTTAATCATACCTTATCAGACTTCCTGCCTCCCTTTCCTCCACGTCTTTCAGACCAAACTGAGCTACCGTTTTTGTCATATTCAACTTGTATAGAGTCTATACTAGAACCATGGGCTATAATTATTTGCCTTACTGTGGTGTGCATTCCATCATCCCAGGCATGACCACTTTGGCCTCCCCATGGGCCAACTGATGCAGGCTTGCATTCAACACTCTGCAGAAACAAGTTCAAGTTAATCTCATATAATCATAGCTGCAATATCAGCTTATATGTATTGAAAATTCATATTCTATAGAAAAACTGAAGAATGAGGCTAAACAAAAGATGATGCCAATACCATCCTCAGCTAAGATGATCTCTAAAGACTCGAAGTAAAGCAAGTGTGAGAAGTTCGAGTGAAGAGATAGCTGACTACTGCAACACATAGCTTAGACATTTGGTATGAATTTATATTGGATGAAAAGGTTACGTTAGTGGTTGGGGATTTTCTGGAATATCTTAGATAAAGTTGCAGAATACACGTTATACAATCAACTCATTCTGATTTCCACTATCAAAGGAAGTCAAGGAAGGAAAAAAGAATCATATTCTCCAAAGAATCATATTTCCCATCCCATCCCAAGATAACAAAATACCCACTACTGAACCTTCTTGAATTCAGTCAAGTTCCCAAGCAGGTGCACATTTCTTATTATATAAAGAAAGGATTTCAATGTGATTTTAGGAGCTTTTAAACTTAACTAATTTTACTCACCCCATGCTGCTAACAAACTAATCTCTTACTAACTGCAGAATCAAAATATGAGAATGATATAGCACGTGATTAAATGACAGCTCAAATTAAATTAAGAGGTACCTTAGCGGTTGGTTAATCACTCTACCAATAATCTTTACAGGAACAATCTCCATTCTTAAAGTGGTGTAAGCATTTTGTGTCGTCCAACAAAATGTCACAGTCATATCTCCTAGAGACGTACTTTGCAGTATTATGGCAATCTCGGCACATCCTAAGATTTTTTATGATCCTTATCGTTGTCTTAGGTGCACGCGATGAGGAAATGAGACCAAACGCCATGGCAAGCTTTTCGCTGTGGATTCCACAACTTGCTTCCCTTCCCTCTTCATCAATCAAAAGTTCTCCATTATATTGGTCACTTCTATTATCAAGCCTACACATTTTTTCCACACAGGGATACAGCACATCGGTACATAATTTCGACCGATCACCTGTCGTAAATGTATGAATTAAATTTCTGACTTCAATCCAGCTCTGCCCAAGAGGTTTCTTCAGCAAGTTCTCTCTCCTAGGCTTCTTTCCTTCTAGTGATCTCCCAAGTTTTGCACCTAATGCATAGATCTGCGAAACCATATTTTCAGAGACCGGATTTTCAGGTTCCAAGGAGAATAAGTTCTCTGCTGCGTGGATTGCCATGTCAATATCACCATGAATCCTGCAGCCAGTTAAGAAACTTTCCCAGATGGGTGTCTCTGATTGAATATTCATCTCCTGGATAAACTGCAGAGCTTCTTCAAGTCTGTTGGATCGACCGTACAAAGATACCATAGCAGAACAATGTTCCAGAGCAGGAATAATATGGTAATCATTCGCAATGCTGTGGAAGACTTTCTTTCCTTCAACTACATTTCCCATTAAACCGTGCGCAAGGATAATACTTGAAAGAGTTCCCCTGTTTGGCTTGATACCCTGTGTCTTCATTTGATTAAAAAGATCAAGAGCTGGACCATATTTACCATGTAAAACATAACCTCCAATCAGCGAGTTCCAAGTTATGATATCTTTCGTTTCCATACCCTTGAAGATGCTTCTTGAGTATCCTATATCCCCTGACTTAGCGTAAGTATCTGTTAAAGCGTTTTTAACAGCATGGATAGCATCTAGGTTTCTCCGCAATACACAACCGTGTATCTCTCTTACCATTTTGGCCCCAAGAAGATTTGCACAAGCAGGTAAGAGGCTTAGAATTGTAACTGAATTTGGCATGAAACGAGAGAACTGCATTTTTCGAAAAAGTTCCAAGGCCTCGTCCTTTTTACCGTTTTGTATGTAACCAGCAATAATTAGGTTCCATGATGCAGTATTCCGCTGAACTTTTCCATCTTTTTCCATCCTCTGAAATAAGTCCATAGCCTCACCCTCGTCTCCATTCTTAATATATCCTGAGATCATCGTGTTCCATGTGATAATATTTGGTCTTACATTTGCATCTTGCATCTTTGTAAACAATTCATAAGCCTTGCCACAATAGCCTGCTTGGCAATACCCAGTTATCATCGAGTTCCAAGTATATACATCCTTATTCTTTACCGAATCAAAAACTTTTCTTGCATCTTCCAGTTCTCCACACTTCGAATACATATCAACCAGAGAATTCCCCACAAGCACATCATCGATAAAACCCATCTTCACAGCAACAGAGTGAACTTCTGAGCCCAGGTTTAGAACTTTTAAACATGAACAAGCCGATACAGCACTCATAATAGTGACTCCATTCGGCACTACACCTGCTAAAAACATCTTCCTAAACATGTCTAGTGCCTGAAACCTCATCCCATTATGAATCAAGCCCGAAATCATAGCTGTCCAAGTAAACACGTCAGCAGTTAAACCAAACCTCTCCATCTTCTGCATCAAATTCATTGCATCTTCACATTTGCCTAGCTGGTTATAACCCCCAATCAATATGTTCCAAGTAACTAACCCTGGCGCTATTCCTTCTTTTTCCATCTCTTCTACCAACCGTACAGCTTCTTCATGTTTACCATTTTGGCAGTAAGCTAACAGTACAGAGTTCCAAGCAACCACATCTCTCTCCTTCATGCGTCTAAAAAACTTTGTAGCGGAATCCAAGTCACCACATTTTGCATACACAGCTAAAATAGAGTTACTAACACGAAGACACGAACTCATCCCGAGTTTTATGACCACCGAATGAATCAACTTCCCAGTCTCAACATCTCCACAATTGGCACATCCCTGTAATATCTTGGGGAACAAGAAAGCATCAGGCAAAACTCCATCTTCCATCATCGAATGAAAGAGGTTAGAGACTTCTCTCCACCGATTCTCCCTCGAGTAAGCACCAATCATGGCAGACCATGTATAAAGGTTTCTCTCACGCATAGAATCAAACACCTTACGGGCATCAACAAGGCACCCACATTTAGCATACATGCTCAACAGCTTAGTCTCCACAAAGACGTCAGGTTCAGGAAACAGACCGAACCGAGCATGAAGGATACGACCCAAATGGATAGAACCAGAATCAATGCACGCCTCCAACAAGTTGAGGTAAGTGCTTCGTTTTACCTTGGATCCTTGTTGAAACAACGAGTCGAGAGCTTTCTCAGCTTCGAGCAGACTTCCATTTCTACACAGATAATCCAATTGCTCGTCAGGGATGATATTGGGTTCTTTCTTCTTCATGAAAGATAGATTTTTCTTTCTGGATTTTGGATTAACGTCAGGAGAATTCTCAACCTTTGCTGGGACCTGATAATTCAAACAAGTTTTGGGAAATGATGGTATGAAGAGCTTCTCCATTTTCAACAAATACTGCTATTCACTTAAACAGCTCTAAAGTCTTTTCCTTTATCTCTGTTTCCGCTTTGAATCTCCAACGAGAATCAACAGATTACAGAGTAATAAGAGTTTAAAGCTCAACGAAGAAGAAGATAAGGAAGCACGAAGAACCTCGGTAAATGGTGTTCCATTGGGCAAAAAATATGAAACGTTTAGTGATAAGATTTTATTTTCCAATCAAATTTTAACACGTGGCACATGCCTGTTCGCACAAAAAAAAATTCAAGAGATTTCATCTCACAGATGAGAGTTTACAGTTTTGGTGATTTAAAAAAATTACAGAATTTGTGGTTTGCGGAGGTAGAACATCATCAACAGATCAGTGCAGACTTAAAACAGTCAGAGATCAACTAACTTCTACATTATTCATATCTCCATCTACAATATCCCCATTAAGATTAGCGAAACATAAGATAACAAACTGGACCTTATAGATATTATTATGCCTCAAACTGAGTTAAGCAGTGGCAACACCAGTATGCTTCACTATAGTAGCCAGAAGATCGTCTTTCCTCGCACCAACAAGCTTATCCACAACTTCGCCGGCTTTCATGAACACAAAGGTTGGCATTGCCTCCACACCAAACTCTTGAGCAACACTCTAGTTAACACAGCATAAGTATATATAGAATGTGTCAGTGTATGTGCAAATTGCGGCATTAACTTTAGAGCCTAATTGCTATGAAAGTGTGTTTGTTTGTGTGGTTTCACCTGAAGTTCGTCAACATCCACCTTGAAGAAGATTGCACTCGACATGAACTTCTTAGCCAAATCGGTGAAAACTGGAGCAATCAGACGGCATGGTGGACACCATGAAGCAGTGAAATCTATCACAATCTGAAAACAATGACATTATAATACCATTAGAAGACTAAATTACCTAAAGCCATCAACATTAAATTTCAACATAATGGTTATATTAACGAAACAAAGAACACAACACATGAGACAAAAAAAAAAAAAAAAAACAGTCAAATAGTAACACAATACAAGTCAGTGAAGAAGGAAGACACTCTAAACAGAGTATACAGATATTTTTTCACCCATTAAAACGATGAATATCTAACCAAAGGTTTTGGTTCCACCACAATATTGTTGTGAGCTTGTGATCTCCTTAAATCATTTCTACGTTAGGCGAAATTCAAAACCTCGGTGTAAATGTCTATATTTAAGGCGAAACATAACCTGAACTGAAAGAAAACCCCTAAAATGTTTTCTTCGAAACCACCACTAAAACCAAATCGCAGGCATTGGAAACGAAAACCCTAATTCCCAAAAATCAAAAATAGAAGGAAAACAAAAGGGGAGACAGAGAAGCGTGACCAGCTTGTTGGACTCTTTGGCTTTGTCGAGTTGAACGGTCCATACATCGTTCGCGTGGCAACCGATCACTTGTCCTTCTTCTGCCGCCATTTCTTCTATACCTGAGGGAACAAGGTAAAACCAAAATCCTCCGATCAACACTTTTTATTTTTTTCTTCCGTGCCGGCCTCTTAGTGAAAAAGCCAAATGACAAAGACATATTGACATAATTACCCCTGCATATATACACGGTTACTACGAATTGGCATCCAGCTGGACCGGACCGGTGGCTCGCTTACGGCTCATGCATGTACCATTTGTTTGTACCTTACACACGATACCAAAGTGCTCCATCACATTGGTCTCTCGTGTCTCAAGTTCGAATTCGCTCCTCAACACCTATTTATATTTTCTTCAAACAAAAAAAAATAATAATCGATCTGTAACCACAAGAATGAAATAAAATATCTGATGAAATATATTTTTTTTTCTCTACAGATAAGATTATATCACTAAACCTTAATCAGTTGTATCGTTCCTCTCTTCCTTTCACTGTAATGGCGCTTCCAAGCACAGTCTCATCTCCTTCCTTCAAATCAACTCCGCCGTATCTCTCCGCCTTCACCCCTAAATCTCTGCATCTCCCAGCTACGTACCGTATCCTCAACCGTCGTAGCTGTAAGCTCAGCTCCTTCAGATGCTCATCTTCCTCCTTCTCCGAGAAGCACCACAACGCGAACCCACCAAAATCAGATGACCTCGTCGAGCTCCCTCTCTTCCCGCTACCTCTCGTTCTCTTCCCCGGCGCAACAATCCCGCTTCAGATCTTCGAGTTCCGTTACCGAGTCATGATGCAAACGCTCCTCCAATCCGATCTCAGATTCGGCGTCGTCTACTCCGACGCCGTGTCAGGCTCCGCAGCTGGAATCGGATGCGTCGGAGAGATCGTGAAGCACGAGCGTCTCGTCGACGATCGATTCTTCCTAATCTGCAAAGGCCAGGAGCGGTTCCGCGTGACGGATCTCGTCCGCACGAAACCTTACCTCGTCGCGAAGGTGACGTGGCTTGAAGATCGACCGTCCGGTGAAGAGAATCTTGACGAATTGGCGAATGAGGTTGAGGTGCTGATGAAAGAAGTGATTCGATTGTCGAATCGATTGAATGGGAAACCGGATAAGGAATCACAGGATTTGAGGAAGAATCAGTTTCCGACTCCGTTCTCCTTCTTCGTCGGAAGCACGTTTGAAGGAGCTCCAATGGAGCAGCAAGCGTTGCTGGAGCTTGAGGATACGGCGGCTAGGCTAAAGAGAGAGAGGGAGACGCTTAGGAATACACTCAATTACTTGACCGCAGCTTCTGCTGTGAAAGATGTCTTCCCATCGCAGCCATAGTTTATATTGGTACCTAGAAAATCTCTGGTCTCTCTTTCTTTTTAATGTTTTCAGTTATTGGATACATCATATTTGAAGAATGTGTAAAGTTTCGGACACTTAGGTACTAGATGGTGGACATGTTTCCATAGGATCGTTATAGTTGGATTGATCATGAAAAAAGGGTTTTACTTTTATTGGCTCTGTGATAAAAGAATAGTCTAGTGATGCAAGTATGGTTCTTAATTTTCAAAATGGTATCCAAAGATGCTTGCTTTATCAGAGTTTCAGTGCAAAATCTTTTAATTGCCTCCTATGATCATAGGATCATTATGTTGGGTTGATCGAGAATAGGGTTTTTCCTTAGGATCAAAGAATGGTCTACTGATTCAAGTAAGGTTCTTGGTAGTACCAAGTTGGTACCATATCATTGCTTCTTGAGTTGCCATGTTATTGAAAATGTTATGCTAGAAGTTCGCTTGATCACAGTTTCAAATTCAGTGCCCCCTAACGTTTTAGTACTGAAACTGTTATACCGATGATGAACAGGGGAATTCAAAACACACATGTCTAGAACTGATAGAGATGTGTAATCCATGAAGGTTAGGATTAGTGGCTTTGCCTTTGTGAATCTATTAACACATATTAAGATTATGCCTACTTCAGCTATGCCCTTTCGACAAACTTTGGCTGCTTAAGTTTTTTGGTCAAGACATGCTTACTTGTTTAGTATTAAGATATGTAATTTGAAAAGGTTCAGACTTCAGGGTATTTGAGAGCCTATGGGTTATATATAGTTTTTAATAAGATTACGTTCTAGTGGAAGTGGGTATAGCGTCGTAGAAACAGTGTGGGGACGTTTTTATAGTCAAACGAGGCGATTATCGATTATTGTTAAAGAGACTTTGTATGATTCATTGATTCTTAACCCTTCTTATTTTGGTTGAACAAATGATCAATGTTAATCTGATTTCAAAGTTTGCTTAGTTACAGCAAACAAATTGATTATAATTCATTATAACCACGCACCATGAATGATCATATCTTAATCATCACATAATATAATCATATATTGAAATCTTCGCATCAAGTATAAGATTGTAAAGTCATAAGCTTCCATCAAGTAATAATATTGTAAAGATCAAGTCACAAAGGAGACACGTATTTAAGATTATTCATATTCATATTGCAAGTAGTAAGCTGCCAAATTGGGCACCGTGTTTGTTTAAATTTTCCGAAACGTAGGATGTTGGACAACCCCGTCATCTTGTTTGTTAATGCTAACGAAACGAAACGAAACGAAACAAGTCAATATAAACTATTGCTAGACCATTTTCTTAATAAACTCACAGATCATAAATCGAATCCGGAATATTCATTGAGAGTAAACAGTTAAATCCTGAATATTCCAATCAGTTTACGATTATTGCTTGGATCTTGTGAAGACAAGAATAACTTAATGAAGTGGTTAATTACTTACACTTTTTGGATAGTGAAGCAACGCGGAACAACTTTTAAAACGACGACGCGTAGACATGAGCTCACTTGATTGACCAATACAGGTCCATTACGCCGCCAGCGAAGACTTTTGTTGCCCATATATAATCTCCCCTTCTCTTTCCTTCATCCCACAACACATCATCTACTCAAAATATCACAACAAGACTCAATCGCCGACATTCATTGAACTCAAATCGATTGGAATCTCCGACAACAATCAATCAGTTCCAATCCATGGCTCAGAATCAACAACCAATTTTTCAGACAAAGCCACCAGGTAATAATAGTACTAACCGGATGAGATATCTCCTTTATTGATCTCTTCTTCTTCCGAAATGATTCTAATTTCATCTTTTCTCTTTTTGCAGAACAATTTGTGCAGATACCAATCAACATCGAGCGTGATTCTTCAACCGCACGCATGAACCAAACCGAAACTTCGAACCGGAAACCAAACCACTGGCCAACGATCACCATCTCGATCATCTTCGTTATAATCGGTCAATCCATAGCGAAACTCCTCGAGAACTTCTACTACGACCAAACCAACCGAAGCGAATACAACGAAAACCGTCAAAACGATGGCGTTTGGACTCAGGCTCTTCTCCAAACCGTTGGTTTCCCTCTCCTTCTCATCCCTTTCTTCATCTTCATCACAAAGAACAAACGCAACCATCATCAACAGCCTCCGATTACTTCCGATTCAATCCACTTGAAATCCTTAGCCGTGATCTACATTTGTATCGGAATTGTTATGTCGGTTCAAGGAAGACTCTCAGCCATGGGAAAGCTCGAGATCCCGTTTGGTGTTTTCACTCTGATCTACACGACACAGCTCTTCTTCACTCCCATCTTCGCAGCTTTCATCAACAAAAACAAATTCAACCGATGGGTTGTTATCTCTGTGATCTTAGCTATCGTCACCGGAGCTCTTACTCTGTCCTCTTCATTCGGCGGCGAGCCAGATGAAGCAGAGGAGAACTACGCTAGAGGCGCATGGTCGGCTCTGTTCGCCGGAATCTGCTTCTCTCTACTCCTATGCAACATCCAAAACGTCTACGACAATTACATCTTCAAACGCACCGAATCGACCAATAAAAAACCAAGCTTTGCCTCTGTTTTCGAAGTCATAATCTTCTCCTCCCTCGTCGCTACGATCATCTCCGCCGTGGGCCTGCTTATCGCCGGCGAGCAACACAATTTGAAGAGGGAAATGAATGGTTTCTCCAAGGGTGAAGGTTCGTACGTGATGGCTATGGTCGGTCAAGCTGTTTCGTGGCAGATATATTGGGTTGGGATCGTGGGACTTGTCTACTCTGTCTCGAGCGTGTTGTCGAATGTGATCAGTGTCATTACGTGGCCGATCGTGTCGGTTCTTGTGGTGATCTTCTTCAACTTCATGGATGATGATTTCGATGTCTTCAAAGGTATCGCCTTGGTTACAGCCGTCTTGAGCGCCGTCGCTTATTTCATTAGGCTTCATAAAGAGAATCGTATGGCATATTAAGTTTTTTCCTTAATTTTTTGTGTGTGTTTTAATCATATATTTTAATTTGTTTATTTGTGTGTAAACTGTTAAGTGTAAGTGTGTAACAGCTTCGGTTTTAGATGTAAATTGATTTAATTTTTTGTTCGTAATGTTGTATGTTTTACAATGAAATTAACCATTTATATATAAGGTCCTTGTTACTCAATATCATATGACAGGAAATTGGAATCCTATATAGTATGTTTTAAGAGCACTGTCGACTTGTGAACTAACCTGGATTGTGCCCATATTAGAGACTCCACTGCATAAATCTATAGAACATGGAGATAAAAGATTTAACATTGTATAGTTATGTATAAAAACCTATGGTGAATAACTTTTTTAGTTAATTTTTCTTCTATGGTTCTAAAAACCACGTTTTCTTTGTCATGAATATGAACCCACATGGAAGGGTTAAAATTTAAGACACATTGATATAGACATACACATGCCCTCACTTCATTGACTAGTATACACTTCCAGGGTCGACCACTCTTTATAAACACCACACATCAGATTTTCCTAAACATTATCTATCAATTATTTTCACTCTCCGACATCAGTTCCAAGCAAAACCATGGTCAAAAATCATCAGATAGTTCAAACCAAAGCACAAGGTGATGTATTCCAAATATCATTCTTATAATTAAGTATCAATTACTCACTATGAATTGTCTCGACTCTCAGATCTATTAGATTCTCAATTCTTGTTCTTGTTCTCAATTCTTGCAGAAAATTTTGTGCATATACCAATCAATATAAAGCAAGAATCAACCACACTCATATATCATTGGCCAACCATTATCGTATGCATCATCTTCGTCATCACTGGTCAATCCACAACCAAACTCCTCGAAAACTTCTACTATAACCAACTGCAACGAAAGGACTACAACTCAAACCGCCAAAACGACGGCGTTTGGACTCAATCTCTCCTCCAAACCGTTGGGTTCCCTCTCCTTGTCATCCCTTTCATCTTCTTCACCACCAAGAAACACAACCAACAACAACCTCCGATCACCTCTGATCGGTCCACAACAAAAGTAGTACTTTCTTTCTCAGGTTGTATCGGAATGCTCTTGACGGGTCATGGAAGACTCTCCGGTAAGGGAAAGCTCGAAAGCCCCTTTAGGGTCTTCACTCTTATCTACACAACACAACTCTTCTTCACACCTGTTTTGGCCGCCTTCATCAACAAAATAAAATTTAATAGATGGATCATCATCTCTTTGATCTTGGCAATCGCCACCGGAGCTCTCACTTCCTTCTCTTCCTCATTTGGTGGCGAGCCAGACGAAACAGAGGAGGATTACGCAAAAGGCTCATGGCCAGCTCTGATATCCGGCGTTTACTTCTCTCTCATCCTCTGTATTATCGAGAACGTTTTCAAACGTACCGAGTCAACCACTAGAAAACAGAGCTTCGCCTCTGTTTTCGAAGTCGTTATCTTCTCCTCCCTCGTCGCTACGATCATCTCCGTCATGGGTTTGCTGATATATGGAGAGCAACACGATTTGAATAGGGAAATGAATGGATTCTTGAAGGGGAAAGGTGCGTACGTGATGACTCTGGTGGGTCAAGCTGTCTCGTGGCAGATCTATTGGGTTGGGATCGTGGGACTCGTTTTCTCCGTTTCGAGCGTTTTATCAAACGTCATCACCGTCATTACGTGGCCGATCGTGTCGGTTCTAGTGGTGATCTTCTTCAGCTTTATGGACGATGAATTTGATGTCTTCAAAGGTGTCGCCTTAATCACTGCGGCCTTAAGCGCGGCCGCTTACTTCTATAGGCTTCACAAAGAGAATCTTAACTAAGTAACATAGGGGAATATATTTCTTGATATTGTTTGTGTGAGTATGTGTGTTACTTCTAAATGTATATTTTATTTTTGAATTGTAAGTCTTTAAGCACTCTTGTTTGAAGTACGGTAGATGATTCAGCTTTATTGAGTGAGTATGTGTGTTCTTTGTCCTTCCTCCTCATCTAGTTAGTAGTTAGGTTGAACCATCCAAAACATGATCGTTTCATTCCCGTGGCATTAGATGGCATTGATACTCTTGAATCTGTATCATCTAATCTGTATTTAAGATGTTAGCAACAATTAACATTCATATATTTTTAAAGAACATATAGATCTGAGATAACAATGTGAAAGAAAGATGATTCATCTCGTTTTGGTTTTTTACCTTACGAATTTTCTCTCTGGCCACCTATATATTGAGATTTGTACATTTTCTGAGAGCATCAATCACATATTGTTGGAGCTTTGTAATGAGAAAACAAAGTAAAAATTGCTTCTAGAATAAGAGAAAGAAAAGTTCAATAGCGCAAGACTTTTCTTATTGATCTGATACTTCATTTCTTATAAGATTTTAACATATTTGTTAAACACTAAATAAGGAAAACTAAGTAATTTCTTAACATCAAATATGTGAAGGAGATGAGATTCCATCCAACACATACGTATGAACCAAAAAAACTAGCAATATTCCGTTTAATATATTTCATGAAATGAAATAGAAAACTGATTAAAAACAATAAAATAAGATATATATATATATATATAATTAATTTGAAAAACACAAATTTAGGAAACCAAGCGTTACACAATAAAGTGAAAAAAAACAGAACGTCGCTCTCTCCTCTCCCTAACAGTAAACCCTAGCCTCCATTTAAGCTCTGTGGCTGGGAAGTCACTCCGGTGGTCGGCACTTCTTGTTGACGCCGTGAGTGGCTTCCCCTTTAGGAGTTGTTCTAGTTTTTTGGTTCAGCAGTCTATCTATCTCTTAGTGCTTGGTGGAAGAAAGCTTAATCGAGCAAAATGGTAGATTTTCACGGCGGGGATCGTTGGTGCCGTCAGTGGTTAGCTTCTCCAAAGAGAGTTGTTGGTTGGTGTCCGAGATCTCTAGATCTGTCGGGTGCTCTGTTTTTGTAAGAGGTTTGGTGTTTCACGAATCCTTGGCCATAGTCTCAGCCATTTTTGCTTTCGGTAAGCGGGTCTTTTGGCTGCTCTTCTATGCCGATTTGCTAGAGTCAGATGGCTTTCTTTTAGTTGGTTATGTATAGTGGTTGCTTAATTTGTTCCTTGGTAGTTTCGAGTTCAGCGGTAGTAGCCTTCATTTGGGAAGTCCTTTGTCTTGATTCAAGTGTTGATGGCTTGTGTTGGTGGTGTTGTTGGAGCGCTCATTTGAGCTGGATCTTGTATTTACAGAGAATGGGAGGATTCCGGATCAGTTTGATCGACGGGTTGGGCTCATTGGTTATACTCTTTGTCTATACTTGAGCTGGTTATGATTTTGTTGATGTTCATGTGCTTATCGTTGTGTCTAAGCCTCCAAGTTTCATGCTGTCTCCTCGTCTCAGCTGTGGATTTCCTTTGGATTCGTTTTCCTTCTAAAGAGAGGTTTCGTTTTGTTTGAATGTGATGATAGAAAATCTGAAGTTTGCCGAGTTCCCTCTTCTTGTTGTCGTTCTCTGTGGATGTTAGCTTTCTCGCTATTCGCCGATTTCGTTTATGTGATTGGTGGTTTGAGGAGTTAAGCTTCGCTCCTTGCGTTTTGAAGACTTCTAGTTTGACGTACTTTGGCGTATCAACGTCGTCGTCGCTTCCGGATGTGAGTGGTCTTGCTTGCCGTGTTATGAAGTCTCTGGTTCCTGGTTTTGAGAGATTGGCTCTCCGCGTGTTAGGAGGTAGTAGATGTTATCCTTGAATTGGCCGTGGGCATTCGGGGTAAGTCTCATTCGATTGTGCTCCAGAAGAGGAGGTGCTTTGTTTTCTCGTTTCTTTTATTTCTCTTAAGGTTTTATCGCCGGTTGCCTCTTTTTTAGATTTTGGTTTCGTTTCCCTTTTGATTTGGCTTAAAAACTTGTGTTATGTTTGTAGTTTTCCGATCGTTTCCCTTTTATAGGGCGTAGCTTCTGGGGAAATTTTATTTCTGCCGGCTTTGACTCCGGGGATATTTACGTCGTCCGCCGGCTTTAGTTTCCCTCTTTTGGGCTTTGTATTTCATCTTTGACACCAAATCAAGTTTTAATAAAATTCCAGTTGACAAAAAAAAAGGAAACCAAGCGTTAAACTTTGGGTCCAAATTTTTGAGGATAGTTTGAGATAGTTTACAAATGATTCACACAAAAAACTTCATCAACTCTAAGGGACCAACCTTTTCATGCATATATGGTCGTTGATATGTAAAAACATTTCATTTGCATTTGTGAAGAAAAAAAAAGTATATGGTATATATATAAAATGTCATATCTGTCGTAATCGATTAGGTGTACTAGAGATGTTGTGGAGAATAGATGCATCAAAAACCTAGTCTTTTTTACATTGACCATTGACCTTTATTATGCTTCTTGTTTTGAGTCATGTCATTTCCTTTATGTCCAACATACAGTAATTAACAAGCTAAGTGTTCTCCACTTTGAGGAGATTAAGTGACAAAAATGAACATTAGTTGCAAAGATTATATAAGAGAAAGAGAGAGATTGCGAGTTGAGAGAACACATGTCTCGAGTCAGACTCACTACAGTCTACAGTATTTGGGAAACTTCACTCTTTTCCTCCGTCAGTACTTTACATGTCCTAAAACAATAATTATTGTGGTAAGTGATAACGATTATTATTGACAGTTTCATCAGACAAAACGATCATTTTTGACAGTTTCACTTAGCAAAATAATAATCATAAAAACATTCAATTTTGTGTTATGATAGTCACATCCATGCATGTTATAGCCTAATGGATAAAAACGGTAAGTTTTTGTAGAGAAGTAGTAGTTGGTAAATACTCTTTATTTACATTCATCAACACCACTTAATTAACAGTCACATGTAATGTATTGTCCTCATAATTTTGATGTTTTTTCTTCACAATATAAATATAATTAAACGACCTAACGTCCGATCTCCCACAATAAGTCGTCATCTCCATGTGAGAACGACAACTTCGTTATTACATGCCGATCAAAATACAAGCGAAACACTCAGCAAAACATCTTCTATTCGATTAGTATTCAGTCCCATTATGTTACCGGAAGGAACTTGAGTTTCAACATAAGTTACGGCTGTATAGGCTGTTATATATGTACTCTCTCTACCATAGACAAATGTAATGAAATTAAATTTGGAATGTTGTTTTTAATATGAAACAATAGAGCAATACATTATAGAGTGGATTTTTTAATATGTTAAATTTCCTATATATTCTCTCTCTCTTTTTGTAACAATGCATGGATGTATAAGCTTGTGAACTAATGATGGCTTCTATTTTCTACTGTTTTACTGCAAAAACTGGGTTAGGCAACATAAAGAAAAAACATTTATAAAAATAGAATTCAAATTGTTTGCTCAATGGAACACGAAACCTAGTTAAGTCCTGTTTAAGATCCGGCAAGCAAACGGATAAACTGGGAAAAAGCAGCTTCGAGTTCAACACCCAGCCAGAAAGCTTACTCACTATCAAACCCAACCCTATTTTATACACAAGAGAAAACACTTTTTAAAACCCTATTTTATACACAAGATCAAACTCTTTTTAAAAATAAAATTTAAAGAAGCTATGTCGATCGCATTGGGAAGATCAAACATTAAAAAGAACAAGCAGAAGATCAAATTTAAACTCTGACACTAACTCAATAGTACTAACAGTCTTTAACTCGTTTCTCCCCAAATTTATTTTTAAATATGACAATAATAATCTCTCATCTATCTCAAGGAAACGTACGATGTGCATGTTAATCAGTACTCACAAACCCTAGGTAGGTACGACAAGTCACCATATTGTCCGACAACAACAAAAATACTCAAATAAACCATCTCTCGTACTCGTAGATCTCTCATAGTTATAAGAGTAATTATACCTAATCATAAACGTTTTAAAGACTTATATAACATCTTCATATGTTGAGATCTCAAGATCTAGGAGGTGCAAAGAAAGGCGTACCGGCGGCGACAAATGCATTGAACGGAGCCGCCGCCGCCGCAGTGTAAAGGGACGACGGGTCAATCGATCCGTTATTATTGTTAACGACGGTCACGGCGGTTGTAGCAGCTGCTGAAGCTGTCGAGTCCAAGAGGTTTAAATGGTGGTGTTGAGAGGTTTCGGCGTTAAGGCTGGAACTGTAGCGGTGATGATCCGATGGACCTTGGTCGTAGAGTATGCCTTTGAACACGTGTCCTCCGATGTTTACAGCCGTTTGATAAGCATACTCTTCGTCTTCATCGTCGATTGAGCTGACTCTCATACACCGGAAAACCGCCAGTGAACTTATCTCCGGTGGTAAATGACTAGTCTCTAACCCTAGTTTAATTATATAAAAAAAAAAGAATTACTTCTTCATCAAAAAAATAATAATAATAAAGAATTACTTCAAAAACTATATAATAAAACCTAAGTTTCTATATAAGCAAATAGAAAACAAATCCATGTAAGCAACACATAATTAAAATATGTTTATTTTTATATCGAAGTTTCGATTTGAATAATATATGGAATAAGAAACAAATTCTTGTAAACAAAACCTAAGCTTGGATTATTGAGTTTTAAGTCACATATTCAAATTTGACCCCAAAAAAGTCAGATATTCAATATATAAAAACCAAATCTTGAGAGTGGGTTAAGCATAGTAGCCTCAGGAAAACCGTTTACCAAAGAATAGTGACTGAGAAAAAAAAGTGTTAATCAAAATCAAACAGCAAAAAATAAAGCAGCAAAATCCGGTGGACATCTATTCACAATCAAATAACATTGTTTGCTTTCTTGTCAACCCATTCAAAATCAAATCTTATCATTAAAAAACGTTTAGATCTTTTCTAAAATTTGCAAAAAGTTTCACTCGATGTTAAGTAATCAGAAACTCATCGTCATACCTAAAGAATTAGCATTAACCACACGGGTGCAAGCAAGAGCCGAGCCACCAGCACAATTACTGTCGTCTCCAAGGCCATTTTTCTCGTCCTCTCTGTCGTCACCATCACCATCACCATCATCGTCATCACCACCGCCAGAGCTAGCGTCTCTTATCCGCTTAGCTGGCAAAGAAGCTAACTGAGCCTGTCTCTCACGGCGTTTAGCAGCGGGGACCCACGTGCTCTTCACGTGTGTTTGGCAATCAAACCCTCGGCTCTTACAACAAGTACGACATCTCATATGAGGACAATCTTTCTTGGCTTGATTCCCACAGTCTTGGCAATTCATGTTTCCTTGCCTCGTCACCGTAAACCCTCCTGTAGAGGTTCTCACCGGCTCATGGTCGGAGACGACGTTGAAGTACAAACTCCGGTTAGTACCCCGGTTATTAGTGTTACTGCTACCACCACTTGGGACCATACCAAAAGAGTAGAGATTTGTTGGAGCAGCCACTTGGTTTTGTTGATGCTGTTGAAAATATTGAGGTGGCCAAATCTCAAAACCCTTGTTGTTGTTGTAGATCTCGTCTTTGTATAGATAGAGATAATTGTTGCTCTTGTCTTCGTTATGATCCTTGTCTTGATGATGATGATGGTCTTGTTTGTTGTTGTGATCTCTCCCTCCTAGATAGAACAATCCAGCCATTTCTTCTCCTGCTTCCACTTAATACAAACCAAAAGAAATTTAAGAGAGAGAGAGAGAGAGTTTATGAGACTCTTTTGGGGTTTGTGAATAAATAATTTTTTGGGGATTTGAGTTTTTTTTTTTTTTTTACCTTTCTCTTTTGCTATCTAGCTCATTAATTTGTAGCTAGACTTGGGAGATATATATGTGTTTGGTATTATAGAAGGAGCAGATTTGGGAGCAGATGGAGAGAGTAATGATGATAAATGGTGCGAGGAAATTTAAGCAAAACTGCTGCAAACGCCGCCAAGGTTTTTATTATTGCTTCTCTTCTCTTTTCTTCATCATTTAAGACATTGTCTCTGTGATCAAGAACTCAAGCAATTAACTGCTACTGCTGGTTGTCTCTCTCTGTGGGTAGAAAAAGAGAGAGAGAGGAGAGAGGAGACTAAAGAAGAGATAGAGAGAGTACTATGAAGATCTTCTTCTATGGGGCACTTTCTCTACAGTTGTCTTCCAGTTTCAATGAATCCCCATCACAATAAATATTAAATTATTTTTATATCTATATGCATATATTAAATCCTTACAATACATATGTAGACCATATATTTTTTTCATATGGTAATCAATCAAAATAGTATTAATTAATAATCCAAAAAAAAAAAATAGAAACTACTCAAAAATTATAAAATAAAATAACGGAGATGGAGATTTTCTATATTATTTAATGTCTTCAAGAAATTAATACTTCAAAAGAATAAAAAGTATATATCAGATAAGATAAATCAATCACCAAACCGAGTTAGCTAGTGGGTTAAAGACAAGGTCCCGGTTTTTTAAAGTTAAAACCAAACAGGAGCTAGTCTGTTCAAGTCGCATGCATGTTTATTACATAGCTAGGTCCGACCGGTCGGATCACTCCGTATTAAAACAACACTCTTGTTCGATTTTGAAACCAGCTAAATTACGTTGCCGGTTAATCAGATGGTGTGATTAGACGGTCATTTGACATAATTTTTTTACCGGATGTGATGTAATGTTTTATACTTTTCAAACGGTGCCTCGTGCGGTAGTATTTTAATATTATCTCTGTGTCTTTTGCCTCTTTTGTTTTTGTCGGCAATTTGCTTCATTTGGCCTTAATCAAAGAGATAAGACCATCTCCACTAAAATACGATCTGGCTGAAATAAAATTCTAAAAGGATTAACACTTTAGATCATTTTATTTGTTTGGTACGTTATCAAGCTTATTATTTTCGCATGCATGTTTCTTAACTTCTATTGCAAACCGCTAAATTGAATTGTAAAGAATATTATAAATTATTTGCTGTGATTGTTTAAGAAGTTTTCTCTTTTTGATGGAATATAATAGAATTCTTACCTCAAATTATCTAAACTTATCCAACCCAATAATCGAATGATATAAGACAATAATAGCTGAGTTTCATAATTGAAAACTTTAACAAGCTAGTGCTGTGTAAATGCTGTTAAACAAAGTAATTATATACAGTAAATGTGATTTTTAATGGATAATTGCTTGACAGCAAACCCTATAGATATAGTCTAAGTTGTTTAGGTCACGAGTAATAATTATCAAACCAACAGATGGATAGGATCCATTTCGTTCCCCCAACCAAACTTACTCCATGAGGAGATTGTTTAAAGGTTTTTTAGAGATATACAAAATCCTAAAGTTTGATCTAATTAAAATTTATTTAGATTTTTTTTTTTTTTGTATTGATCAGATACCTCTTATAAATCCGTGATATAATTAAGTAACCTGGCCATATCATAGGCTATAAAGTAAAGGAGAAAAAAGTTAAACCTCCTTTTAATTGGCGAGGGAGTGAGACCAAACAAGCAAATCCACTCCGAAGTCCTTGATCACATGGAACCGCGTGATTTAGCGGCGCAATTTAATGTTAACTATAGTATTTAGCGTCATTATATTTGGTATTTAACTAAACTCAAGTCGAATAAATTTCAAGTCAAAAGTCAATAGTAAAATACTTTCAAATGGCATATCTAAGTTTAATAAACCCAAAAACAATCTTATAGTGACGCTGATTTACATTGTAACATATATAAATCTTTGCTTGTATATCAACCATATAACAAAACAACGAGAAAATTAAACCAGATGCATAAGTAATTGATGTAACGCAGATTCATGACTATACCGTTTGCTCTAACTTATTAGTACTACTGTCTGATGTGAAGTGATATGTTTAGACTTTAGAAGGTCCAAAGTCACGACTCAACTGAGATTTAATTTGACTTCTCATAGATGTAACAAATACATCGTTATCAACCGACCATCCAATACATGATAAAAATAAAGAAACGATGACGTACCTTCCATCGAATCAAATAACGAAAAATTAACACATTTCATTATGGGTATCGACTTGTGGGTTATAACTTGTACTATTGGCTAGTGTACGATGGTAAAGTAAACACGTTATTACGGACCCAACGTGAGAGGATTTTTTTATTTTCTTTTCTTTTGCGGTGGACTAGATATATACTACTCCTAACTTCTTTGTTTTTGTGTATTTTATCAGAATTTGAAAGCATGAACTCCTAACTTCGATGACTGGATCTTCAATGATTAAACTAGTTGCCTAATCTCCCTTTTGTCTTTTCTCAACAAAATTTTCTTTAATTTCTTTTGTTGTTGCGCTCAATGAGAACCTAGCTTTAAATTGTTTGTGAAGCGGTAATTCTATCGATACACGGATTACGAATATATAGATGCGGTAAACTAAGAAAGAAAAAATAAGAATTTTAGAATCTCAGGCAATGAGATTATACATTAATTTGCTGTTAGAGAGACAGCATAAATAATATTGTATAAAGAGCAAAATGCATTGCGTGCTCATAAATAATTATGGCAAATGATATACTAGTATATCAGGCAGTGTTTAGTGGTTAAATAACAAATGATTATTGGAAAATGATCTTACTATGATTTGTCAATACACACACATAGGCAAGTAAAGAGTGAGGGCTGAGGAGTGCATGACTTGTTTGGGGAAATTTATAGTTGAAGAGAAGTCCCAATTATTATGTCTTTGTCTTTCACCCTCGAGCCTTGTGCATGCTCACCCTTCACTTCCTGTCTCTTAAAAGTTAAGACTAGAAGTCAATCATTATCTTCGTTAGCTAGTGTATCTATGTCCTTTTATTTTTGTTAATACTGATGACAATTTTTTTTTTTTTTACTGAGCTATTGTTTCTGGCTTGGTATCTTATTGAGGTATTGTTTCGTACTTACATACACATCTTAAACTTTAGATTAATACGAAAGTACACATCTCGATTTTCTATCGTCTTTTCATTTTATTTACAAAGTACGTAAATATGAATGATTTCAGTCCGGTGGAGCCATATTGGCTTGAAATGCTAGATTCTCTAGCCTCATTTCATTGTAATTATGTAACTAAAGGAAACAAAAAATGTAGGAGAAATACATGATAAAAATCCCTTCCGTAATCCGTATATGATGTTAGGCAAAAGTAAATGGATGTTAACATAAGATTGAAGGTTCCACATTCCTCAGTGACCATCAGTTTTTAAGCTAAAAGCAATGTGATAATTATGCTCTTTCCGCCTCGAATGGCTTTTTGTCTTGTTGAATATATAAAGGAATGAAGTGACTAAAAGCTTATTGCTAAAGTTAAGATATAGAAATTGAGACTTTTTTGTTAAAAAAAAAGAAAGAAATTGAGACTTTATTCGTATTTCTTATATGTAAATACATGAAATATCTTAACTACTCTATAATATAAAAATAAAAAAATAAATATATATATATATATATATTATCAAAGAAATAAAATGCACATATATCTATTAACTGAGAAATAAAGCTTATTTAAGAAAATGTTAAAAAAATAATAGTCCTTTACTGAAACAGCGTTAGCTGAATTTGATAGCATGCTAATGTTAGGGATTCGATTGGAGATCAGTCTTTTTAGGAGTCATCCCCCATTGGAGGAGCTATAAAATCCAAACTTCAAATTCAATACTCTGTCGGGGAGTGTGGAGACTCCAAGGATCATTGGCTAGACAAAAACATTAATTGAAAGAAAAAGAAAAACTATAAACTTCGAAATATATATATTTGGAAAAATGCAATTCCTTAACTAGTAGCTAGCTCATACAATTCTATACACAAAAGATAATAGAAAAATAGACATACTGTATAGAAGTTGTTGTGGACCTCTGTGGTAGTGCAATATTTTGAAGTTGTGGGTTGGACTTGGATGGATAGGTGAGAAAAGTAAAGAGAAAGAAAATAATTAAGGAAGAGGGGGTAGCTCTGAAACCCTAGACGAAAGCAACACTGCATTGCCAATAGTAGAAACAGTGCGATCACGAGATTCAACTCATTCCTACTTTCTTACTTCTTAGTATCCACTCCACTTGTAGAACTAGCTAGCCCCCTGCCACGTGGTCCTCTCCTCTTCTTTTAGCTTTATGGGCCTTGTAGAGCTCGCAGGCCCCATTTGCCCATCCCATGCACATGCATCACATTATGCTTTCTCTATCTTTTTATACATACATACATACATATACGAAAATTACGAATATATATGTAAAATACCTTAATTAGAAGGAACATTGTCTCATAATCTCATGTATTAAGTTCTCTTGGTAGACAATAAACTGTTTAGTTCTTATATCCGAATCGAGAAAACTTTGGCACTTGGTTAATATATCTATGATAATTCTAAGATGCGACAAGTATTATTGTCTGAAGTAAAACAATATCGGCGTTTCCTTTATTCACATACATCCAAAATATCCATCTACTAGAGATTTTGTGTTTGTTTTTTAAGAATTGAGAACGTCTAGAAAACGCTTGCGCATTCAATTTGATAGAATCACGTTTTGGTAGGGAGAAGTAATGTATTTGGGGTGTAGTGTAGAATAGGGTTAAACGTGAGTATATAATAAGATAAAAACGTAGAGAGGCATATATTATACAGAGAGTGTGCTTTTAAATAACGGACCGGCTGAAGAAAAAGCTAACGTTGTTTGTCTCCGTAAAGGTTACAAAGTCTCACTGTCACGTGACCACCACCATTTCTCTTTTCACACATCATAATTAATTGGGATGTTCCTCCTTTCGATTCCATATTGGTTAAATTGAAAACAACAAGATTTGAGGCAGGATTAAAGTTTAACTAACAAAAATATGGGAATTTTTTTTTTTCAAAGCAATATAATTATATATATATAACCCCTAATATGATAATATCGAGATTAATTTTAATATTTTGAATATTCAGATTAAATCACCTAGTTTGTCAGTTTTGTCCAAATTATTAAGCTTTAAATTACTCAGTATCATTCTATTAAACTAAAAAAACTATTTGTATAACACAAGTGGACAAGAGACTTGAATAGCTGAGGCCCATGCTTTAATTGCAAGCTGTATTGGGCTTTACGGCCCGTTTGATTTTTTCGCCATCTGCATTGCGAGTTCAACCCACACAACATCCTCTTCGCAACTGGGTAAGTTGTGTGTTCTTGTTGGCACTGTGTTACTTTCTCTCTCGATGAATCCTCAGGAGCAAGCTTCTTTGATCGTCTTAGCTTGGTTTCGTTTCTAAATGTAAGTTTTTTGTTCAATCTATTGTTCATACTATGCTTTGTTCTTTGAAGTGGTAGTTACTCTTTCAAGTGTTGTGTCAGTAAAGAAGATTGAACAAACCTAATTGTTCTAGAACTAGATTCGAAATATTGACCTCATTAGAGATTTGATTGTTCAGAAATTGGAACCTAGTTATGGATTCGTTGCTTCGATTTGGATCTATTCTGGGTTTCCTCTGGCATTTCCAAATATGTTTTGGAAATTGGAATAAAGCTCTTAACCTCGCTTAATCGCTAAAAATGACAGGCTAATCCCGTTTTGGCTTGCTGCCTAAATCACTACTTTTAGTATTTGAATTTAGAGGTGGAACTGAATCAGTGAAGAAGAAGGCAATAACAATGATGCAGACTTGTTGTATACATCAATCGTTTTGTTTCCCTCAGAGGTACTTGGAAAGCTTTCTCATTTACTGCATTATCAGATTGATTCTTAAATGTTATATTGAATTCTTGAAAAATACTTTTGCAGAATCCTTCCGAGGATTGATGCATCCATTGGGATTAAGCCCCCAAAGCCTTGTCAACTTGGGTTCATTGGAAAAACTCAGTCTTATGGGATTTCAAATTTTACACGGCAACGAAGATTATATGTGAACTTGAATGCTAATGACGGTCACCCATCCATGTCTATGTTGGAAGCAGAAGAAGAAACCACCGCTGATAGCAGTGCACAGAGTCCGGAAGCTGAGCTTCCATTTAGCAAATGGTCACCTTCTAAGTACATTTGGAGAGGTTTATCAGTTCCTATCATTGCAGGACAAGTCGTTCTCCGGATTCTTAAGGGTAAAATTCACTGGAGAAACACTCTTCAACAGCTGGAGAGAACCGGACCAAAATCTCTGGGAGTTTGCCTTCTGACTTCTACATTTGTTGGTATGGCTTTCACTATCCAGTTCGTTAGAGAATTCACTAGACTAGGTCTAAATAGATCCATTGGAGGCGTCTTGGCTTTAGCCTTCTCCAGAGAGCTAAGTCCAGTCATCACATCGATTGTTGTTGCCGGACGAATGGGAAGTGCATTTACAGCCGAACTGGGGACAATGCAAGTCTCAGAGCAAACTGATACACTCAGGGTTTTAGGAGCTGACCCAATTGATTATCTAATCACACCAAGAGTCATTGCCTCGTGTCTGGCTTTACCGTTTCTGACACTCATGTGTTTCACTGTCGGTATGGCTTCAAGTGCTCTACTCTCTGATGCGGTTTACGGGATCAGCATTAACATAATCATGGATTCGGCCCACAGAGCACTTAGACCATGGGATATTGTGAGTGCCATGATTAAATCTCAGGTCTTTGGAGCTATAATATCGGTGATTAGTTGTTCTTGGGGAGTAACCACTACTGGAGGTGCTAAAGGTGTTGGAGAATCTACAACTTCTGCAGTTGTCATGTCTCTTGTCGGAATCTTTATTGCGGATTTTGTGCTTTCTTCCTTCTTCTTTCAGGGTGCTGGAGATTCTTTGAAGAACTGTGTTTGACAATATTTTTTTCCCTGTCTTCTGATGTTGTGGTTTAGATAATGTTTCTGTAAATCTGTTGGCTTACATTCGAAAAGATAAAAAGGAACATCATTTTAGAAAACAATAAATAAAATTGCATTCTAATAATGATGTGTGTATAATACATTCAAAATTTGCATTCACTAGCACTTTTATGTGCTGTAAATATGTTATGAACTTATGGCATAACACAGGGAATCCTAGACTCTTCCCTTCACTTGCCGTTTTGCATAACTGAGTTTATTCGATCGTTATCTCTTAATTGCTGCATCGTTAACCTTTTTGGTCCGACGAGGCTTGGAGCATGTCTCATCGTCTCGAGCCATCAAACCAGCTTCAAGATCAGCCCCACTAAGATGATAACAATCCTTCATTCTGAATCAAACCTAGCTGAACAGAGTCTGGAAGAGGTAAATATATAAGTTTCTCAAACCTCCCTGGTCTTGTAACCGCAGGATCCTTCATATCCGGTCTATTAGTTGCACACCGATTATAATCACACCATCTCCTTGTTGTCCACCGCTCAATTCAGATAGCAACTGAATCAATGACAGTTCAATAACCCAAGAACCTTCTCCTGATCCACGTTTTATTGTCAATGCATCAAACTCGTCGAAGAAGATTATATATGCAAGGTGAACACATCCTCGCGCGGCTAAATCGATTTTTCAGTCTCTCCAACGTATTTGTTCAAAAGTTCCGGACCCATTACGTGAATAAATTTTACTCCTGCTTCGTTAGCCACGGCTTTGGCAACTAATGTTTTACCACAACCTGGTGGTCCATAAAGCAAAAACCCTGTCCCTGAACAGAACTCGAATCCTTCACACTCTTCAAGATATTTCAACGGTTTGATTAGATGGCGATAAAACACTTCTCTTATATGATCGAGACCACCTACTGTACATGGCTACATCTTCCCATGTTACACACTTACACTAGGCGTAGTAGAGAAACCTTCTCTTATTGACGAAGGTTTCCTCAAAATCCGAGGTAATATTGGGCTAACAAGTAAAAAGCCCACTAATAAAATATATATATTGGCCATCGTCTTTTTGGTCTAATTCAGAACATTCATGAAGACTATATAATTTTAATTTTGGATTTTAACAAAGTCAGTCTATGTAACAAAACAATAAATAGAAAAAAAATACGAGATGGGTTTATGGGACGTGCATGTGCATACAGAAGTGCAGTGGCAGGAATATTAATTGAGAATAGCCTTAATTGGTTAGGGTACTGTCCTTAGTCCTTGACGTTTGCATTATATTGTCCTTTTCACCATCTCATCGATATGCTGCCCCCTTCTTCGTTTCTAATCATTCATTAGTCTCAGCCTCTGATCATGCTTATAGAAACTGGAATTACAAAACAAGTACGCACATCATGGCTGCATCAACTCTTAGCAAGCATTTGCGTTTGCATAATAACTACAAATTTTAGTATATCACATCCCTATTGTGCTATTGTTGACATGCAAAGTAAATATTACACATATTTAATTTTAAACATAATGAAATTAAAAAATCGGTGTCGTCGAGTATTAGGACACAAGGTTGACAGCTGATGAAATTATCTTTAAGGCTATTTGTGTGACCCGAAAGTTAGCTAGAAAAATTAACAATTCCGAATCCAAGTTGAAAGTTAGATACAGCCTCTCTCTATTGCAACTAATGTGTGCCCATTAATTTGCATTCACCAAAGTTTTATAACATTTTATATATTTACTATGTTTTCAAGCTAAACCAGATGAGCCAAGAGTCGCTTTCCACGTTCCATTTGCTCTCACTGTTTAACCAAATTTATATTTAACTTCAGCAACATATATATTATCAAACAAGATAACACAAAACTATATATGTGTAATTAAACGTACAAGTAACTGAAAAAAAAAAACGTACGATAAATATCTATTCCGTAGCAGACAGACACTTCATATATCGAGACAAACACATCTTACTTTACCCCACGCCTCAAAATCACCTCTTCTTGTATACATATGCATATATGTACAATGGTTTTTTTGGTTAAAGGATATATGTCCACTAGTTAAAAAATAGTTGTATATTCGTATAGAGATGTTACAAGAACCGGCCCTGAAAAATTAGTGGCTCCAAGCCTCCCAACTACGCATACTGGTGTAATAGTTTTGCTTTATTATTAAAACAAAATATATGCATATACTGTATATGAGCTTGAAACCCTCCACCTAATTTACATGTCTTCGCATATACTCTTATATAATAAATAACACTAAAATAAACTCTTTTTTTCTTCCAAACCTTAAACAAAAGAACTGACCCAGTCCAGTACTAGGATATGTCTTAGTGACTAGCTCTTAGACCCAATTCCATATATCACAAGACTCTACATTATAAGGTTGTGGAAAGTTTATTTATAAATTTCTCTATACACATCTCTCTCTCTCTCTACATATTTAATGAAACCATCCATAAATACCCCCAAAACTACAACAAACCCTTCTGCACTCTCTCCTCCTCACTCCTATAACAACCCACAACAAGAACAAAAAAGATAACAAAGAACCCTTCATTTCACTCCCGAGGGTATTATGGCGATTATGAACCGGAGCAAGCTGACACAAACGACTATGATAAAGCAAATCTTGAAGAGGTGTGCGAGTTTGGGAAAAAAACAGAGCAGTGGTGAGTATAACGAAGAACATGAACATGATGGAGACTCTCTTCCTCAGGATGTTCCCAAGGGTCACTTCGTTGTCTACGTAGGAGAGAATCGGGTCAGGTACGTCTTACCCATTTCGTTTTTGACCCGACCGGAGTTTCAGCTTCTTCTACAACAAGCTGAGGAAGAGTTTGGTTTCGACCACAACATGGGTCTCACTATACCTTGTGAGGAAGTAGCTTTCAAATCTCTCATCACCTCTATGCTTCAATCAACATATATTTAGGGTTTTTATTTTTTCTTGGTGGATGACGATCTGTATTAGTCTTTTTTTTAACTTTTAGATGATTTGGGTTAGTGTTTGAATTAGAACGAGACTAACTCTAGAGATGCCTCTAAGAGTGATCTATTAAACCATTTTTAGTTAATTGTCTTAATTAGACTTGTAGGGAGGAAATAAAAAAGCTAATACTCTGATAAATTTTCTCGTTGTGGTGGTGTGATTATCTGTACAACCCATTGAGGGACTATTACATAATATCAGTGAATGCTATATTTCTTCTTAATTATAATTTGTGTTTTTGTCCATTTTCAATGTAATTATTCTTCCATGATATTTCCCATTTAAAGAATAATATAAACCGTTTTTTGACCCCAAAAAAAAAAGAGAAATATATAAACCAAAAAATGTATATCTTGATAAATTTGGAGGTGATGAGGAAAATTGATAATGTGAGAGAAGATTGCATATGGAGAAAATGAAACTTCTCTCATTAATTGTAATTGCATATAAGATGAAATGTATATGAATTGTCACAAAATTGTTTTTTTTTTATAAAGCATATAGAACGTTAACTGTGCGACCTAGCTCGGCCAAGAAAGTAATCCAAAGGATTGCCCTCTCTTTAGGAATGAATCGGCAGTTTTTAGCCGTTAAGAACTTAAAACTGTTGAACTAATAAAATACAATACATTAAGAAAACATTGAAATGCTCATTCCAGAATATTGATTGACAAAGAATTTTAACACTGTGCGTAGCACACACACATGCAGAAGTAGCAGGAAAGTATAATTAATATTATTCACCAATTCTGATGCCCATTTCGAGTACTCAAAATGCGTTTAGTTTGTTATATAAAAAAAAAAACATCGCAGACACTAATTTTATATTTGCTTTTGGCATTTGGTAGCACGTCTGGAATAAATGTTGTAAGCGATCCCCACGAGTCGGATCGAGTTGCTCCATTTATTTACCAGTTCCAGGGAACAGTCAAATCATAAAGAAAAATGTCAAAAATTCGTTCTAACAACTAATTAATATGATTACAAATACAATCATATTAACTTGAAACTATGATCACATGAACTATTTTTCACTATGAACTGTTAACTATAAATCTGTCACTTGAAACTCTAATTATCTCTCATAAAAACATTAAGAAAAAAAAAACTATGATCATGAAATATTTTTTCCGTTTAAATTCTCTTTTTTTACTACATCAAACTCGGAAAACAAATAAATTGGAATGTAAAAAGAAAAAAAAACAGAAGAGGAAGGGTTACAGTACATTGGAGATGTCATATCAATATGTCTGAGAGATAGCACATGCAAGTGGTACCCACAGTTTGTGACTCTGATAAATCTATAAAAAGTAGATCCCTTCCCTTCTCTCTCAATACCCAAACTTTTGTATTCTTCTCTTCTCGAGTTCTGATCGTATACTACTACTACTATCAAGAATGGTACGTACGTTCCCACGTTTACTGTCTTTGACGGCTCAGATTTAGCTTAAACATTTTGTAACATTTAGCATATACATACCGTACGGTACTTAAACGGACGGTCGAGTTTCCTTAAATCCTTACACGATGAGAGAACTCTCTCTCTCGTTTTTTCTTTTATTTGTCATGTATTGGTTGAAAACTCGAGAGTCTAGAAGGAGCCTTAGAAGTAATTTTACAAAAACAGAAGAAACTTTGAAGTACAAATAATTGAGGTTGACTATGCATGTTACATGCCCATTATCTTTTAAAAAGTTTATGAAGATGAAAAAGTCTCCCACGTTTGAAATGATTTTTGGAAGAAAAAAAATAAAAGATAAAAGCCAACGTATCAGTAGTTTTCACCAGAAAAAATGCGGTCTATAGTGATTACAATGAATGTGTATAGACCATAAGTAGTGATTAAAACATTGGAGAGCCACTCAATGTGCATTAGCTGTAACACTATTCCATTTGTAATCAGGTCAACTATACTTCCAAAATCTAGCCGATCGAATTATTTATTTAAAAACTTTATACATACTAGCTTTTTGTTGAAAGCAATGTTTCCACTTCCCTGAAAAATGAGTTGATGTAGACAAATCTGGATACATGATGTGTGCCTGCTAAATTGTTATGTCAATATACGCAAGTCAACCATAAAATGAATTTATTTCAATGGCTTGGCCGTTGTCTTCGTGAACTTAGAAAATATGAGAAAAACCAAAACTGATTCACACAAACAGAGAGAAGCGACAAGGATACTCATCAAAGCCACATGATGTTAACCTGTTAATATCTCATAATCAGAAATTTTACTATTTTTGGTTGAACAAATCTGAATTCACAGAGCAACTTAATAATATATATATGTAGGGTTAATGGTAAGACAAACCGAAATCTTAAATATTAGCTGTCTTCAATGACAATGACTTAACATAAACAAAAACACACAAACACAAACACTTGTCTGATTTTCAGAAGTACCTAATTAAGAGATTAGATCAAATTTGGTTCCAGAGAAAATGTTAAAATATGTCAGATTAACTGGTCGAATAGTTTGTGCCTTCTTTCCGGATAAAAAAAGAAGCGAATCTGAGTATCATCAACACATGTAGTTAGGACTTAGATCTGTATGTACTGTCTTTAGGTATGAAGACAGCTCTCGGAAATATTCTACCAGTTAATAAAAAGATGTTAAGATCTAGCTCTATGCTCATAAAAATTGTCTTTCAAATGATTTTTTTTTATATACAACTTAACTAAATATATAGACAAGACAATGCAATCTAACGTATATGACCATATCGAACCATTTAATTACTTACAGTACTACGTTGAAATTTCTGAAAAGTAGTCACTTACAATAAGGAAGAACATTTATACTAAAGGTTATAATTGTGTGGAAATATTAATTTCTTGATAAACTTTTGACAGTAACGTACGTCTGTGGAACCTTTTTAGACATCATAATTATAGACCGTTGAAAAGAATAGAAGAATCTCTGCCAAGTCTAAGTTATTGACTTATTATCAAAAGTATATAAGAAGGTTTTTCAAATCATGATATAGGTCAGAATCAGATGTATAATAGTAGTGTGTAGGTGTCGAATACATGAACACATGTGAATACCCTATCAAAATCAAATAGCAGCTAGACTGTCAACACATTGATTATCATCCAGTGATCTCTAGTTGCTAAGTTCCACAACTAGCTAGGGTTGTTGCACACTTACGCTAACCCTAATCAGTAGATCGAGTGTTCATCTCTCTGAGACCCTTTTTATTGATTTATTTTGGGTTTTTGCCAGCCTTCAAACTTGAGTATATAATTTAGGCTCGTTAAAGAAAAAAAACAGTAGCTCGTGAGACGAATTAAGTGGGTTGGGCTTAGTCCAAAGTGTATATTATATTAATGTATTTTCAAGAAACTTTTTGTTTTGGTTACATACTTTTCACAGAAAAACAACACAAAATACATAAAGAAACGAGATGGGTAGATTGACATGTACACGCCGTAAAATTCAACACCAAATTGTTTTGTCAGTACAGAAAAAAAAAAAAAACTAAAGTTAAAAAACATTCCCTCATAGTAAGATAAAATAAAAAAAAAACCAAATATTTTATAGCAATAGATATTAGATACAACATAGTTAGATTTATACTCTTTTTTGTTTTTATTTTCTTTACTTTCCTTTAGTGGAGAAGAACCTGCTGAATCCTCTAGAGTGTTTCTCAGGAGTAAGCCCTGATGAGGACGATGATGAGTTTGACTTGGTGTGTCTGTGTTTCGACCCTACCGGAGATTTCATTGCAGTCATGGACGATGTTTCTTTCTCTGAAGGCGAACTCATCAGTTTGTTGTCTTGAGGATTTGTCGAGGTTGCGTATTCGTCTTCTTCTAGGTTCAGGGCTTGTTCTTTGCTTGGGGAAGAAGTGACCTGTTCTGTTTGAGGACAGATGGATTTGAGTTGCTTCCCCAGAAGTAATATAGTCTCTTGACACTCTGCTAGCTTCTCTGCTGCAGCCGCTAGTTCATTGTCCTGTATAAAACGTTCAATGTGATTCAGGAATCATGGATTTTTCAAAACCGAAATCTCTGCTGCTGGATAATAAATGAGTATGTGTTTGGAAAGTTACCTGTTTGCTTTTAGGGTCAGCTTCGGTTACTGAACAATTCGGGCAATTCTGGTTGTTCCTGAAGTTTTGTAGGAAAGTGAAGTTAGAGACTTTTAGAGAGTTTATGGTGAAGAAGAGAGTAAAGTTTAGTTATAATGTTACCTTTGTAATTGCTCCTCGAGTTCTTGGCATTTGGCTAAAGCTTCTTGGTGATGTTCCTTTTCGTCTTGAAGCTCATCTTCCAAGTTTTCAATTCTGCCTTTAAGAGAAGTCAACTCGATTTCCAGCTCCGATGATCTAGTTTCAAGAGATCTATATGATTCCACCATGCATTTGAGCTGAGTCTCGGCCATGCCACTAGACTTTTGAGCAGAGTCCAACTCTGTTTTGACTTCTGCGAGAAGTTTCTGTGTTTCTTGCAGTTTGGTCTTAGTTGCTTCAAGATCTGCTTCACAACTTGCAAGGTTGGCCTCTGCTTTTTCTTTCTCAAGTCTCAATCCTTCAAACTCCTCTGGTGTAAATTTACTAGACTGACGCTTGTGCTCATAGCCAGATGTTCCGTTGCAATCATCTGGGATCTCGGAATCAGAGCTCTGAGAACAACCATTCTGGTAATGTTCACCTGATGAATCTTTCTGAAGTGCTTTGTTTTCCGGTAGAGCAACTTTATCAATGCAATCTGGACTATGAATCTCCACTGGGGATGTGTGATATCCAAGCACATCAATCTTTAGTTCACTAGCTTCGACCAAAACTCGTGAAAGATCGAACAAGAAATCGTTCAAAGTCTTCTCCTTGGCCAAGACTCTGTCGAATGTGACAGAGAAATCTTGAACCTTTTGGGAGAAAGTTCTGTTCTCAGAACAGGCAGTTGCTTCCTTTGAAAGATAGGAAACAAACTGGAATATCTGAGAAAGAGCATCAGCCAAGTCTTGAGTTACTACCTCTGTGTCGCTAACTTTTTCTTCTCGGGTCTCATTTGACATGGCTATCTCCTTTTCTTCTGTAAGACCGTTTACATTAGGTCCATTACATTTAGAAGGTAGCTTAACACCTGCATCTTCAACTGCACATTGTATCTCTGCCAAAATCTTCTCAAATGCAGCATCTTTAGGGAGAGACTGAAGCACACTGGAGATTCTTTTCTTCAGTTGTGTAGCTGGTTGAACCTCAACATCAGAATCAGTACTTGAGTGATCCGTTGAACCATTTGCGTTTGAGCCATTTGGTAGACAAGCTAGCTTTTCCATTTCAAGAAAATCGTCCATAAGCTCCAACTGGCTAGCACTCTCGGTCTTCTTAATCTTACCATTGTTCTTATCCTTGTTGGATTGAGAGAGTTCAGACATCAAAGAGCCAGTAATGCTTCTAGCATCTTCGTTTCCGTCCTCAGACATCGAGGCCATACTAGGAGGATTACTAGCATTTAGACGAGAGAAGATTTCAGCAGGCATTTCAAAACCGCGCTTGGTTGGACTTTTATTCAACATTTGAGCTTCCAAGGTTTGAAGCCTGTTTGATGTTTTAGCACAGAGGTTCCTAGACACTTGAAGCTCGCTGTTACGCTTTGCCAAAGCTTCTTTCAGCATCTTTGTTTCTTCTTCCATAGCCAGTAACCGCTCTGTCAGCAAATCGTTTTCTTTATGGAACTTTTGCATATTGTCTAGTGAGAACTCAGAGACCTGGGACATGTGTGACATTGGAGACATGAGAGGACTAGATGGTCTGACCGGTGACCTTCTCTGTCTATGATCTTGACGATGATCTCCATAGTCTCTGCCTAAACTCTCAACCTCCATTTTCATCTGTGCAAGTGCTGCAGGACCCGGGAGTTTCTTTCTGACCAGAGTGCGTAATCTTTGACACTCAGCTTCCAACTTTGCAATTTTCTTGACACCTTCCAAATGCTGCTTGTTTGCTGATTCAGCAGATCTCATGCTCATATTCTTTTCCTCGTTTCTGATTTCCAACTCTTTAGTAATCACATGAGTTTCATACTTGAGAGTGTTTATCTCCCTTTCACAAGTCTCTATATTGTTCTTAAGATGCTCAATCTCAGACTCTGCTTGAGATTTCTCTTCGCTTATCCTCATAAGCATGTTTGAACGCTCTTGCAATGATCTCGAAAGGGCGTCATTTTCAGCTCCAGACCGAAGCAGTTCTTGTTCGTATTCCCCAATCCTAGACTCAAACTCAGCTCTAAGGTTGTCCATTTGGTTGGTTTTAGTAGCAATAACATCATGCAGCTTCTGTTCATTCTCTTCCTTTAAACTCCTAATCTGCCTCATACACTCCTTTAACGCTCCATCCAAATGCGCTGCTCGATCTTCGACAGTGAGCTTAGCGAGGGTAACAGTTTCGAGATGAGTTTTCAAAGCAGAAGCTTCTGCCTCAGCTTTTTCCCAGCCTGAAAACATCAAAACCAAAAGAGCTAATTCAAAAACATGTGACACCAGAATAAACACAAAATTGCATGCAAAAATGTCAGTCTTTGATCAGCCCCTTTTGTGTTGGTTAATTAAATAATACCTGTGACAGCTTCTTCAGCAACTTTGGAGTGCTGTTTCACCAAAACCTCCTTGGCAGTAATATCTGCATTAGCTGTAGATAGCTTCAAATCCAAATCCTTGATCTGATCTTCAAGCTTTGTAACTTTGTCCTCGTAGTTCTTAACTTCATCTTTTAAACCATTCAGATTCGTGTATTGATCAAATGAGATCTGGATGTAACTTGGCTTCTTCCCATTTTCCTTTTTTTTTTATTTTAATAGATGAAACAAAAAAAAAACTGAAAATCTCAGAATCTAATGAAGCACAAATCTGAGAAATTAAAAAGTGAGATTAAGAGAATTCTGAAGTACCTGATCAACAACCTCAGTCACAGGAGCTGCTTTCTCAGTGGATTTCTTCTTCCATGGCCAACTCTTCCGATCCATCTTCTTCTTTCTTTCTCTTCACAATCCACAAACAATTCAACATTTATCAGAAAATAAATATTAATACAATTGTCTGATTTAGGAAAAATAATTATGAAGTTGCAAAACAAGAAAGTAGTATATAGAAAGGTCAAATCAGAAAGAAAATGCTTAAGGAAACAAATTTATTAAAAAAAAAACTCATAAATAAAAATGAAAGAATAAAGAGATCCAAAGCAAAGAGATTACTACTACCGACGATCGCAATTGAGTATAGATGAAAAAGATGCTGATGATTTCGATGAACTTTGAACACTTGTAAGATGAAACAGAGAGAGAGAGAGAGAAAAAAACGAATAGCTCCAAAGCTCGAAAGCAAGTAAAATGGCGACAAAGGCCATTTACTAGAATCAGTAACTTCAGGGATATAAAAAGCCAAAAAGAAAAAAACCAAATTGGGAAGAAAGAAATGGAGCAAGAACACAAATTACAAAACCAAAAAAAATTCACCGACGTTTTTTCTCAACAACAGCAGTCAAAATCACTCATAAACCAAAAGTCACCGACGCTTTTTATTATTATTACAATACGTGAAGTCATAACAGACTCCGATTCCGAACTAAAACACGAAATCTAAACAACATGAATAAGAAAAAAACAGAACATAAATGTCGATTCGATTATGTAATAAAAATAAATAAAAAAGACTCACCGGGAAAAATCCAAAATGCAGCAGTGAAACCGAATCTTCCCGAAAGCAAATAAAAATATCAAGAGAGGTAGTGAATCATTAACCCCAGCAAAACAGAATTGGAAAAAAAAAAATGAAACAGAGAATTAAAACTCTGTTTCTAGATAGAGAGAGAGGGAGAGAGAAGAAGGAGAAGAGAGTGTGTGTGGTGGGATATGGTGTGATAGTGGCGGTGATGGTGATGGTGAAGTTGAAGTTGAGGTTGAAGGTGAAAAATAATCTATATGCCTTCTGTATCACTTCAAAGCCTAAAACGTAGCAGAGGCTCTCCTTTAAACTAATCGTTCCCTTCTCTTTCTCTTCATTTCATTTTCCTCCTTTTTTTTATATTCTTTTTTTTTATATATATTCTTTTATTATTCCTCCTATTTCTTTACCCTCCTTTCTCCGACTCTTAATTATCCCTTTATTTCATTAATACCAATAATTCAATTTTAGTTGAATTTTACATACTATTTATTTTCTATTTATTCATATATATATTATATATTTACATGTTAAATAAACAATTCTGTTTTGTAAAGTCGAAAACAAATGAAAATAATGCTAAATCCGTATACACAGTAGCCTATTTTGTAGAAGAGATTAGTATATAGATAGGCTTTTTATAAATTTCTTGTCACGATGATAGCCAAACAATGACATGTATCACATGTGGTTCCTTTTTATACAATCCTATTAATAGAATTACTCCATATTCACCAAATAAAAACCTATGCCATTGACGTTTTCGATAACTTTTATTTCTCTCAATTGTGAAAGCGTCTTCTTGTGTTTGCATGCGATCATTATATAGCGATCTATACCGATACGTGTTTTTTATTTTAAATCTTACAATATATAGTGATCATACATACCACTACAAATATTTGAAGCATGTTTTATTAATATTTTTATAAAAATGTTCCATAACAAAACGTGACAGATTATACAAGCTTAAAGTACGAGTATTTATATTTACGTTGATAAATGATAATGCACTTCATTAAACTGAGATTTTGCTGGAAGATATATATGCGTAAATGTTCTATTAAATGTGTTTCTCCTTACAAAATTTTCTGCGCGTTTTTTCTTTGTTTACATCTAGAAATTTGTTGACTCGTTTTTTTCTTTTAATTACTTTTGACTGATTACATCGAGAATGATTAGTGGTTTATAGTAATGAAACCTTTGTGTTTTAACTATAAGTATAATTAAATAAATTTTATAAATGATTAATTATGTTAACATTGGGATATAATTATATGGGAAAACGGAGCACCGAATGGTTTTGTCAATACATGGGAGAGGTCGAGGAGATATTAATTTTGAAGCTTCTTCTTCTGTTTCCACTCGTTTAATTAAAATAAAATAGTAAAACTTATCTCGCATGCACTCAACGAAAAAACTAAAAGGGTCGATTGATTTCTTGTTTTGTTGCCTCCCAAAAATAGAGAATAAATACAAAAAAATGAGGTTTTGTCATATGCTATGAGCAACCAAAAATGAATGAAAATGTTTATTTTGATTTATTAAATTCTGCATTCAGCGATATGGTCCTAACACTCTCCTTACAATTTGCATTCATATAGAGTTTAGAGACAAGCCAGCGAACCAAGTTTGTACACTACAGTCTGTAAATAGCAATCCCACGGACCCGATAGTAAAGAAAACACACAAAAAAATAAAATAAAAATATCTATAATTTCAAAAAATTATGAAATTAATTGACCAAAAAAAACTGAAATAACGACTTAGTATTATTATAGACAATATTTCTGAAGAACGAGACATGTAGAGTAAAGTATAAACGAATATGAGTATTACAGGTCATTTTCTCTAATATTAAATTAAAGACCAAATAGCTTCGACTTTACATAATAATCATAATTATTATTTGCCATTAGGTGATATACTTATCATCTAATATGCATACTGTCTACCTACACATTTTATCCACTTTTTTATTTAGATAAACCAACTTATAATTCAATTGATATAAAAGATGCTCACCACCCAAATTAAATTCTCTAGTACTACTAATACTATTTTGTAATTAAACATTAAACTGTGTCAATCAATCAAATATCAATCAGTATTTCTTTATTAGTCTGCTTAAAAAAATTGTGAACATAAATTAGCTTTTGAAATTTTATATTTTTGAGAGAAGCAAAGGAAAGGAAAAATAAAGTCAACATCCAACTATTGTCGAAATCAAAACACAGCAGCTTGACAGCAAGGAAAAACACGTGGCTCGCTTTCACACGTCTACCGGTTTGGTCTCAATGTAGTTCGCTAATCTAAAATCTTAGAATCAATCCGACGGTTGTGATCATAATTTTTAGCTATGTATATAGATATTCTTAGCTTCACTCTCCCGTAACAAGTAGATATAATTCGATAAACATACTTGAATCTGATTCTTTTATATATATATATAGTATGATGCTCTTTGTATAAGAAAATATCCAAAGATTCTTACTTCACGAAGACGAATAAAAAAGAGTAAAGTATTATAAATTTTTGTATAAAAGCGTAAAAAAGGTTATGATTTCTAAGCAAGTTTGGAATATGATGAGCTGTGTTGAATTGCGTATTTTTTTTAGTGACAACTGACGAATGTTATATAATAAAAATCGAATAGTAGTTAAAATAAAAAAAAGGAGAAAAGTAATTAGCGGTTGGGTCCAAAAGATAAAAAGACCACGTAACGCGCTTTAGGTCACGTGTTATGTCTACATTATCTTAAAGTGTGCGTGTATATCAATTACATACGCTTTATCTCAATAATCATAACCATTTTACACCAATCCCTATACGCACAAACATAAATTAAAGACATAAGTATATCCTATCCTGTATATTTGTCATGTTTTTATCTGCCCAAGACAATAGTTAAAAAGAGTATTAGTATATATTTACATGTAATTAACGATGCGACTAGAGAGTAAAAAACATATATTAACAGCTGCATGGTCGGGTGATGAGCCGTGTGCTGTTTGGACTGTGTCACCGGGTCGAGTAATTAATATGTCTGATTACACTCACTAAACGACATCGGATTACTTGATTAGGGTGGGACACATTGGTGGGCTAGATTCGTATTTAAAATCATCTTTTTTTTTTTTACTTACTTGATAGTCTTATATATGTGAGTGAGTGAGACTGTGGTGACTTGGGTCCATTCAAATAATGCCTTGATACGTGTAAAAAACTCGTATTACTACCTCACACCTAATACGTTAAGTTAAGCCCTCATCGACCAAACGACAAATAAAAACTTACACACAAAACAAAATAAATATATTACGAAAAGAAAATATCCCTAAAACGTGAAAGATACATACAAAAAAACACACACACACAAACACAACAAATAAATATGCTAGTGAAACAAAATCTTATTAATGTTCCTAAAACGTGAAGATGTATACACACAATACCATTTTGACATTTCTCCGATATGTCTCTATATATTTGTCTTCATATTGTGGATGGTAGTTTTATAGTAAATCTCTAGCATATTACCAAAGGAAATTAATACTGAGTATATAATGCTGACTCATTCAACTTGTAGACGTTGACGGTGAACCTAACCACGCTTAACTTAAGATTTTAATACAATTGATTACCGACGACGGACATCGATCCAAATTAAGTTTGGTACATGTTTATTAATTATAAAGATTCTTCTTCAATATTTCAGATTAGTTTTATATCTTAGAAAGATGAGTACATAATATAATGTCAATCAGTTCCGCAGTTAGCTAAAACTTAAGACTAATCTCCTTGTTTATCAAAGGTTCCAATTTACTTGATTTGGTACGGTGACAAGGGGACGACCTATCAAACCGATATTCATATCAATAAATAATATGATCTACTACTCCTAATTAATCATCAATTCTTTTATATTACAACTACCACTAAAAGCTGGACTTTGCTATTTAAAACCAAAACAATGGTACATGGGTTAATATATATACTTATTTGTTTTTTTTTTGTTGAACATTTCTGTGTAAGAGCTTAAGATAAATAAATATGCTAAAAGAGAGATTAATTTAACAGTTTCATACTCTGACTCATTCAAACTTGAGGATGTTGACCATTAACCTAAACACGCTTCATTTAAAGAATTTAAATAGTTTACCGACGTACATGGTTGTAGAAAACATACTATGAAGTTTACATTAGTTTAATTATGTCTTTGATTATGTAGAATAAGGTCAATCAGTTCCGCAGTTCAGCTACTAACCCTCGAGACTAATAATCTTCTTACTTAACTAGCTGATCTCTAGTAGTATCCAAGGGTGTTCCAATTATTGTACTTAATTTAGAACGGTGCCAATCGAAACCACTGATCGAACCGGAATTTATAGCAATAAATAAGTATAATCTACTTAATCATATCAATATTTATTACAAAAAATAAATGTAACTAAAAGCTTTGCTGTTATTGTTTTGTAGGTGGTTGTTTAATTCCCATGTATTAATATAACCGATTAAAAACGTAGATAAATACTGACTTAATACTCTTAACTGTTACCAACTACAATAAAATACAAATTTAATTTCCCTTTACCAGCTAAAACTATATGACAGAGGTACATCAACTACTCACTGTTCATAAAATACATACTATTATATATAAATTAAACAATACACAAGTATCTATTTGGTCATTTTGTATATATATAGAATGTAACTATCCACACAATACTTTTCATAAAAATTCCATCATTATTTATAAAAACAAAACTATTCCTCGAACTTTTATAATACAAGTCCGTGTGGATAACATTAATTACTAGTATATTTTTATATGTCATTAAAGTAGTATCACCAGATTTATTTTCTGTCTGATATATATTAATGTATAGTATGTATCAGCAAAAAAAAAAAAAAAATATGAACGAAAATTCCAAAAAAGAAACGAAAAAAGGGGACACAAAAAAAGGGGAATTACAATGAAGTGTTGGCTCCTTGGAAGTGCAATGCACATGCGAGCCACGTAGATGTATATATATTTACAGTGGTGCGTGTGTACCATCACCATGTGGAATTTTCCTGCACGTTGAGTTTAATTACCAACTTTAATTCCTTCTTTATATGCATTTGGTAGGAACAATTTAAAGTTACCAAAATATCGAAGAAACTAATTTTGATTTGGTTTTTTTGATATATAACAGATTTAATCGAGTAACAAAATGAACAAA